ATTTATCAGGCGATAAGAAAGAAAGCTCACACGCAGAAAGGGTTAAAGTTCAAGTCAAAGAAACAATCAGTTCCAATACAAGTAACCTAGAAGGTGTGAGAACACGCCAAAAACAACCAATCACATTCAATGTCACTCATCAGGAGAGATGATTAATAAACTCGTGGAGAAATCTAAAAGCTCACTTCATCGAATTGAAGTGTATGCGCTGAAGGAAGATGTCACCTAGTAGGGTGATGAAAGCTTCGGAAATTAACTAACTATCCAGCTCAGAAAACACAACCACATCAGAAATGATCTCTTCCATATCACCGTTTAATCCAAGCGAAACTTGTCTTTTCCCATTGACTTTTCCCCCGAGAGCCCAACTGGCATGTGATAACATTCAGAGATTTCATGAGCGAATTTCCAAGCAGTCTTCATTTTCTTCAACACGTTTATTCATCTATAGGTTCTTGATTTAATCGCGCCCAAAGTTTTTATTGTCGGTTATCCCTTCAGACCGACTGTTTAGTCTTCGATTCCCAGCAAAGACACCCGTCAATAAAAGCTTGAACTAGCCTTTCGGAAATGCTATTCATAACGCGGTAGTCAAGTCTCTGTGAACCATACAGAAGCACTAACTGATTTAACGTGAGTGCTGTGCTGTATACATTAGGTTTTCACACTGATTATAGAGTATTGATGGTCCGTCTTGCTCTCCATATCCCACCCTGTCTAACTTCGGCATCGTTGACCACGCTACCCCTGCCTATATTTGAAATGATGTATTCAAGTGTTGGTTTGTAAGGATTCGATTGATTTGATTGGTTGCAGGATTTCATCATGAGCTGACATCGGTCAGAGAACCAATGGAAAACCTGCAGGGAGTACTGGACAGCTGTTTCCTCAGGACCCTTAATCAGATGGAGAGAGAGAGAGAGAGAGTAATGGTTCATTAACCGATTTCAGCTCATGATGAAACAGTGTTGCTTGGAGAAATGAATTCTTTGGGACAACTGCTAATAAGCTTACTTCGGAACATGTTTATTCCACTGTGATATGTCTTGTGATTTTGGGGTGAGAACTGGCTGCCAGCCAAAATTAGTAGACAGTAATTTGCGTCAATGTTTACGTCCCCAATATTGGTCGTGAGAAAAGAACAAGAACAAAGACTGATTCAACAACCATAGCATTGACAGCACACTTTGCGTGGGTGGATGCAGTTTGCAGATAGATAATCTGAACTTCAAAAAACGGCCATAAAGAGATGAAAGATTATTGTTCAGCGAGAAACAACCAATCAGAAGACTGTGTTTGTTTGCTTACAATAATCTATAATAATGTACATGAAAATTTATAAATATGTGTTTATTCGCTATATAAACGATCTTTTCCTGGCCCCTTGTCTTCTGTTGTTACATTCGGTGTCGCTGCCAACCGACAAATGGAAAGCCTATGTCCAGCAGTTTTTGATGGTGACATATGGATCCTCGGGCAGGACTTAAAGGCTTCTACGCAGTCGAGTGGCATTCAAGTCCTGTCAGCGATGCGGCTGTTACTTGGGACGCTGCTGGGAGGTCGGGAGAAAGCAGCATATGAAAGTGTGTGACGAAATATCGACGAATATGTGACAGGGTCAGTCAAACAGTTTCCGAAGTGGGAAGGACCATATATGGTCACGTTGAGATTGGGTTAGGCAGAAGATTCAAGGACCATTGAATCGGGTCCCAGTGGCTCAATGGTCTACGAGCTCGCCTTGTAACCAGAAGGACCTGGGTTCGAATCCTGGCGATGGGTGCGTACTCCTGAAGAGTCCCAAACTAAGACAGCAGAAACAGCTGTCCAATACTCCCCGGCTTTCAAGTGATTCTTTAACTGATGTCAATCAGCTCATGATGAAATCCTCCGTGTAACCAAACAAAATCCCTTCAAAAACCACTCCTCTTTTGCATTCGGAAGTAAAAGATAAACTACCTAATTTCGCCTCTCCCATGTGTATATCTACCAATCTGACTGCCCATGTGGAGTTAGTTAGTGGCATAGACAGCACACTTAGGCGTACTTCTCGTCAGATTTTCGGACATCAGCCTGAGTGACTAAGTAAGGGATGAACAAAATCCATTCATAGCTAGCTCTATTCTGTCTCATCTTATGGATACAGAACACAAGATTGATGTCAACGAGGTAGCTTTCAAAGTCATTCACCGCATATCAACAAATCTTAACTTCTCCTTAGGAGTTCGTTTATCACATACTGCTGACTCTGGCTGTTGTGATCCACATTAAGAAGCCTAAATTATGTGTCCAAAAGAAGAAGCTAGTTAAGACATTGTCCTTACCACCCTGGTCATCTTGGTTATAACGATCCTCAGTTTTTTGTAGAAATTTCCTTAATTTTATTTGGTATTCTGTTTGCTATTATATCTTTATTATTATTATAATTTAAGCATCATTGATGAACTGTACTTCCACTGATCTTATTTTACAAATCGGTATTATTTAAGAAAACACTAATATTGCTATTGACTACTATTTTAGAATATTCTATGCATATAAAGTCGCTCTGCTTTAGGATGAGGAAAATTTGTAGTTCTGATTGCATCGACTTAGAACTTGACTTCTTAAAAGCCACACTGGTAGAAAATGCTTACCCTAACCGATTTATTGACAACAACATGAAAGACAGGCAGTCTAAACTGGTCACTGACCCAGTTCTAAAGAAAACCTTATTCATGAACCTGGAATTCAAAAGTGATCAAGCTTCAGATATGCTCGAAAATCGTCTCTCTAAAGCAGTCGGTAAGAAGTTCTTCGCCGCAATATTACATATGATGTTCACCAACCGCAAATTGTTCTGTACCTCTGTAAAAGATAAGCTCCCCCATCTGACCGCCTCCATGTGCATCTATCAGTTCACCTGCTCTTGTGGAGCAAGGAACACTGGCCGTAGTGGGATAACGCTCTCCATACGGATTCGAGAACATATTCCAGCTTGGTTTTACAAGGGAGAAAGGAAGTGTGTGCGAAGCTCTATTCTGGAACACCTGATCGACTTCTGTCACTCTGTCAACCCTGACCATGATTTTAAGATCCTGTATAGAATCCATGCTAACTTCCCGTGTTTTCTTCGTTACAGACTTCTAAAGACAGCGAAGGTCATTGTCATTCATGAATTTAAGCCAGACCTTTGTTTACAAAAGAAGTATGTACAATGCCTACTTCTGCCTTGGCCGTAGAGGGATAGACATTTATTTATTTTGTTTATTTAGTTATTCCATGTACTTTTCCCTTATTACTTCGATTATTTTTATTACTATTCTCACTCTGAATTGCTTCTGCTTGTCCCATTTGTCATTCTAAATGCCCAAAATTATTAATTTTTACATTTCTTATTTTTACAATATTGAATTCTATCTTATCAAATTTCACACCATGTTATGTAACATTTTATATTCGTCTACTAATCTTATAATTATGTATACCTTTCCAAAATATATACACCTTATGTATTATTCTGTATATGACATTAACTGTTTTGTCACTTGACATTGAACCATGATTATAACCACAAACAATTTAATTGCATTTCATACTAGTACTATTATTATTATTATTATTTCATGTATTCACACCTTTGACCTAATTCCCTCACCGGATATAATTTCTTAAAAGTCATACATATATACGATTGTACAGCTTGATAATAAATTCGGTGAAAAGAGTTTCTTCGCTGAATATTGTGTTCTTAATGCTACCTACAATGGGAATTATTAAATTATATAAAGTTGTGTATATAAATGTAGAACCAGAATAGGAAATTATCGAAAGGGATATTCGTTACTGTTTCAATTATTTTGTGTTTTATAGATATTGTATGGAGGATTTAATCATGAGCTGACATCAGTTAGAGAACCACTGGAAAACCTGGGAGTACTGGACAGCTGTTTCGTCCTAGTTTGGGACTCCTCAGCAGTACGCACCCACCGGGGTTCGAACCCAGGACCTTCTGGTTACAAGGTGAGCTCGTAGACAATTGAGCCACTGGGACCCGATCCAATGGTTCTTGAATTCTAACTTCTGCCAATTCACGACATAGCGCGACCACTTCGCAATGTCTTCTTCGATGAGTTACTGCCTCATCTTCGACCTGCTGTACCCTAAAAAACCAACACTTGAAAATTAATCTGATGCTCACTAGCGACTGGCCCTATTCAGGCAGTTAACCTGGGGTTCTAGTGGGAAGCCGTGACCAGTAGGGTACAGCAGGTCGAAGATGAGGAAGTAACTCATCGAAGAAAACATTGGGAAATGGTCGCACTATGTCCTGAATCAGCAGAAGTTAGAATTGAAGAACTATTGGATCGGGTCCCAGTGGCTCAATGGTCTACGAGCTCGCCTTGTAACCAGAAGGTCCTGGGTTCGAACCCCGGTGGGTGCGTACTGATGAGGAGTCCCAAACTAGGACGAAACAGCTGTCCAATACTCCCAGGCTTTCAAGTGATTCTTTAACTGATGTCAGCTCATGATTAAATCCTCCATACAATCAAACCAAATGCCTACAAAACCAACACTTGAAAATTTTATAGATATCTTGAAATAATTTTAAGTTAGAATCCATCGGCTGACTATCCCAGTAACTAAACAGTCTGCCAGCTCGCCTTGTAACCAGAAGTTCTCGGTATGGAAACTCTCTAACCGCGCACTACTGCTTTCTTCCCAACCTATCCTGGTTTTCCCAGTGGTTCTCCAACTAATGCACCAGTTTGAGGTCAAACGAGTGTAACCAATCAAGTGTCTAAAAACTAATAGATATCTATTCGGATTTATCTTTTCAAGGCTGGAAACATATACCCTGTGGGGGGAATTTTAAGCTTTGCGCTTTTCACTAATTCTAATAGACTCATACTATTTTCCATGTGGGAATCTTGTACCATGCCCCTACCTACTGCCCCCAAATTAGTTAAACACCGCATTATACTGAGTAGATATATGTATATTATAAATATATATATATCTCATAGTATCAAAAGCTTCAAATTCTGACCACTTATGATTTACAATGAGTGCCCTTTCAGGAAAAAAAATAAATGAAGATAATATCAAAATTCTAAAACAATCTGTCCAATATGTCCCATTTATATACTTTACAATATGTGTATATATCTTATGTAATCTGGAAACAATCAATACGATAATAATGAAGAAGAAGAAAGAGGATGGATAAAGTAGAATTGAACACCAATCACATTAAATCGAAAATTGTGAGTGTCACTCTTTTAAAAAAGAAAGAGATTAAAAAACAAACAAACATGCAGCAGCTGAAGAGGCAATATTATTATTCCTTTCTATCCTGAATGCATTGATTATACATAATTCATAGAGGGTTAAACAGGCAATTAATTGATAGCCCATTTTTCCTTAAATTAGTTAACTAACTATCAGTGATATTCGACGATGAACTATTTCGACGATTCATTCGATTCGATCGACGATCAATTAAAATATTTGGTCCAGGTGATTTTCCTGATGTTCGTCTCTTGAATTGAGTATCATTTACACTGACAGTACTTGATATCGATCGGTTATCGGTATCTTCTGAATGTGGTGTTAACTGGCTAGGTTGATGATGTGGTTGTTGTTGTTGCTGTGGGCTTGATTTATCTTCTCTTGTAATTGTGATAGTTCTTCTTGGTGGTGGAGATGACGTGGATGAGAGTGCTGATGGTTGTGGTGGTGGTGGAGGTGGTGAGGAAGAAGAAGTGGTAATGGTTTTTGAATCATGTTTCACCGCTTTAGGGAAGTGGATCTGATAAAAAAAGTGAATGAATTTGACGTTTATCGAAAGTTATATATGAACAGACTGTAATTAATGACATAAATTTTGTCAAATATGCTGACGACCTAACTGTATCTTTGCCTGTCAAATGTCAAAGTGACTGCTCCAAACTAAATGGCTTTTTATCAGAAATCAGCCAGTGATCCAAAGAAAACGGTCTCACCTTAAACCCCTCCAAATGCCAAACAGTCAATTTCACCTTTAGGCATAAATCTGACCTAAAAAAACTGGTTAACACTCACAAGGTGTGCAATAAAGATGGATGGCACTGAAATAGACACCAAGTCGGAAATTAATAGTATCTTGGCGTCATTCTATCTGCTGATGTTTCCCTGTTGGTCGTCTCATATCTTGATGATTTCTAAGAAAATATTCCGTCTCACCTTCTACATCAAGAAGTTAAGACATTCTGGAATAACCCAGAATAACCCAACCCTTACTCTTACGATTCGTTAACTCTTGCATCCTGCCTATTATTCTCTATTGTTCCCCCTTAGTTTTTCCAGGGCCAGCTACTGAAGAAAGGCTATGCCTTATTACTTAGGATGTTAAAAGTTGTCAGCAGGGTTAGCAATGTGCCACTTAATCAGCTTGCTAATATTCTGGTTGACAGGCACTTGGACTATAATAGGTAACACAACTGAACTAATCTTAGAATTATTCTAAAACAAGAATAGAAGAATGCGACATTATAGTCAGAAAATATTGTTGTTGTTGTTCCCCTGGGTTCCTAGTGGAACATAGGGCTTCAATTGCACGTATCCACTTGCTTCTGCTGCACTTTTCACCTGCATCCATGTTAGTCCACACTCTTTCAACTCCTCTTCACACGATCTCCTCCATGTCACCCTCTCACTGACGACCCACCCGCCGCTTCCCTTTCGACCTGGTTCCACTCAAGCAATGGCCTGACGCGCGCGCGATATCACCCACCGGCGGCCTCCTCAGCCAGTGTCCAATCCATCTTTCTTCACTTTCTCCTGCATATTTGCTGTTGGTTGGCGATTGGTTCTTGTTTTGCTTATTCTTTCACATAGTTTCTTGTTGGTGGTGATTATCTCCGGCCCGGCCATCTGATCTTCAGTATACAGCGATAGTTGACAGTTGTTGATTGATAAAGGTCTGCAACAGACTGTTGGAGATATTCTTTGTGACACACCCGCCAAGTTTCTGATCCGTATAGAAGAACTGACTGATTGACTTGACGTTGTTTGTATTGAAAATCCTACCGAATTTTGTTGTTTATGCTGGCTGAGTGAGGAAGATTTCCAGATTGGTTTCAGGTTGGTGAGTGAATGTGGTTCTCGCCCTTCTCCTCGATTCTTGCTAGATTTTGGCATGCTCGTCCGTTCCTCCTCGTGTAGTTGAGACAATGCTCCCTAGATAAGTGAGTGAATGAAGTAACCTCTTTCAAATCCCTCCCGTTGATGGTGATTGGCGCTGGGTGTTGCTGTTGTTGTTGTTGGCTGATTGGTTGGTTATTTTAGTAACCTCCGTCTTGTCTATGTTCACCTGGAGTTCTGTCTTCACCGGCTGCTTCTTTGACCAGTTTGTCGGTTTTTGCTATTTTACAATCCTTGTTTATTTTCCAATTCAGATGTGAAATTTATTCCCTGTACTAGCGAGTTTATATGCATCAAGAAGCTAGAGATATGTTCTGTTTTAACACCGTGAAAGTGTCATCCACATATCTCCACCATATTTTTGGAGTAGGGTTAAACGTATTAAGAGCACTACTTTATCAGCTGTCCATAAATATGTCTGCTACGATAGGGGATATTGGTGATCCAACCCATTGCTACACCTTCTGTTTGTCTATATATTTTGCCTTGGAACTTAAAGATAGTAGATGTGAAGCATAAGTGAATTCCTGAAATAACTTCTTTAGTGGGCAGCTTCGCCCTATGAGTGAGTTCAGGATCAGCAGTTAGTTCTTTTTTAACTGCTTCTATGTCCGTAGTGATTGGTATATTAGTATAAAGACTAGTTATATCAAAACTAACCATTGTTTCATCATTCTCCAGTAGTTGAATGTCATTTAGTTTATTTTTCATCTCATTTGTGAATTAGTTAGTTAGTCTAGAGTTTGAACGATTTCTAATGGGGCATAATATTAGAGCGAAGTGTTTTGATAATTCATGAGTAGGAGTATTCCTAAAATCTACTATTGGTCGTATGGGTATTTTAATAGTACCATACACATTCTACTAGCATTATTAGTTTTTATTGATTTTTATTCAAATATCTTGTCAATTCCACACACATATATATAAATGAAGGGAAAAAATTGTGTGAGTGGTGCCTTGATATGATTATGAATGGCAATAATTTATGCTTCAAAACGCGTTCATCAGTTAATATTACTGTATAACACTACACTGTGTGATTTATCGAAATAAAATCTTTGCTATACTGGTGGTTAGGCTTCTTATTTATGTCCTTGTTGAAGCCCTCTTTCTTCTGCTGTTGGTTCTTGCCTGTGGAGCTTCAAGTTTTTGTAACACTAAATACAAATTTATCTTACATACATACACACACATGCATACAAGAGTACCGATTACTTAAGTTGAAGTTTTACAGACAGGGTAAAAACAATACTTACAGTTGGGTGATTATTGATGCCATCTGGTACATGTTTTTGATCATATTCTCTTATGATTTCTGGCATGTTTCGTTTTGATGTCGTCTGTAGTGGTTGTGATAGTTGTTCCTTTTGCTGCTGTTGTTGTTGTTGTTGTGATGTCGGAGTCGGTTGCGGTGATGTCGATGACGCTGAGTAGGCTTCATTCACCTTACCTTGTATATGGTTTATCTAAAAGAATGATTCCAAATGATAAAAAAAAACAGATCAATAAAGGAGACACGTATGCCACCGAAAAATTGATGTATGCATTCTTCTGTTTGTTATCATGCTATTTTACGTAAACATAACTCCAAACATTCCCCACAACATTAACAAATTATGATTATATTATGTATAGTACGTAACATTCTCGAGTAGTTCGTAAGACAACAGTTAAATTATCTCATACATTTATTCCCTCTTTAATAAATTTGGAAAAAGCAAGAACTACAGTGGTTTTTGCAGAATAAAATGGTACCATCAGTGTTTATTTCGTTGCCTTTTTGTCAGCTGCTTACAAGCTGAAGGCATTATTAAATATATATGTCTACAAAAACAATTTTAACATATTTGCATACCCTCAAATGGTTCATCAACAAGTATGGAAGATCTGAAGTCATAAATGTAAAACAAATCACAGTGGATATAAAGCCAATCTATATTCAGCTTGATTTTAAAGGTGGAAACGTTGCAGCAATGATCAACAGAAGGCTGAGTATATCACTTATAGCCATGGCTTATCCTGCAGCTAAGCTCGACCCTGTCTATCGAATAACTTGCTCTTTTGGTAGAATCAAAAATCGATAGATATCCTCCTCATTTTAACAATTTCAACTGTATATTTTCAAATTTACATGTATCTTCGGGAGCAGTTACATTGGAAGGACAGAAAGAAGAAGAGCATATCTACGACTTCCTGAACATGTACCAAAAAGCTTACGTCTATGGGGAACAAATGCTTTAAACAATGCCATCACCAGGCATCTCCTTGTCACGGGTCAGTCATGGGGTGGATGTCGAAAAGTCGTTCAAATTATCAATAGGTAAAAGAGCTCAATTCTCTTCAAGTTTGCTGAAGCCATTTCCATCAAGCGCCTGAAACATGATTAATGAGTCCAGAAAGAAGAGGCGGTTATCAGTCTTTCTTTTCCCCGCTGCCTGTAACTGGATATTTTCATCTGTCTTTCATCTGAATGCGTAATGCTGAAAAGTTTCCATTGTGTATGATTATTGTTGTTCGGAATAGTGTTCAATATTACATGCATATATGCATATATTATTAATATATTGATCGATTGATTTTTGTTTAAAATGAACTCTGTGCAAGTATGTTAAGATTGTTTTTGTAGATATATTTAATAATGACTGCGTCTTGTAAGCAGCTGACGAGAAGCCAACGAAATAAACAACGATGGTACCAGTTTATTCTGCAAAAACTGTAGTTTTCGTTTTGTTCAAAGTTCATTTATCTTAGAAAAGTGATTTCGTGTTATACTGGCAATGAAATGATATTAAGGTGAAGGGTTTCATTCGCAAATCATGCAGTTCATGGTGAAAATGGACTAAACAGCATAATATATATGTATACAATTAGCCTGTTTGATGACATATTGTGGCAATGAGACAACGAGTAAGTAAGTATTACCTGCTAGATTGATGTGTAACAACAATGATTAGTGCTCACTATCCCGCGGTAAAAAATTGAAGTTCTCTTAAAACAGATCGAGTAGATCTGTGGGTTAGTTAACTGGATGGTTTTTTTGATGGGACTGCGTTTTCTGAGCCAGGGGAGGGGTGGCGGAGATTTAATTGTGCCAAGCTTTCATCGTCTTTCTTCAAGACAACATCACTTCAGAGCGAAATTAGGCATATTCAAGTATTCCTTTGTAGGGATTTGGTTGATTGATTACAGGATTTCATCATGAGCTGACATTGGTTAGAGAACCATTGGAAAACAAGCTGGAAGTACTAGAAAGCCAGCTGTTTCTGTTGTCCTAGTTTGGGACTCTTCAGCAGTACGCACAAGCTCGCCTTGTAACCAGAAGGTGTGGGTGCGTACTCCTGAAGAGTCCTAAACTAAGATAACAGAAACAGCTGCCAGGCAGCACTCCCAGCCTGTTTTCCAATGGTTCTCTAATCAGTGTCATCTCATAATGAAATCCTGTGAATAAAATTAAGCATGATGTGAACTTAATAGAATTTAGTTTAACAAGTCTGACAGAGTAATGCAGAAACCTAGGGGATTGTTTCACTGTCGAAGGGTCTATGCAATTTTCTAATCGCCGAAAATCCCATCAGGATATTAGAGAGGAAAGAAGGAGAAATTCATTAAGGATATATCTCTGGAGATGTCATCCTCAAAATCTGTACTGCCGCACTTTTACGCGTGATAACCAAAAAAGGAAACTAAGTGTGCTGGTAATTTTCAACATGTTATGGAGGTTCAAAGGTGTGAACATAGATAACAAAGGGCTTAGAAACTAAATTACACTGAATTAGAAAATAATGGGGTTACGTGTAAAATACATCTTTTAACGAATACAAGTGTGAATGGGATGAGCGTGCATAAAAACAAATTGAAAATACAGTATTTCAATAACTGAAATGGAAAGCCGAAAAAGCAGAAATTAGGGGGTGGGGGGGGTCAAATCAAATTAGTTCCATGGTATGTGTAGAGGCTGGACTAGTTTCTTTCGAATATATATATGGCTCCGGCTTTTCAATGCAAATGGCGAGAGATTCTGCAGTACAAGGCAGTTGGAAACACATTGGCCTTTGGTAGATTTTTATTTACTTTGTAAGTGTGATATGATTATGAGTGGCAATAAATTGTGCTCGAAACATCATCATTACACATTAACGTATAACACTGTGAGATTTTATTAAAACAAATTTTACCCACAATGGATATTTGTAAGTAACCCTGAATGATTAGTTAGTGTTGCGATTCTGTAACAAGTGTTGGTTGACGAGGTGTTCAAATAATAACGCTTCAGACTAAATCATTGCCTTCTGTCTGCTGTCATGCTGGGTAGGGTGTTCTAAATACGTTTTCACAGCACACACATTGAGGGACCTATATATACCTAGCTATGCAGGAACAAGGGAACTAATGCATACACACTGAATTGATAATATGCTGAAGTTTGTCATTCATACTGCTTAGAAGCAGTGGGTAGCTACATAATATCACCCTAGAGTTACCTTAGGAGAGGTCTTCTTTAATGGAAGTAGAGATTTTCCTCTTTAAGTTGTCTGATACTACGTTTCTCCTGAAGTCCAGGTCCAAATAAGGTATTTTCCTTAGCACTGAAAGGTATTCTTCATATTTTGGTTTTGGCTGGATGCTTCCGACTGCTTGGTACTGCAGAATCCCTCACCATTCGCATCGAAAAGCCAGAGGCATATATATACGAAAGAAACTAGTCCAACCTCTAAACATACCATGAAGCCAATTCGGTCTGATTCCCCCAGCCTGAGTTCTGCTTTTTCGGCTTTCCATTTCAGTTAATAAAATACTGTTTCTTCAATTTGCCTCTATGCACGCTCATTCCATTCACACCTGTATTCGTTAAAAGAAGTATTTTACACATAACCCAAGTATTTTCTAATTCAGTGTTATTTTAATTGAATTTTAGATTTTCCCGTCGATTGATTGGACCGAAGTGCTCCGTATCAGGTTGACCGTTGACCCATTGCACAAGAGTTGGCTCTCGTGGCCCAAGTGGTCTAGTGGATAACGCTTTAGCGTTTGAAACTATGGGCAATGGGTTCGAGCCTCACTGGTGGAAACATCATCGCTCACTCCCTGAAAAATGCTGGTACATCCAGTAGCTGACGAGTCTCAAATGGGACGAAATGAGCATACTGGATTCCACTGCTAGTCACCATCCACCAATTAAATAATAAGTGTAATTTTGTTTCTAAGCCTTTTGTAATCGATATTCACAACTTAGAACTTCCGTATCATGTTGAAAATTACCAGCCCACTAAGTTTCCTTTTTTTGGTTAACATGTGGAATAAAGCAATGACTGTATCTATGCCTACTTGTGCATATAAATGCGATTGCATAGCTCTTGAGGATGAATTCCCCGTAAAAATGTCATTACTGTTGACCGCTAATTAGTGTGAGTACCAGGCTTGCAAGAGTTACCCGTTGGTTTTTGATGTTTCTACATTTTCTCAGTTAAATTGTGATCCATCATTGTCAACGTGCATCGATATGATGAAAGAATACACACTGTATCTCTGGACAGGAGTTGAAGGAGATGCTCACTACAACCGATATAGTGTCCATCATCAAAGTGTTTACAGTTTATCTTGTAATACAATGTTGATCTTGTCTTCTTCTTCTGCCGCTGTTGGTTGGATCTTTTGTTCTGCATAGAAGGGCAATGGAAGCTTTGCAATGAAAATGTCATCCGCTTCAGAGAAGATAATCGCATCAAAATTTTCTTTCATTTGGTCATGGAGAAGTAATCAACATCTTTAGTAGGGCTGACATAATTCTGTCGTCCACCATTGCTGGAACATGCTAATATAAGCGCGAAACTTGGATCCAGATCTTCCCACCGGTTTTCTCCAACCGTCTTGCATTAAAATAAAGTTTCCAGGGGTTAGTTTGTAAGGATTTGATTTGTTTCAAGTTTGACCACAGATTGATATCAGTTTGGGAACTACCGAATACCAGCAGGGAGTACTGGTTAGCTGTTTCATTCTAGTCTTTTGGGACTAATCCGCGGTACGTACTCGCTGAGGTCCGGACTCAGGACCTGCCGGTTATATAAGGCAAGCTCAAAGATCATTCAGTTACTGAAACAAGATCTAGTGGCCCATGAATTCCAACCTCTACCATTTCGTGGTTTTATGGCGACCACCAGCCAGTCATCACACCCCTGATTGGGTTAGAACCCAGTGAAGACATACTGCTAGTGAGTTTTCAGTGGTTCGCGGAATGATACCAATCCATGGGAAAACTGGAAATGAAGTTCCCTTAGCCTTACTCCCTATGTGTCAGTGGCGATGGTAGAATGGTAGAATGCTCGCCGACCACACCTCATGTGGTCCGGGCTTCATTCCCCGGCCGACGCAATCCTTTACCTCGCTAAGCCAGTTATAAGGGTGGTAAATAAAAAATGGTTGGGCATAAGGTTAGCAACCCCATCCCGTAAAAATAAACACCACTGCTACCGAAACTTCCAACCTCTAGCTTGAAGCCTTATGCTGTGTACCACTGGGAACGTCAAAGAATTATTACTACTGTCCACTTGAGTTCCTAGTGGAATATAGGGCTTCAACTGAACGCATCCACTTGCCACTTCTGTCTTGCTTCTGATGTACTTTTCACCTGCATCCATCTTAGTCCATACTGTCCATACTCCTCTCTCTTCACACGATCTCCTACATATCACCCTAGCACTGATGACCCACTCTCCGCTTCCCTTTCGGTCACGTTCCACTCGAGAAATGGCCTGACGCGCGTGCGATATCACCCAACGGCGGCCTCCTCAGCGAGTGTCCAATCCATCTTTCTTCACTTTCTCCTACATATTTGTTGGTTGGCGATTGGCTTGTTCTTGTTTTGTTTGTTCCTTCCCATGGTTTCTTGTTGGTGGTGATTCTCTCCGGCCCGGCCATCTGATCTTCAGTATACAGCGATAGTTGACAGTTGTTGATTGATAAAGGTCTGCGACAGACTGTTGGAAATATTCTTCGTGACCCGCCCGCCAAGTTTCTGATCCGTATCGAAGAACTGACTGACTGACTTGACGCTGTTTGTATTGAAAATCCGACTGTATTTTGTTGTTGATTCTGGCTGAGTGAGGAAGATTTCCAGATTGGTTTCAGGTTGGTGAGTGAATGTGTTTCTCGCTCGCCTTCCCGATTCTCGCTCGATTTGACATATTCGTCCGTTCCTCCTCGTGTAGTTGAGGCAATGCTCCCTAGATAAGTGAGCGAATGAAGTAACCTCTTTCAAATTCCTCTCGTTGATGGTGGTTGGCGCTGGATGTTGCTGCTGTTGTTGCTGTTGTTGGTTGGTTGGTTATTTTCATAACCTCCGTCTTGTCTGTGTTCACCTGGAGTCCTGTCTTCGCTGGCTGCTTCTTCGACCAGTTTGTCGATCGGTTTTCGCTTGTAAGTCTTCGCTTCTGTGTGACATCAAACATAAATCATCCACGCACGAAATCCAGGTCTTCTAGGTTCTTCACCTTATATATATGCTTACATTAAAGCATTTCCGTCAGTGGTTCAATGTTAGGTATGCTTTCTAGCGTTGCACAGTCAGTCCACCACAATTAGGAATATCATTGGTGATAATCGGCAGGCAGCCTTGTCTGACCCTTGTGTTTACTCGAAACGCCTTCCTGAGTCTTCCGTTGTGGATCACTTGACATGTGCTGTTGTCGTATAGCTGTTGAATGAAGTTGATGAATATTTGGGGTACGCCGTAGTACTCGAGTAGTTTCCAAATTACTTCGCGGTCAATGCTGTTTGTCGAAGGCCTTCTCAAAGTCTATAAAGTTGAGGTAGAGGTTTGATTGCCATTCCACGCTTTGTTTTGTGATGATGTATAGAGTTGCGATTTGGTCAAGACATGATTTTCCTTTCCTGAATCCAGCTTGTTCTGTTCGGAATTTTGTATTCAGTGTGTCCTTTAATCTCCCCAGGATGATGCGACTCAGGATTTTACTTGGCGTCGACAGGAGCATGATTCCTCGCCAGTTCTTGCAGAGTGAGGCGTAAGTCGCCCTTCTTTGGTAGTTTCACGAGGTGACCTTTCCTTCAGTCAGTAGGCACACCTTTCCATCCTTCCAGACCTTTTGCAGTAATGGAGTCAGTCAGCATGTCTGCTGTAGTCTCTGGGTCCACTTTCAGTGCTTCAGGGGTATTCCATCTGGTCCAGCCAGCTACTTTTCCAGCTTTCAGAAGCTTGATTGCATTCAAGACTTCAGCTCTCGCTGGAGGAATGGTGTCAACTTGCAGTTGTGTACGTGCTGTTGTTGGTATTTCTGGACGGGTCGCAGGTGGTGGTCGGTTCAAGAGTCCTTTGAAGTGATTAGCCCATTGTTTAATCTGTCTTTCTTTCTACTCACTTGTGTTGATCTCTTCCCGGATAGAGACTTGGTTATTTCAAATAGTGTCCTCAGGTCCTTTTTGCCTGCTGCCTTCTCAGCTTTAGTGGCCAGGTTGTCGTAGAATCGTCTTTTGTCCTTCCTAGCACTCTTCTTCACTTCTTTATCCAGTAGTGCTGTGTAAGTTGAGCTCAGCGTCTCTTTCTCTTGTCTGTTTTTGCATTGAATCATTTTCTCTTTCACCATTCTCCTCTCTTCTGTTAGCTTCCAAGTGTCCATTGAAAGCCATTCCTTGTCTTGCCTTTTCTTTCTTCCTAAAACTGTTGAACACGTTTCGTTTAGAATCACCTTCGGAGAGTTCTAATGTTCTTTCACGCATGATTCTTCAGTGATGTCAAGTAGTGTCTCCTGCTTTGCTCTGACAGTTGCAGTGAAAGTGTCCTTGTGTGGTTGTGTCCTTCAGTAATTGAGTGTTGAACTTGCATTGTGACCTATCCCCAGCTATCCTCGAGGCTTTTAGCTTCACTTTGAAAGTCCATTGTACTAGACAGTGGTGATCTGAACCCACATCTGCTCCTCTCCTCGATCTTGTGTATGTCCAGTAGGCTCCGTCTCCACTTCCTTGAGATTGAAATGAAGTCTCTCTGCTTTTTGGTCAGGGAATAAAAAAACCTTACTCCTACTTCCCGATGACTGCTACTCAAATTTAACGTAGATGGCCACAGGTATACTCTTTTGTAAAGAACATTAAACTAATCATTAACTAGTGAGTGGTACACTTTTGCTATATGAATATGAAAAAGAAGCCATTAACTGATATTATAAAATAAGTGTGTCATATATATTATTCAACTTCCTAATCATCATGGCATGATTTCCGTGTATCTCTTTATTTACTTTAGGTATTATTTGATTGGATTTCAACTGACATGATTTGTTCCGATGAAGCGTTTTAAACGATTTCCGATGACTAGGACTTTCGCCATGACTACCGTCACTAGTAACGCGATAGCTATCATTATCATTATTCACGTGATTATCACTATCCTCATTCATTCTTATATCAGAATAAGACTTTCGACGTTTTACACATAACAGAGGAAGTTTTAGCCTTTTCGACTTCCAAGTAGAATTAAGTCGTTTTGGTCTTTGAAATACACTTGTTGAATGGTACACTTCACGCTGTAGTTTCAACACACCACTATATGATTGTACAACATTTACTGCAGCAATACTAAACTATAGAAATAGTGCGGCAAGATATATTATTCGAGATATGTGAGCACAGTGCACAACCGGATAGACATCACAACAGTTATTTGGACAACAATGACAACAACAACGGGCGAGATAATATCAACAACGGGCATTAGTAAAAAGACGAACGTATGCAAAAAGACACAAAAACATTCAAAAAAGAAAGCAAAAAAGAGAGAAAAACGAGGAATGGTCAGATAAATGTTTAAATTGGTTGTTTTTAATTAGTATACATGTATATATATTTTTACTTCCTTTAATTCCTACAGGAATATAGGGCTTCAGCCGCACGTCTCCATTGAGTTTAGTTCTCTGCTTAAGTTTTTACCTTGCTTAAAGTCTGTTGCTGATCTTTCCAAGCCGGCCATCCGATCTTCAGTAGTATTGAGCGAAGACGTCTGTTAATGAAGGTCTGTAGTTTGTTTGAGATGCTCTTTGTCACGCGCCAGGTCTCTGATCCGTACAATAGGGAGTATTGACTTCACATTGGAGTTAAAAATCCGGATCTTATTTTCATTTTCATGCTGAGTAGTGTTGTTGACCTCCATACAGACTTGAGAGTAATGAAAAGTTGTCTTGCTTTCCCGATCCTCGCTTTGTTATCCTTATCAGTTCCGTCTGTAGTTGAAACGATGCTTTCCAGGTAGGTTGTCGGGTAAAGCAGGTTGCTTCTTTCAGGTTTCTCCCATTCACGCTGATTGTTGTCCGTTGTTGTTGTTGGCCAGGAATCTCCATCACCTCCGTCTCCACCTTATCTATGTTCACCTGAAGTCTTATTTTCTCTGAATGCGTCTTCCATCGTCAACTTGTTTCTTTTCACTTGCATATCTTCCATTTTGTGGGATTTGAGACATATATCATCGGCGAAATCCATATCCTTCAAGTGTTTTGTGTGGGTCCATTTTATGCCTGTCTTCTCGTTGCCCGCCTCTGTCTGTCGCATTATCCAGTCTACACAATCAAGAAAATCATTGAAGATAGTAAGCAGCCTTCCTTGTCTAACTCCTGTCTTCACTTCGAGCGATTCTTTGAGTTTTCCATTGTGGATTACTTCGCGTGCAGCATTGTCGCATAACTTTTGAATGAAATGTATAATTGTTGATCGCACCCTGTAGTAGCGAAGTAGTCGCCAAATCACCTCTCTATCGACATTGTCGAAGTCTTTTTGAAAGCCAATAAGTACAAAACTATAGAACTCAATGTTCATCAACAAAAAAATCGGTTAAGCAAAGTAAGCAAAGCAAACGAAACTCACCGTTTTTGTCGTATCTGAAGTTTTCATACTGAAAAATAATGAATGAAGATTGGAAAATGATTTTATTTGACATATTATGATATTATTTGAACTGGTGTGTTTGCATGCGGTAAAAACCTTCAACTTAATCAACGAAAATATTTCAGTAAATTTAAATGAAGATGGTTGCGTTGGGGAGTTTATCATGAGCTGACATCATTTACAGAACAACTGGAAAACGAGCTGGGAGTACTGGATAGCTGTTCCTGCTATCCTAGTTTGGGAGTCTTCAGCAGTACGCACCCATTCACCACCAGGGTTCGAACCCAGGACCTTCTGGTTACAAGGCGAGTTCGTAGACCATTGAGCCACTGGGACCGCGGTGGGTGTGTACTGATAGAGTCCCAAACTAGGATGAAACAGCCGTCCAGTACTCCCAGGTTTTCCAGTGGTTCTCTAACTGATGTCACCTCATGATGAAATCCTCCACGCAATGAAATAAAAATCCTCCCAAAACCAATACTTGAAAAGTAAATGAAGATGATATGAGCTGGAAGTTAAGTGGAAGAATGCTCATAAGCCATGTGTAAGATTCATGTTTAATTCCCACTCGACTCACTCCGGTCAACCTCTATCAGTTCACTAGCTAAGAGAAAGCCTAGAAGAGAGGCAAGGTTGAGTGTGAAGCCAGCAACCCTATATTTGAAAAGCATTGCCGTCATCACTAAAACTTCGAAATTCGTGTCTGAAGTCCTATTTTCCAATCAGAACTCAAAGAATGTAGGAGAAAGGAAGATGCAATAGAGACTCACTCAGTATAACCAAGAAAGCCAGCCAAAATCACAGAGACTCTTCGTCCTTGTCTCAGAATCCTAAGAAATGCTCATCTTCGACTGTTTGACAAACAGAAACATTGATTTTCAGATTTCAAGCTGAATATTAACCATTCAGTTCGGGAATCTCAGATCAAAACAAAAACACTGGAAAACCTGAGAGTACTGGACAGCTGTTTCCACCTGCTTGTTTGGTAATCCTCATCAGTACCCACCCACCAGCAGGGTTCGAACCGAGGACATTCTGGCTACAAGGCTAGTGAGCTCGTAGACCATTCAGCAACTGGGAACCACCCAATCCAATGGCCAGCCAACCCATGAATTCAAGCTTCTGCTTATATAGCAGGTTGAAGGTGAGGCAGTGACTCACCGAAGAAGACATTGCGAAGTGATCACGCTATGTCATGAATTGGCAGACATTGGAATTCATGGACTGCCCATTAGATCTGGTGAGTCCCAGTGATTGATAAATGGTCTACGGGCTCTCTAGCCTTGTAACCAGAAGGTCCCGGGTTCGAACCCTGCTGGTAGGCGCGTACTGCTGAGGAGTCTCAAACTAGAACGACACAGCTGTCCAGTTTTTCCCCTCTGGTTTCCAGTGGTTCTCTAACCGATGAAATCCTGCAACAAATCAAACAGAATCCCTACAAAACGAATGCTTTCTAATACATCGCAATTTCAGCCATACTGACTGTTAAATAGTATTTCACGTCAGTTCTGCTAAGCATTGCGATATCTGAGAAATTGTATCCTATGACTATAGTTCTTTGTATGAAGTGAGAAAATATTGGCCATGTGAAAAGTCGGGATAGCACTGTAAGTCTTTATGAAAAACGGATTATCCCCGCTGTACTGAATACAAACTCATAAAATGACACCGATTAAATAATTTTATATGATTATTCCCTTGGATTTTCAGTGGAACATATCTGTCTTCAGCGATCCACATCCATTTCATTCTGCTATTTGAGGTCTTTTTTTTAGCTAGGTCTACAAACTGCTGATAAACTCACAATGCCATAAACGAACCTCTGTCCAGTGAGTCGTTTGCAATTAATGTTCCACTTGAGGACCTTACGTTTGATGCAAACTCAAAGGTCTCACTAGCATTTATCCAGTACACCTCTGTTTCACTCATCGTATTAATTGGTTGGTTCGCTGCCTACCAGAGTCCCTTGTTGCTTATTCATTCTGACCAGCCGTCTGATTTTCAGAATTCATTGGAGACGGCTGTTTTTATAAAAGTCTGCTGTAGTAGCTTGGTGGAGATACTTTTCATTACTTACTTCACCCTGTCGAGAACACTGACTCAGTATGTCAAAATTGTTGTTGTAGATATATATTTAATAATGTCTTTGCCATGTAAGCAGCTGACGAGAAGGCAACGAAATAAACAACGATGGTACCATTTTATTATGCTAAAACTGTAGTTCTTGTTTTGTTCAAATTCATTAAGGGGAGTAGATGTATGAAATTTCAGTAAAGTTAAGCAACACTTGGTTTCATTTGTTACGTGCACACGTGACTGGCTTTTAACATCGCCTTAATTCCTAGCCAGTCCTAAGCCTGGAAAAGGGAAGAAAGTAAGTGTGTGTTTGGAGGGGGGTGGGAATAGCCTATCCTACCTCAGAAAATCAGTCTCTACAAGAACCACAAACCATAGGGAAAATATATATTTATAAAAAAACCCGTTTATCTGTAACACTTGTTGATCTCCTGGCTCTACAGAAAACCTCTTTGGCATGGAAAAAGAAAGAACTGGACAAAATTAGTGAATGAAAACACATTTAAATTAAAACAATTAGTCCCTTTGATAAATTTGAATAAGGCATTAAGAAGACAAATTTCTCCGCGAGATGATATCGTCATTTCGTAGTTTCCTTACAACCGCTAAAACACAACTAACACGGTTAACAATGATAAAATAAAGTTCATGAAAATTACTCAGTTATATAAAAAACAAAAGTAGATACTAATGACCAATCATATTAAGATGGTTAATAGCTAATGGTTATCCGGAGAGCTTTATCACTTGTCACAACAAAGAAAAACCACATCTCGAAAAGACGCCTTCTGTACCAAAGAAAGCCATCTTTATTAATCTACCATTCAAGGGCGACCAGATTATGCAGTTGACAGCTAACTCAAAGACTTTGATCAGCCATCAAACGCACATTCTACGCCGCCGAATTTCTTTTTCTCACACGCCGAAAATTTTTGATCCCTGTATCTACGATTAAAGGACGAAATTCTGTGGACTCTAATTCAAACTGTATCTAGAAGTTCCCCTGCAGCTGCGATGACACCTATATAGGTAGAACTAACAGAATGTTCCAATGTCGTCGAAAAGAACATATTCCAAAATGGCTACTAAATCATATCGAAAATTCCAATGCAATTATTAATCTGAATAGAAATCCAGCGTCATCATCCATTGCAAAACACTTATTAACGTCAGGTCACAAAGTCAATATAAATGACTGTTTCACAATTATTTCACCACATAACTCTAATTCATGTTTGGTTGGTTGGTTGGTTATTGAAGGTGATGGAAGCACTTTGGGGGATTAATCACATACAGCCTAAACTGTGTGTACAAAAATCAATAGACTTCAATCTTCGCCTACCCTGGACTGCATGACCTATCTTAATATGATTGGTCATTAGTATCTACTTTTGTTTTTTATTTAACTGAGTAATTTTCATGAACTTTATTTTATCATTGTTAACCATGTTAGTTGTGTAAAGCGGTTGTAAGGAAACTACGAAATGACGATATCATCTCGCGGAGAAATTTGTTTTCTTAATGCCTTATTCAAATTTAAATTAGTCGATTAGTGCAATTCAAAACTCACTTTTCTAAAGATTTATTTCGAATTGAAGTTTCATTTATTGCGCCGCTCACATTATTCTAGTAAAAAGCAAAAAAAAGCAAACAAATAAATAGGTGATTGAACAATGTGTTACAAAGACAAGGGATTCATGGACCATTGAGTCGAGTCCCTGGTGGCTAATTCGTCTATGCGCTTGCCATGTAATCAGAAGGTACTGGTTTCGAACTCAGATGAGTGCGTACTGACAATGAGTTCCAAACTAGGATGAAACAGGTGTTCAGTACTCCGTGGTTCTATATCAGCTGATATCAGCCAGTGAGCAAACTTGCGAGAAAAAAAAATCAAATCTGGACAAATTACCTCTTGAAAAACGAAGATGTTCAGTAGTGATTTGTACTTATTAATTATGTGTTATTGTTCCCTTGAGTTCCCAGTGGAAAATAGGGCTTCAACTGCACGTATACACTTGCTTCTCTCTTCCTTCTGCTATACTTTTCATCTGCATCCATGTTAGTCCATACTGTCTAAACTCCTCTTCACACGATCTCCTGCATGTCACTCTCGCACTGAAGTCCCACTCGCCGCTTCCCTTTTGGCCTGGTTCCACTTGAGCAATGGCCTGACGCGCGTGCGATGTCACCCAGCGGTGGCTTCCTCAGCGAGTGTCCAATCGATCCATCTCCACTTTCTCCTGCATATTTGTTGGTTGGCGATTGGTTGGTTCTTGTTTTGTTTGTTCCTTCCCATAGTTTCTTGTTGTTGGTGATTCTCTCCGGCCCGGCCATCTCATCTGCAGTATAGACCGAAGTCAGTTGTTGTTTGATAAAGGTAAAGTCTGCAACTGGCTATTGGAAATATTCTTTGTGAAACACCCGCTAAGTTTCTGATCCATATAGAAGAGCTGACTGACTTGACGTTGTTTGTATTGAAAATCTGACCAAATTTTGTTGTTGACGCTGGCTGAGTGACGAAGATTTCCAGATTGATTTCAGTTGGTTGATGAACAACGTGTTTCTCGCCTTCCTCACTCTAACTCGATTTGACATCCTCGTCTGTTCCGACATCCTGTAGTTGAGACAATGCTTCCTAGATAAGTGAGTGAATGAAGTAACCTCTTTCAAATCCCTCCCGTTGATGGTGATTGGCACTGGATGTTGCTGCCATTGTTCATTTTTTATTACAGCTAGATTCCACACCGCATTTTTTTGGTACAGGTATGGAATTTTCAACATGTGATATCAGTAGCCCAAATTTTTCAGGTCAGCCACAGATATCAGGTGTGCATCGGCAGCGGATCTAACGCCGGATCATGTGCCTGATCGGCGAGAGTCATAACCACTGTGTCACCGATGCACCGACAAATAACCTCCGCCTTGTCTGTGTTAATTTGGACTCCTGTCTTTGCTGCTTCTTCGACCAGTTTGTCGGTTTTCGCTCGTAAGTCTTCGATTTTGTGACAGTGATATCAAACATAAATCATCCACGCGAGAAATCCAGGTCTTCTGGGTTCTTCACGTTGGTCCAGGATATCCCTGTGTTCTTGAACTTAAACTAATAAAAAATATTAGAATATCATAATGTCACAATGTCAACGGGAAGGTTTTCGATTTAATCTCTCTCACTTTTCGTGCAACGCGTATCATAGGCGGCTCTCACGGCCTAATTGGCCTATTGGACAATGACTTGACATTTGAAGTAATGGCTGCATGCTTCAAATCTCAGTAGGAAACACCATTATTTACTCGGGAGTATAGGTGCAGTCAGCCATCCAGCCAGTTAGTCTCAGGAAGAAGGAAATGTTCACCCTGATGGATTCCCCTGCTAGTCAACATCCACGAAATTAGAAAACAAAGTCACTTGACACCTATGCAGTCAATGAGTAATATATAGTATCCACTGTTGCTCACCTTCCGTGGATCTCAAGTGTACACATCATGTGAATAGCCAATTCCTGTCATTCAGTAGTTTTTCAACAGGTATATATATATATAGGCTTACATTAAAACATTTTCGTCGGTGGTTCAATGGTAGTATGTTTTCTAGCATCTGTGCGTCGGTAGCACAGTAGTTAGGACCCTCGCCAGCCATGGACATGGTCTGGGGTCCGATCCCCTGCCGACGCACACCTAATATCTATGGTTGGCCTGCAAAATTTGGGCTGCCGATATCATATGCTGAAAATTCAATCCTTAGACATAAATAATCCACGCGTGAAATCCAGATCTTCTGTTTGTCTGTTTTCGACATAGAAATTTGCACCGATGTGCCGCAGTTCAAGTCGTTAAACTCCATGTAGCACACAAAGCATAAGAAGAAAGTAGAAGAAATGCATAATAGAGACAGTAAACAGAGGTGTGAGACAAAGGAATAGTGATAACGAAGAACAAAACAGTTTCATGGGAAATCATAGGTCATAAGGAGTGAATGCATCTGCGCCAGCCATCATTGAGGACGATTTTGAGCCATATCACCGATCGCTTCCACCCATTGGTTTTTACCGTCCCAAGGACCCCAATTAGGAAGTCTACACCGTCCTACTTGACTGGTTCAAACTAATTGACTGGTGCCATGTTTTGGTTTGACTGCCGCTAGCTCTTTTCCAGCCTGACTCTATGTTAGCTAACATTGCCCATTGTCAAGGAAGGTGATGACTAAGCTAGGCGTACGTAACACATGTCCTAACCATCTCAGTCGATGTAGCTTCACAGCCTCATCGATTGATTTCCCCTCCCACCTACCTAGCACTCGACCGATGCCAAACCTCAATATTGCTCACCCCATTATACCACTTCATATGGGAGTTAGAACGCAGGCACCTATGATCAAAGACAGCTAATATTTTCATGTCTTCCACTCTCAATGGCCAGGTCTCGCTCACAGTCATAAAGGAGGACGGAGCGGACTGATGAGCAGTACACCCGCCCTTTGGTCGATAGTCGGATACCACGTCTACTCCAGAGACAGAGTAAACTGGCATATGCGAACCAAGCCTTCTGTATTTGTGCTGAGATTTCATCAGAGATCAACCCGTTGGAGTTGGCTGATGGTACTTCTCTAGATCTTCTAGAGTCTTCTTATTGGTCACTACAGCGTATTCCTATCTTCTCACTTACTACCTGTGGACAGTCTGACGAATAATCCAGCTCACCACAATTAAGAATGTAGTCGTGGGTGATAATAAGAAGTCAGCCATTCAGTCAGATAATCAGCTTGTTTTACTCCTATCATCTTCACTTTGACCGCCTCGCTGGGTGATTTTATCGTTGTGGATTGCCTGACACATGGCATTGTCACATGAATGTGATTAGCTTATTAGGTCATTATTTTATTGGTGAACTAATCTCTTATCGAGGAAATTTCAGGGCATACACACAGTAGTAGGCTGTAGTGAAAGCACTGAGAAAATTACTCATTTACTCTAGACATACGAATTTTATTACACACACAAATGAAGTCTAGTCATTGTCATCACTGGTTATACGGTTAATCTGAACCAGTGAAAATATAGTTTGGAAATCACATTCCCCAAACTGACATGGTTTCAAAGTGGGACTTTTCGCATAGAAGTGAAGTAGTTCAAGTTACCACACTCAGTGTAGCATACAGAAATTAAGAAACTATATTGATACAAACAAGCCAACCCGGATGAAAAACTTCGATCGGAACAAGCTGGATTCAGGAGAAACAAGTCATGTATTGATCAAACCGCCACACCACAAATCATCATTGAACAAAGCTTAGAATGGCAGTCAACTCTTTATCTCACTCAACTTCATCGACTTTGAAAAGGCATTCGACAGACAGCGTCGATCGAGGGGTGATTTGGAAACTACTCCGCTACTACGTGGTGCCATCAACAATTATACATCTCATCCAACAGTTGTACGACAATGCTGCATGCCAAGTAGTCCACAACAGGAAAATTACGGAATCATTCGAAGGGAGGATGGAAGTGAAGCGAGGCTGCCTAATATTGCCAATGATTTTCCTGATTGCAGTAGATTGGATAATGTAGCAGACAGCGGCGGCCAGCGAGGAGACAGGCATAAGATGAACCGACACAAAACATTTACAGGATCCGGACTTCGCCGATCATATATGTCTGATTTCCCACAAACTGGAAGGTATGCAAATGAAAAGCGACAAGTTGGCGATGGAAGACGCATCAAGAGACGATAAGACTTCAGGTGAATATAGAGAAAGTGGAGACAGACGTAATGAAGACTCCTGGCCAACACCACCAACAGCAGCAACAACAGACAACAAACAGAATAAATGCGAGGAATTTGGAAACTATCCGGGAAGCATCCTTTCAACTACAAGCAGAACTGACGAGGATATCAAAGCGCGAGGATCGGGGAAGCAAAGAAAGCTTTCATTACTCTCAAGTCTGTGTGGAGGTCAGCAGCACTACTCAGCATGAAAATGGAAGTAAGATATGGATTTTCAACTCCATTGTGAAGTCTGTGCTACCTACTATATGGATCAGAGATATGGCGCGTCATGAAGGGCACATCAAACAAACTACAGACCTTCATTAACAGCTGTTTTCGCTCAACACTACTCAGGATCGGATGGCCAGCCAGAACAGATCAGCAACAGGGGGATCTCTGGAAGTGAGCGAACCAACCCAGCAGGAACCGATTGTGCAACAAATATGCAAGAATAAATGGATATGGATTGAATTGGCCATACTCTGAGGAAACAAACCACCATCAAGTGACATCACTAGACAAGCCATTGCTCAAGTGGAACCCGAAAGGGAAGCGGTGAGATGGTAGTCAGTTCGAGGGTGACATGGAGGAGGGGGTGATGTGAAGATGAGATGAAAATATGTGGGCAGACTTGGAGCCAGGTAAAATCTCTAGCAGAGAACCGAACCCAATGGAAACTCGCGGCTGAAGCCCTATGTTTCTCCAGGAGTTAAAGGAAGTAATAATAATTGAACAAAATAATAATGAGCAGAAATTTGTGAGAAACTAAATAAATACCATGGAAAACACGAAGGTTTAGTGGATCTAGGCGGCCACAAGGAGTAAAATCATTTGAGCCATTGAGAACGACTTTCAGCCGTATCGGCAATCATCAACCGTTGTTTATTGGCCTACCGAGGACTTCAAAGGTGCAGTCTGCACCTGCTTATGCGACTTCTACCAACTGTCAAAGACTTCATAGATTGACTCCAGGCTTCGGTTCGACCAAATCGAACTATTTTCCAGGCACATTTTACGTCGGCTAACAATGCTCGTCGAGTATGCAGGTGGTTAAGCATGCGCAACATATGTCTTAGTCATCTCAGTCGATGTGGTCTCACATCCTCACTTACTTACCTACCCTCTTCATCCAGGTCTCTATGTTCTAACTTCAACATTAATTAGCATACTGCACCACTTAGCACAGAGGGTAGAACGCAAACAGCGGCCAATTTAAACTTCAGGCCTCACTAACTTCCAATCAGCGTATGACGTCGAATTATCCAATGAGATTCACGAACGTTAGTTCAATGTTGTATAGCGCTTGATTCATTTCAAATGCGTGCCCCAAGGAAGCTACAGTTGCAATTCGAGGAGGATAGTGTTTTCCAGTATTGCCTGGATTTGAGGTTGCTTCGGAAGGAGAGAATTTGTTCATGTGGTGGTGTCATGACTTTAAAAAGCTTTAGCAGGTCAACTGATGGATTTGTCCATCGTTGTGCAATATGTCTGAAGCGAGTTAGTATTAGAGAGGGTAAGCTGATAATTTTAATATTTCGTAGGAAGTTTTTTGCAAGGCCACACCTCTCCTTAACGCAAATTTTGTATATCTGCAACTACTTGGTCTTGAAACAGCCAGTGAGAGTTGCAGCTGCTGAGACGGAGAATAGCCTCGTCTCAACAGTTCAATGGTATCAGCATTGCAGAGACACTGCTTCGTGGAAAATGGAGAAAATCACTTCTTTGTTGGGTAGAAAAGACGTTGTTGTGCACTTCGATGAAACTGTGCTGGTGAAAAAGAAATACAACCGTGGTCGGCAGTGAGCGAACAATATTTGGGTAATAGGTTTTTATGACACCTCCCTCCGAATAGGATTCGTCGAAAGGATAGCAGATAGAAAGGTAACTACTCTAATACCTATTGTTGCCATACTTGTGAAACGGAGATCAATAATACACACGGACGAATGGAAAGGTAACAATTCCCTGCCATCTCTGGGATATATTCATCATAGATTCAACCATTCAAGTGATTTTGTCGATCCCATTACGGGGACACATACAAATTCTATTGAGGGATTTTGTGGCAGGTTGAAAAATAGGATAAGGGCTATAAATTGATCTCAAAATGATCTCATTTATAGTCATTTACATGAACAGAATGTGGTGTAACTTTTCTATTGACAGTTCGATGTCTAACTGGGAGATGTTTCTCTCACATGTTAGAGAAAGATACCCCCTGTAACAGCTTTATACCCCTTTTTTAAGCTTTTTTCCATAAATATACGTTTTCATCTATCATAAATGCCTCTTTAATGTGATTGGTCCGTTGAAGGTTATTTGCTGATTGGTTGTTAATGGTGCTGAAAGTTTGACTTTGCTAAAACAGCATTTATAGTCAAGGGAAGCTGGCCTTTTCCTATCTCTCACTTTCACTGGACGAGCTGCTGCGCAGTGCACCGAACCCAATGAGATAATACAAATGGATTGGCTTCGGCAGAAGACAACTAGATTAACTACATGAGATCGAATTTACTAGGTACATATGTATAATAATATAAGCCATTGTGAATTTTGAATAAATAAGCTTACCTGTTCACTTCTTCTTGCCGATTCAGGGGTACTAAAAATTCAAAAGAAGCAAAGTGAACTAAATCAGTCACAGTTATAATTTTGAAATTAATCACCAGAAATTCATCACCTTTAACTTGCTAAATATTTGCGCCTCCCCACGACCTTTGTAGGCTTTACTTGTAGTTTATTCATCCAGTGTCACTCAAAGACGCTGTACACAAAACTACTAATTGGACTGTTCCTACACGACAAGTTGATAGAACCGTTGAAAGTCATCAATACCACTACAAATCTGCTTTGTTCTCATTCAAATTCTTCTGCTGCAGATATCCTTGAATTCATTGTGAAACCATTAGTTATTTCAAACAGCACTTTACCACTCAGTCTTCAAGCCAAACATCAGTGGAATATATAATTTTTAACCTGAATTAATTCATGGCACAACTCTACAACTACTGAATATCCTTGATAGGTAAATCTCTGCGTCGGTGGCACAGCGGTTAGGACTCTCGCCCACCATGCACATGGTCCGGGGTTCGATCCCCCACCGACGCACACCTGATATCTATGGTCGGCCTGCACAATTTGGGCTACCGATACCCATGCTGAAAATTCCATACTAGTACCAAAAACACAGTGTGGAATCAAGCTGTAATCAAAAATTAAAAATTACTCTCCTAGTTTTTGCGAGTTGATCACGGATAGATATCAGTTAGAGAACCATTGAAAACCAGGGAGTACTGGACAGCTGCTGTTTCATCCTAGTCTGGGAATCATCGGCAGTACGCACCCACTGCCAGGGTTCAAATCCAGAACCTTCCGGTTACAAGGCAAGCTCCTATACCATTCAGTGACTAGGACCCGATTCAATGACTCATGAGTCCTAGCTTCTACCGATTCGGGATTTGAGCGTGACCCCAGTGGGTGCGTACTGCCGATGATTCTCAAACTAGGATGAAACAGCAGCTGTCAAGTACTCCCTGGTTTCCAGTGGTTCTCTAATTGGTATCAATCCGTGATCAACTCGTAAAAGCATAACTAACCCTTACAAACCAAACTATAGAAAATAATCTCCTAGTGACTATGAATTTAGATGTAGATGTTAAGTGTCGAAGAGTCCAGAAGCCAAGATCAGCAGTAGTGGTAATCAATGTCATCTTGAGTTACAGTGGAAATTATTTAGGCATCTGCTAATTCCTCAATACACACCTTCTGCCCAGCAGATTCTTGTCCAAGGTCATATGATTTTATGTGTTCTGATTTCCGTAACCAGCATATCCAAAATCAGGTGATACTCTGGAGGTGTTTGCATTCCTTCTGCAGATGTTAATAATAATTTTTTCTAGTGTCGGTTTGCCCGGATTCGACTGACTGTAGGTTCAATCAAGATCTAACACTGCCTGTCATGACCTTTGGGACCCACTAAATCAGGAGGGTCATTGGCATAGTGGTTGCGCTAAATATAAATAGCGAATTGACAGAAGTTGGGATTCATGGGTCATTGGACCGAGTTCTAGTAGCTGGATAGTCTGTGAGCTCGCTTTGTAAGTGGAAGGTCCTGGATTCTAAACCCACTGGGTGCGTACTGCTAAAAAGCTTGGTATACAGATGAAACAGCTGACCAGTACTCCGTTGTTTTTTAGTGGTTCCTTAACTGATGTTAGTATGGGATCGGACCTTAATATAGTCGTGAGAATCAAAGCGCCTTACTTAACTAGAATCTGGTGGCCTGTTTCAATCAGGCTACACAGTTATATCCATGTTGGTTGGGTCTTGTAGATCTTTGTTGCCTATTAAATTCACAAGTGGCTAGAAATTCAGCTCAGGGACATACATATTTAATCCTAAGAACGAAATCAGGGAGATTACTACCGTCATTTTCAAGAAAGGAAGAAATGTCCTCGAAGATCCTCAACACTGATTTTTCTGGTAATATTTATAGTGGATAGATTACAGGGTATTATCTAGATTGTACTGTGTAGACTTTCCCTCTGCTGACATGACTTTATCAACTGATATAAATGACAAAGTGTAGGTAATAAAAGACAAATAAATGTTCATAAATTCATTTATAGGTGTTTGACAAATTTAGGTTTAGATCACGAATTGGCTTCGGTTGGAGAACTACTGAAAACCAGCAAGCAGGGAGTACTGGACAGTTGTTTCGTCCTTTTTGGTGCTCCTCGACAATACCTGACTGTAGCCGCCCCCTTCCAGGCATTATTCAGATCCACTCACACCAGCACTCTTGAAAAACGATCTGGTGCTCACTTGCAGCAGACTACGAGATGAGGTTACCTGAAGTGGTTCTAACGGGAAGTCGTAATCAGCAGAGTTCACAAAGTTTGGCATGATGATGGACTGGTAACATCGGTTGGCGGTCAAACTTGATATGTGTCGCCAACTGGCAGAAGTTAAAATCCATTCTCCGCTGGACATTCTCCAATCTGCTGAATGGCACACAAGTTCGTCTTGTGACTTGAAAGTCCTGCGTTCAATCTCATTTGGACAGGGTCATGGGTACATAGTATTGAAGAGTCCCGATAGCTAGGACGAAAAAGCTGACAAGCACTCACTGATTTTCAATGGTTCTTTATTATTATTATTGTTTTCTTTAATTCCTAGAGGAACATAGGGCTTCAGCCGCGAGTCACCACTGCGTTCGTGTATCTGCTAAAGTTTTCACCTGATTCCAAGTCTGCCCACATGTTTTCATCTCCCCATCACATCACCCCCTCCTCCATGTGACCCTTGCACTCACGACCAACTCACGGCTTCCTTTTCGGCCAGGTTCCACTCGAGAAATGGCCTGTTGTGTGATGTAACTTGCTGGTTTCCTCAGAGTATGGCCAATCCACTCCATATCCATTTCTTCCGGCCTCTTTGTTTCACACTCGGTTCCTGGTTGATTCGCTCATTGCCAGAGATCCTTGTTAATGATCTTCTCTGACCGGCCATCTGATCTTTAGTAGTGTTGAGCGAAGACAGTTATTAATGAAGCTCTGCAGTTTGTTTGAGATGCTCTTTATGACGCGTTAAGTCTCTGATCCGTATAGTGAGTAGCACTGACTTAATATTCGAGTTGGAAATCCGGATCTTATATTCGTTTTCATGCTGAGTAGTGTTGTTGACCTCCACACAGACTTGAGAGAAATGAAAACCTGTCTTCCTTTCCCGATCATTGCTTTGATATCCTCGTCAGTTCCGCCTGTAGTTGAAACGATGCTCTCCAGGTAGGTAGGTAGGTGAAGGAGGTTGTATATTTCAGGTTCTTCTCATTTATGCTGATTGTTGTCTGTTGTTGCTGTTGTTGTTGACCAGGAATCTTCATCACCTCTGTTTTGCAATTAATAGTCCGCAACTAAACCAACCAGCTCAGAGAACACTATTAATTGCAAATCATCCACCTGGGTTACGAATCTTCTCTATTATTTCACCTCTGTTTTCTCTATGTTCACCTGAAGGGAGTCGTATCTTTGATGCTTCGTCTGCCAACAAGTTGCTTTTCACTTGCATATCTTCCAGTTTGTGGGTGATATTAAGCTGAAGTGAATTCGTGATTAAATTGAAGAATGAAAACAGATATTTGGAATTGCAGAGTAGTGTTCGACAGCCAGTAGTACCGTAGTCGGAATCATACTTTTTCTGTCGAATTTCTAACTTCCTAATTCACTAAAACGTACCTTCAGCCAATTGGGTAGTAGTGCATATGGCCTAAAACTGTTAGACGTGTGACTGAAAATTCGGTAATGGACAAAACGAAGTAATGCAGAATAGAAGACACGCTAATATATCTGTGTGAGGATTCAAGTGATTAGTTCAAGATGAGTCCCAAAACGGCTTCCTTAGTTACATAACCTCGGAGAGTCACTCTGTTTATCATGTTGATAAAGCGAACGCAAAAATGAACGAAAAAGTCATTCGGTGTTTGGATCGCCTAAGATCTGACTGACATATACTATTGGTTATCATGACTACTCTTCAACTACGCACACTAATCAGTAGCTAGTACGATGTCGTTACTTCTGTATACCTGAAAAACAGATGTCGAAATCAGGTACTCTAAAATAAAAAAATTCTTTTATGTTGCGTTATTTCATGGCCAACAGTGTGGAAAGCCTTTTCAGAGTCAATGAAGTTGAAGCAGAGAATTGACTACTATTCGATGAAGAGAATGTGTGACTTGCCATTTTGACCCCTCCACATACATCGATTTGTTTCAGCTTGCATCCAGAACATGTGATCCGAGAGTGTTTAGAAAAACGCTCTTTTCGAATACCCAACAGCTTTACCGTCAGAAGTACAAAGAATTTCTCCGTACTAACATCCCAAGTTTAGTTTCGAAGCCTTCGGCAGCGTCGATCGAGGGGTGATTTGGCAACTACTTCACTACCACCAAGGGGTGCCGCCGACAATTATACATCTCATCCAATAGTTATACGACAGTGCTGCATGCCAAGTAATCCACAATGGGAAACTCACGGAATCCTTCGAAGTGAATACGGGAGTAAGACAAGGAGGGATGGCTGCTTAACTAACTCCAATGATTTTCCTGATTGCAGTAGACTGGATAATGTGACAGGCAGCGCCGGGTAATGAAGAAGCAGGCATAAAATGGACTCACACAAAAAACTTGGAGTATCTTGGCTTCGCCGATGACATATGTCTGATTTCACACAAACTGGAAGATATGCAAGTGAAAAGAAACAAGTCGGGAGGAAAAACATAGAGAAGGTGGAGACAGAGGTGATGAAGATTCCTGGCCATCAGCAAGAGCAACAACAACAACAGACACCAATCAGCATGAATGGGAAGAATCTGAAAGAAGCAACCTCCTTTAACTACCAACCTGCCTGAAAAGCATCGTTTCAACTACAGGCGGAAATGACGAGGATATCAAAGCGCGAGGATCAGAAAAGCAAGGCAAGCTTTTATTTCTCTCAAGTCTGTGTGGAGGTCAACAACACTACTCAGCATGAAAACGAATATAAGATCCGGATTTTCAGCTCCTATATGAAGTCAGTGCGGATCAGAGACCTTGCACCGCGTCATGAAGGGCACCTCAAACAAGCTACAGACCTTCAGTAATAGTTGTCTTCGCTCAATACTCAGTATCAGATGGCCGGCCAGAAAAGATCAGCAATAGTGAGGGATCTCTGGTAATGAGCGATTTAACCCAGTAGGAACTGATAGTGCAACAAATAGGCCGGAAGAAATGGAGGTGGATTGGATTGACCATACTCTGAGAAAACAAACTACCATCAATTCACATCACACGACAGGCCATTTCTCGAGCGGAACCCGAAAGGGAAGCGGTGAGTTCGTCGTCAGTGCAAGGTTGACATGGATGAGGTCATGTGAAGAGGAGATGAATGCATGTTGACGGACGTGGAGACTGGTGAAAACGTTAGTGGAGAACGGAACACAGTAGAGATGTGAGGCTGAATCCCTATGTTCATCTAGGAACTAAAGGAAACAATAACAATTATAATAACTCCGTATACCTATCAGATAATATACAGGATTCGATCATTAAGAGATAACAAGCCTGTGTTCCACATTAAAGCTTATGCGTCAAGCTTTTGGAATAGAAGCATTAATACGAATCATACACCGCTGAGTATTTGTGTAGCAGGTTGACAAAATTAACTTTCCAAAACATGAGATCATAATAATAAGAATAATGAGATCATTGAATAGAAGCTACCTACCGGTCATGCAGTTGACTTCTTGGAGTAGTACGAGGAGTACTACCTTCCTTTTGTGTCAGAAAATCACCATGCTGAAAAGAAATAAAAAGAAATACAATTAGAAGGGTATTTTTGAAAGCTCAGTCACTGTATATTTTATGGGATAACAGACAACAGAGAAGGTAACAAATCACCACTATAGAAGTAAGCACCCTTTCCTTCGAGAAGCAGGTTATTGATCAGAAGTTGCTTCCTCTCTTAGGATGACAAGTCAGTAGGACCATTGGATAGGGTCTCAGTGGCTCAATGGTCTACGGGCTCGCCTTGTAACCGGAAGGTCCTGGTTTCGAACCCTGATGCGTACTTTTGAAGAGTCCCAAACTGGGACGAAACGGCTGTCCAGTACTCTCAGGTAGTTTTCCAATGGTTCTCTAACTGATGTCAGGTCATGATGAAATCTTCCATGCAATCAAATATCAAAGAAACAAGCAGACAAACAGACCAACTTTTAACTTCACTCAGTCGAAACCCATCACCGTGATTTATACAAATTGACATCAATCATGCATTATATGTAAATATGTGTATAATGAAGATGGGGAAAGACATGCTATAAATTGTATAACCACAAAGGAATCGGTATCCAGAATGTCTGACAGACTTGCATTCACAGAAAGCTAAGCAAAAACAAAAGACAACTTTTCAACCAACAATCCTGTCTAACAGACAAACACTAGTTATACGGGAATAATAAAGTTTGCCGACTAACTTCAAGCCATAGCCAACGTAAATACGTTTCAATAAAATGCAAATGTTTCTGAAGTGATCGTAGCTTTATATGACAGAAATATAAAATGAAAGTTATCAGCATAAAGAAATAGCTGATGTTGTCAGTAACAAACTGGGATCAGCAATGAAAAATAAAATTTCATACATTTATTCCCCATTTAATGAATTTGAACAAAGGCAAGAACTACTGTGGTTTTTGAAGAATAAAGGTTGGTACCATCAGTGTTTATCTCGTTGCCTTCTCGTCAGCTGCTTACAGGCCAAACACATTATTAAATATATCTACAAAAACAACAATTTAAACATACTTGTACGGAAACCAACTTAGCTAGCTGCAGGAAAGGCTCTGGCTAGTGATGTACTCAACCTTTTGTTGATCATCGCTGCAATGTTTTCACCAAAAAGCTTATGTCTACATCTGGGAACAAATGCTTTAAATAGTGTCATCGCCAGGCATCTCCACGACACGGGTCGGTCATGAGGTGGACGTCGAAAAGTCGTTCAAAATTATCAATAGGCAAAAGAGCTCAATTCTCCTCAAGTTTGCTGAAGCCATTTCCATCAAGTGCCTGAAACATGATTTATGTGTGTGTCCAGAAAGAAGAGGCGGTTATCAGTCTTTCTTTGCCCTGCTGCCTGTAACTGGATATTTTCATCTCTCTTTCATCCGAATGCTTAGTGCTGAAAAGTTTCCATTGTGTATGATTATCATTGTTCGGAATAGTGTTTAATATTATATATATATATATATATATATATATATAATCACTGTATGCATATATTGGTCGATTGATTTTTGTTTAAAAATGAACTCTGTGCAAGTATGTCAAAATTGTTTTTGTAGACATATTTAATAATGTCTTTGGCAGCTGACGAGAAGGTAACGAAATAGACACTGATGATACCACTTTATTCTGCAAAAACCGCTGTAGTTCTTGATTTGTTCGAAAAATAAAATTTCAGACTTGATTATTATGATGGATTTCTGTAAATTACTGTGATCTCAATCTTAATTTACGGCTGGCAACTCCTAAAAATTTTGACTTGTTTATTTTGAAGAATAGTTACTGAACAAAGAAAATTCTTATACAATTGGTGGATGGTGGCTAGCAGTGGAATCCAGGACGCACATTTCGTCCTATTTGGGACTCGTCAGCTGGATGTGCCTGCATTTCTCAGTGAGTGATGATGTTCCCACCGAGGCTCGAACCCAGTACCCATAGTTTCAAACGCCAAAGCGTTATCCACTAGACCACTTGGGCCACGAGAGCCACCTCTTGTGTGACGGGTCATATTAATTATTGAATTGAATTTTTGATTTTCCCGTCGATTGATTGGACCGAAGTGCTCGGTCTCAGTGGGAACATCATCACTCACTGAGAAATGCAGGTACATCCAGCTGACTAGTCCCATCCTGGATTCCACTGCTAGCCACCATCCACCAATTGTATACTAACTAAATACCCAGACATCGTCGAAGCATCTGCACAAGAAGCCGACATGTCAACCTGAGACCGAGCACTTCGGTCCAATCAATCGACGGGAAAATCAAAAATTCAATTCAATAAAGAAAATTCTTCCCGATAACTTTATCATCAGGTTCTACATCCAGCTGTGTGATTAAATAAAAGTGTAGTGAGAAGTGTCAACAGTTCAATATTAGAACACTTGGTCCAAATCGGCAAGCACAAAGCATGCACTGAAGAGTCCTTCTACATCGTTAGTTATCAGATACCAAACAAATTGATGCAAAAAAAAACATCCAGGTACCATATGCTTTAAACAGCCGAGGCTATCTTGATTCACCTAAAACAACCGGTGCTCCGTGTGTGCAGAAGAAGAAGAAGCAAGTTCAGCCAGTCACTACTACTAATACTACTTACTACCTTGACCGACTTTCACTGGATCCCATGAGTTCATGAATTTGTATTATTATTTTTACTAATTTCTCTGATATTCAGTGTTTAGTGTTATGCTGATGCTATTGAACTGTAATCTATTGTTATTATAATTATCATTGATTCGGTGTTATATTTAAGCAATATTAATTTTGGTATTAGGTAACTGAAGGCAGTCGGCAGAAAGGCTTGGACTTAGGTTTCATGCTAGTCAGCACTCACTAGTCAGCAGGGAGCAGGGAGTAACTCCGAATGAACTTGTACACCATACACTATAAGTTAGAGTCAACAGAATCTCCCTATTCAAAATAGAAAACATGTATGCTATTAGAAAAGTTAATTTGGCAATATAGGGGTGTTTGATAGGAAGACGGAAACATCGAATTTCCAGTTGCATGAATGAAGCCCTCTAGATTGATAACGTCGTTTCGAAATTACAGTCAGGGATGCCCATCATCCTCATTTCTATTCAATTTCATCAGAGATGTACTGATGGTCTTGATCCTAACTCATTTCAGAGAATCAGAGATTGATTTGCTATCAGAGAATAATTTCGTTCACTAAAATACGCAGACGATATAGTCTTTCTAGGCAAGGACGCTGGCGAAATAGAGCAGAGTCTTCTAAACACATTGAGCTGCGATCTACGAATGTTTGGCATGCAATTCGTCCCCGCCAAATGCACGATGATGTTACAGGACTGGACTGGACTACACTGACTCCTAGTTTAGAAATAGGGAGTGAAGTGGTAGATCACGTTGACGAAATCTCAGCATGGATGCAGAAGGCTTGGTTGGCATATGTCAGTTTACGTTGTCTCTGGCGTAGACATGACATCCGACTGGCTGTCGACCAAAGGGCGAGTGTACTGATCAGCAGTCCGCTCCGTCCTCCTTTATGGCTGTGACCAAGACATGGCCATTGAGAGTGGAAGACATTAAAAGTCAGCCTAGCTGTCTTTGACCATAGGTGCTCTATCTCCCGTGTGAAGTGGTATGATGAAGTAGGTTAGCAATATTGAGGTTAGGCGTTGAGTGCTAGGTAAGGAGAGAAATCAATAGACGATACTGTGAAATTACATCGACTGAGATGGTTAGGACATGTATTACGTATGCCTAGCTTAGTCATCACCTTCCTCGACAATGGGCAATGTTAGCTAACATAGGGTCAGGCTGGAAAAGAGCTAGCGGCGGTCAAACCAAAACATGGCATCAGTCAATGAAATCCACAACAGGAAGGTGTAGGCTTCCTAATTGGGGTCCTTGGGACACTAAAAACAAATGGTTGGAAAGAATTGGTGATATGGCTCAAAATCGTTGTCAATGGCTGGCGCAGATGCATCCACTCCTTGTGACTTATGATTTCAAATGAAACTATATCGCTCTTCGTTATTATTATTCTTTTGTCACGCACCACTGTTTACTGTCTCTACTATGTATTTTTTCTACTTTCTTCTCTTGCTTTGTGCGGCACATGGAGGGAGTGTGGCGACGTGAACTGGCGCACATCGGTTAAGTATGATCACGATGGAACTAAAGTTCATTAAAGATGCTTAAATTATAATAATAATAATAAAGATATAGTAGCAAATAGAATATCAACTAAAATTAGGAAAATTCCACAAAAATTCAGGATCATTCAAAACCTAGATGGCCAAGGTGGTGATAATTTCTGAACTAACTTCTTTTGGATGCACAAATTAGGCTTCTTAATATGGATCCAAACAGCCAGCCTCGGAAATATTTAGTTAAAAAACTCTTAAGGCGAAATTGAGATTCGTAGGTATGCGGTAAATGACTTTGAAAGCCACCTCGTTAACATCAATCTTATGTTCTGTATCCACGAGATGAGCCAGAATAGCGCTACGAATAGATTTTGTTTGACCTTTGCTTAACCACTAGGCAGGGTGATAATCGGGAATTCGACAAGAAACACGCCTAACTGTACGGCCTATGTAACTGGCTCCACAGGAGCAGTTGAATTGGTAAATACATATGGAAGACGTGAAATGAGGCAGTTTGTCTTTTACTCCCGAACGGACACAAAAGAGGAGTGGTTTTTAACGACACAATGTAATTCGGAAGCAGCAGGGAATGCTCTTTGCTTTACCGCATTTCTAAGGCTCTGTGTTAGTATCTCGCTGATGTTCTACCCAAGGAACTGAATTTATAAGAATAAGGCCTCCTTTTTCTGAAACTGTTGGTAACTGTTGGGCTGATTTGATTTTAGATTCATATTCTTATCAATAAACCCTTCTGGATACCCATTTTTACTTAGCAACCGTTTAATATTACGTTTAATGATAATACGCAATCGAATTCAATGCTGAAATCATTTCAGCTCACTTGTAAGTCTAACGAGAACCATGATTTACTCTAACAAATTTGTATGCTTACCTCTCGAGCAGTCTGTGAAATATTCGCCGCCAAGTTAGCTGATTCGATGTTGGCCAAATTAAGTCTTTCAAAAAGAGTTGCCTTACCCGGAGGACAATCGAATTTAGAGAAATGATCTATTCAAGAAGAAAAAGACAAGTAAAGAACAAGTATTTTATATATGTCCAAACAAAGTTCACTTTTAACAGTTTGAAATAACTTGGGCATTTGGTGTATGATATTCACTATAATAATGAAGGTTTTTTGAAATTCCCAATGAATGAAAAACAAAATGATACCGTCGTTGTTTTTACTGATGTTTCGCTATTCAATATTGCTAATAGCCATATCAAAGTATTATTTAAACCGGAATTTACAAAATCCACTCAGCTTATATATGACAAAGAGTTAAGAGGTGGGTGAGAAAATAGACTACTTAGGTCAAGTTAAAAAGACATGTAGAGAGTCAAAATAGTAATGAACCAAATAACAAAGGTAATAATAGTACGTCTGTTACGATATCAAAATAAAGTAAATAAATAAAGAATTTGACCTGGTTACAACACCTCCTTCCCCGATGAAGTGACAAAATAAACACAAATGTGATAAGCAAGTTCACTATGTAAACACACACTGATTTCATAATTTCACACACTGATCAAATCCAACAATCTATACTTGACCACTGAGCCACTGGGGCCTAATCCAATGGTTCTTGAATTCTAAATTCTGCCAATTCACGACACACCGCGACCATTTTGCAATGTCTTTTTCGATGAGTTACCGCCTGCTGTATCTTACTGGTCCTGGGTTCGAATCCCGGTGGGTGTGCGTTGCTGAAGAGTCCCAAACTAAGACCATAGAAACAGCTGTCCAGTACTCCCAGTTGGTTTTCCAGTGGTTCTCTAACTAATGTCAGCTCCTGATGAAATCCTCCATACAATCTATACTTGATTTTGTTTTCTTTACCAGTTGACCAACTCGACAGAAAAATACGACCCCGCCCCCACCGCACTTCATGGAGGAACGAGGTGTTGTAACCAGGTCAGATTCTTTATTCATTTACTTTGTTTTGATATCATAACAGACGTACTATTTGTTACCTTTGTTATTTGGTTCCGTGATCTTCATTGTTATTTTGGCTTTCACTATGGCTGCCTTTTAACTTGACCTAAGTAGTCTGTTTTCTCACCCCTTACCTCTTAACTCTTTGTTATATATAAGCTGAGTGGATTTTGTAAATTCCGGTTTAATTCATAATACTTTGATATGGCTATTAGCAATATTGAATAGCGAAACATCAGTAAAAACAACGACAGTATCATTTTGTTTTTCATTCATTGGGAAATAAAAAAGCTTTTATAATAAGGTATACTATAGTGATAATAATAATAATAAATATAGGATCAAAATGCCAATTCTTATTACTTTTTAAATGTTTAAATTGAATACTAACAATTAATTTAACAAATATATTCACGATTACCTTCAACAGACAGATCAGTAGTTGTGGTAGTTCGTCCATGACAATTCCATGCACGACAACTGTAAGTCGCAATATCTTCTGAACTTGATGGTCGATTGATGCGTAAAGTGATTTTGCGTACACAACCACCTGATCGATTTATCTCGTTTGATGACTTGCTCAAGGATGATGTCACTGTGTACTTTTGTGAAAATGAACTCATTGCAGATATTGCCTCTTCTTCCTGATTAATTGTATTTAATGGCATCATTACTACAGGGATAGGAACTGAATTTCTGTAGAACAGACATCTTGGTGAAGGATTCCCAGTTACTACACAGGTCATTTCAATGTAAGGATCATTATTGCCACAATTGATTGGTTGTACAGTGAGAGGTTCAACAAAAGCTGGTTTTGACTGAGCTATAGAAGGTGATAGATTGGGTTCTGTGTTGATGCACAAAAATAAAGAGAATAAAAATCATATTATGTTTCTAATTAGATAGAATTGAAAGATACTGAACTTGTTTTTCAGCAGTGAGTTTCATACCCCTTAATTTATTTGGTTCAAGAAAAGCCCCATAATATAAGTATAAAACTTGGGCACTGTGGTAGAGTATAACTCCATTATAGATAAGATTTTATTTTGATAAATCACACAGTGTTATACAGTTATATTAACTGATGACGTTTCGAGCACAAACTATTGCTCATAATCATATCAAGTTACTCACACAACTTTGTTCTTTCATTTATATACATGTGTGGAATCGATTAGATATTGGATTAAAAATCAATGTGAGATAATTTACATTCAGAAATAATATATAAATATATATAATATATAAATATTTATGGACAGCTGGGAATGTAGTGCTCTTAATACGTTTAACCCTACTCCAAAAATATGGTGGAGATATGTGGATGACACTTTCACAGTGTTAAAAACAGAACATATCTCTAGCTTCCTGATACATATAAACTCACAAGTAAAGGGAATAAAATTCACATTTGTATCAGAAAATGAACTAGGAGAATTAGCTATTTTAGATTGTAAAATAAAACGAATAGAAGAAAGTAAACTACACACTAGTGTTTATAGAAAACCAACGCATTCTAATAGATACTTAGACTTTAATTCATCTTATCCGTTAACTGTTAAGGCAGGCTTAGTGAAGTGTCTAACATACCGAGCCATAGCACTAAGTAGCACAAGAAAAGACCTAAATGGTGAAATAAAACAGATAGAAGAAGCGTTGATGTTGAATAACTATCCTATAAAATTCATTGGGAAGATTGAAAAAGGCCAAAATAAAAATAAAATTAATTGTGAAACTAATAATAATAACATAAATAAGAGAGAATATAAGTCATCTGCAGTTATACGATATAAAGAGGGGACATCTGAGACCCTACGTAGGATTCTTAATAAAGCAGGAATTAGGGTAACATTCAAACCTACAAACTCACTCAGAGATAAGCTCTGTAGGCTAAAAGACCCAGTGGATACAATTAAACAAAATAATATAATTTACAAAATACCCTGCAATGACTGTGAGGTCAACTACATAGGTCAAACTTTTAGGTCAGGGATAGTCAGATTAACAGAACATAAGAATTTAGCTAAGGTAAGAATGGTTGACCCTGAAAAGACAAGTAATTCACGCATGATGTTAACGCTCTTAATCAGTCTTTTATACACTCTCCTTCTACTATAATTACTTGTAGTGTTACAAATCATGCAGTTGAGAACTTTCTTGACTTTAACACGCTTGATGTTGTAAAATATCTTAATACGCTTATGCGCTCACATAGCCTTGGCCCTGATGGTGTACCTGCTTATGTTCTTAAACAATGTGCAGATGCTTTACGTTCTCCACTTACTAACATCCTAAACGTTTCTTTTTCCAAAAACGTTGTACCTGCTACATGGAAAGACATTAAAATAGTCGCTCTCCCTAAACCTGGATATAGTAAGAACGTAAAGTTCAGACCCATTGCCATTACTTCCCTCTTTCTAAAGCTGATAGAAAAACTAGTAATTCTTAAACTTGAACCCTCCATTAAAAACTTTGAAGACCCCAAACAATTTGCATATAGACAGGGTAGGAGGACTTTAGACGCTGCAGCCGTCTTACACAACAGTATCGTCTCATCATTAGATAAAGGTGCCAAATACGTTCGTTGCATGTTTCTCGACTTCACTTCTGCTTTTGACTCTGTACCTAGATGTCTCTTGCTAAATAAGCTCTCGATGACACAAACTGAGCCCTGGATCACAAACTGGTTGCATTCCTATCTCTCCAACAGAATGCAGTATACCGTATACAAAGGCTAATTAGCCTCTGCTGTGATCACTTAAGCTGGTGTCCCCCAAGGTGCTGTATTCTACCCACATCTCTTTTCTTTCTTTCTACACGACCTACCGTCTTCAAATGACATTAATTTTGTTAAATATGCTGACAACCTGACTGTATCTTTGCCTGTCAAATGTCAAAGTGACTGCTCTAAACTAAATGGCTTTTTATCAGAAATCAGCCAGTGGTCCAAGGAAAACGGTCTCACCTTAAACCCCTCCAAATGCCAAACAGTCAATTTCACCCTTAGGCATAAATCTGACACAAAAAAACTGGTTAGAACTCACGACGTGTGTAACATAGATGGATGGCACTGAAATAGACACCAAGTCGAAAATGAACTATATCTCGGCGTCATTCTATCTGCTCATCTTTCCTATTCGTCTCATATCTTGATGATTTCTAAGAAAATATTTCGTCTTACCTTGTACATGAAAAGGTTAAGACATTCTAGAATAACCCAACCCTTACTCCTACGATTCGTTAACTCTTGAGTCCTGCCTATTATTCTCTATTGTTCCCCCTTAGTTTTTCCAGGGCTACTGAAGAGAGGCTATGGCGTATTACGCAGGATGTTAAAGGTTGTTAGCTTTGTAAGCAACATGCGACTTAACCAGCTTTTTAATATTCTGGCCGACAAGCACTTGAACTCATGTGAAAAATGGGCTAAATCCATTCTATCTATCTAACTCACACGACCACCCTCTTCATCCACAACTCTCCCCTTGTATCTATCTCATCAGGCAGAACCAGAAGCCTGTGTATAGAAAACTATATGCTCGCACCAGTAAGTACAAAAACTCATCCATACCCTACTTAGTTCGTGTTCTGTGCGGTAAAGAAGAAAGCATTAGGCGTGATACTTATAACTTATTAAATAGTCAGTAGAACAACTGGATCTCGTCTTTCCAACTCGTATCATTTCTAGGTACAACGTTTTCTTTATTTCCTTTCCTTTATTTTTACTATGTGCTGTTTTGTTTCTCTCTCTTTCTTACAAAATCTACTTGAAACATTCTTCTTCCTTCTTTCACACTCTGTTTATCTCGACAATTTTGGTTACCGCTCACGTCAATAAATATGCTGGCATCTACTTTTCTAACACCTTCAAACAGTCTGTTCGGTTTTTGGCTTTGCTACCGATATGCCAATATGTTGTTGTCAAAACTAACTGAGATTACTCATAATCTATGTAGAATTTTATTTATTGTTAATGTACTAACTGGATGCAATACTGTAGTAAAATGCTGAGAATTCCATTCTGTATCACAAGTACTGTTTTGGAATAAAGCAAATGATTATTATTATTATTATTCAAATCAAACAGGGAGTATTGGACAGCAGTTATATGATGCTCACTGACGAGTGGTTGCGTACAGGAAGTGACCGCAAGTTCTAGGTAGAAGCCGTTACTAGTAGGGTACACCAAATCAGGTATGACAACAGATCTCTCTGTATTTCACAAATTGATGGGGTTTGAATTTTACATGCCACTGGGCAGGGTTTAAGTGGCTAAATCGTCTGGAAGGTCACCTTGTGGCTGAAAGCTCCTAGGTTCAAATCCTGACGGTGTAGTGTGTAGTCTCAAATCAAGAGAACTACATAATTGTTCAGTGCTTTCTAGTCGGTTTTAGTCACCTTTGTAACTGATGTGTTGATTTGAGATAAAAATCTAACAACTGGAATTAATTCAATATCTTCACAGCCTTCACAATCTTACATACTTTATTGTTGGTATTCGATGGTTGGAGGCAGTCTGCGGGATGCCTTGCCAGGACCTAGGTTTCGTGCTAGTTGGCATTCATCAGCAAGGAATCCATTTCCCTTCCGAGATTTGAACCCGCGTCACCCACCCAGTGCCTCTTGCAGTCAGAGATGTTACCATTGAACTACTCAGACTCACGATTAACTTCCTGTAGAACTGCATTGGATATTTTGATCGAACATTAACCGATCAATAACCAGTGTAATGTGTTTAGTCCTATCTTCAGTGCAGACTGAATTATGTCAGTCAGTCGAGGTTGCAGATACGCCTCGTTGACTGACTAGTGAGTGACAACTAGCATGGAAATTAGATCAGGCAAGGCTTCCTGTGGCTGATTGCCTTCAACCATCTAATACTAACAATTCACAGTGCACCGTGATGGTGAGCCACCTAGTGGCATGGTGGGCACATTGCAAACTTGACTGATAGAATTCAATGTTTGCACCAAAGATAAGACACTCACATTACACTAGATACTGACTAGTGTCCAATTCAAAAAAAATTATATACTTTAACATAAATTTTGTGCGTAAAGCTCAGAACCATCTTTCGGGTTATTCATAGAGCCTAGTGCTCACTTTTCGGGATAGTATTTAGATCCGACAACCCATAATTTCAACGAAGCGTATTATCACCGCAGCAGAGGCTGGGTTTGCTCAACAGCCATCTACTGTAACATAACGCTCCAAAGCCCGAAAAAGCGTATACTTCACCTTCCCGAGCAGCTAGAGCCTCCCGGTGACTAGCAATGTCGTGGGCCGTTCATAGAACCCTAATCAGCGACTTTTATTTATATTTCAAGGATCGCGGATTATTTCGGCGAGCGACAAACCATAATTCTACCAGTATTCATGACACCGGTCATAGCTACATGCCAGTGCCACTATCCTAGGAGGCAGAACCGGAACCCACCGCTGCAATTGTTATTTGCTACGGTAATACCCGGTTCGCAAGAATGGTTCATTAGAAGCATTAACTAATGTTGCAGTGGTTTGTCATAGTTACTCTCACCGTTTACCCGCGCTGGAGTGAATTTTTCACTTTGACATTCCTAGCATTAGGCAGAAACCACATTGCGACATAGCCGGTCAGCGGACATCGTAATGCTTTGTTTTAATTAGACAGTCGAATTCCCCTGGTCCGTGCCAGTTCTTAGTTAGCCGTCGCGCGCCAAACAATGGAAGCACAGCCGCTTGACGCAACGCAGAGCGAATCGACGCGCGATCGACCGAGGTCAGAGTCCAGTAACTCTACAACAATGCGCACCGAAGCATGCAAATCAGCAAAGAAACCAGCCTCCAACTGGATCGACACGTATCTGGTCTCGGCCTTTCTGCTAAGGCCCCCAGAGACAATCCTTCTCCCGAAGTTACGGATCCAATTTACCGACTTCCCTTACCTACATTATTCAATTGTCAGAGACTTTATTAGATTAGCTTACTTAGAACTTTTAGAATGTAATCTTTCTCTTGAATTGCTGATGTTCCATTCTTATCCAGCGGATATTGAACTGCAGCATAATATTGTCCAGCATCATCAAGTTTACTTGCCCAGATAATAAGATGATGTTGTAATTGGATCATATTTTTCGCCTTATTCGCCTTATTGGCAACATCATTTTTATTCATCATAGATTCTGATATTTCTCTGTTAAGTTGATTCAACTTGTGTTTTGTTTCACTGGTGATAAAACCGGAATTTGACAGAACAAATGGATGTTGGCGTATAGATTTACTAGTCGCTGCTGTAATAACATGTTCAGTACGAAAATCCAATTTGACTGGGATACGTTGATTCTCAGGTGTCAATTTGTACCAACGAAATTCTAGAAAGCAAGAAATAGAGAGAGAGAAGCAGGGAGAGAGAGAGTATTAAAAAGCATTATTTCATATAAAAAATGCCAATGTATATTGTGCAATGTATTCGTGATTTGCGTAGCTTTCAGTGGATTTCATTGCAAAATGACGTCAGCTAGTGAACCGGTGGAAAACAAGAGGTTGCTTTATATCTCAATAAATGAACTTATACGGCAGCCATACTCTTTCTTTGTCATTTTCCAGATGCTGACCAATTATGACTGCTCGAGTGAAAGACAAGCTACTTAGCTAGCTGTGCCACTTCGATGTGTATCTACAAATTTAGTTGCTCCTGTGGAGAAAGCTAGCTATATAGAGCGAACAACTAACTAGACAGATTAACAAACGCATTAATGAGCATCTTCCTTCATGGTTCAGAAAAGGTCAAATAAAATCTATAAAAAGTTCTATTTTGGCTCATTTAATTGATGGTAGCGGTCATCAACTGGACAAAAATAGTGCCTTCAAAGTTATCTATCGCATTCCATCGAGTCTTTCGAATGGAATTCGAATCCATCTTTTACACATAGCCGAAGCTATGAGAATTCGAGAGAATAATCCTAGTCTTCGCATACAACAAAAGAAGTTTGCTCTATGTTTGTATCTCCCTTGGTCTATGTGAATTCGATTCAAAACCCTCCCACCCTTTCTTATCTTCCATCTCCGTATTTTTATGATATTTATTTAAACTCTGATCATCGTTCCATTTCACCTTTTAAGATTTGACTTAATTTATTTATTTATTGAATTGTTTACATATACGCATATACTACCTTTGTTATTCATATCGCCACATGCATAAACCTTATTATCAATATTTTTTTATCATTATAATCATCGTTATTAACTTCGTTCAAAACATTTACCACATTATTATTATTATTTGATCCACAAAATCACCGTCATTGGTTAAACTTTGTAATATCTATAAATCTTTGTAAATTAGAATAAAGCCTGAAGAAGATCTAATTGAAAACAATATTGTTCGCTTATATGTCTTGTTCTAATATCTCAATAACAAGATTTTCAGCTGCACACATACCTACTACTCCTGGAGCTTTCTGGCTCGGCTTTCTAGATGTTCACTTTATCGTTTGGCCACCTATGATTACTGTCCTCAGTTTGTAGCATCTGAACGATAATCGCTTCATTCACTGTCGGATATGAATCAGTGAATTAGATCTTTATAAAATACATTATTATTATCATTCGAGATGAGATTACTAAGGAATGTCTTCTGAAAACGAAAAATATTCAAGCCAGATTACGCAATTTGTCTTTACATTTTAAATAAAAAAAGAGTTTGTCAAGCATTATTACCATTATTGTACTTAATTGGGTCCATTGGATGCAAAAGACCGATAAAATTTGTACTACAGAGTCAATGAGCTAGTTTAAATTTCATCATAATTCCAGCCTTATTAAGAATCCTACGTCGAGAAAGCAAGACAAGCTTTCATTACTCTCAAGTCTCTGTGGAGATCAACAGCAGTACTCAGCATGAAAACGAATATGAGATCCGGATTTTCAACTCCAATGTGAAGTCAGTGCTACTTACTCTATGGATCAGAGACTTAGTGCGGTGTCACGAAAGGCACCTCAAACAAACTACACACCTTCATCAACACCTGTCTTTGCTCAATACTACTCAAGTTCAGATGACCGCCCAGAAAAATCAGGAACAGGCATCTCTATCAACGAGATAACCAAGCAAGAACCGATTGTGCAACAAGTATGCAGAAAGAAATGGAGGTGGATTGGATTAGCCATACTCTGGAAAAACCATCAAGTGAGTGACATTACTAGAAAAACCACTACTCGAGTGGAACTCAAAAGGGAGGCGGTGAGACGTTAGTCAGTTGGAGGGTGACATGGAGGAGAGGGTGACGTGAAGAGGAAATGAAAGCATGTTGGTTGCAGACTTGGAGCCAGGTGAAAACTCTAGCAGAGAACCGAACGCAATGGAGAAGTGGGCGGTTGAAGCCCTATGTTCCTCTAGGAATTAAAGGAAATAATAATAATAAGAATAGGAATCCCACGTAGGGACCAACTGCTCCTACCAGTCCGAACAGGGAATATATATTCATAAAACCTTGATCCAAGTTTCTTCTTTGATGTCATCGTAGTGTTTTAAAATCTTTGGTATAATTAATCACAAACCAATTGTTGAAAAGTATTTTGCTGTCTCCTCTGCACGTTGCCACGCTCGCTCAGAGATTTCAACCGCTCTCTCTGCGCCTAAATAATCCCTCCCATTTCACCCTCGGACCAATGCATGACTTGCCACTTTGCACTCGAAGTCCCTGTCGAGAGTCTGCCTTGCGCGCAGTATCACTCAACAGTCTTGTTACAGTAAATCCAACCTGTCTGCATTTCTTTCTAGATATTTGTTGGGTGATAGTTGCTTGGTTTTTTTCGACTGCCTGATCTTCACTATCGAAATAGGGAAGTCATACCTCAATGAAAGTCTACGATAGCCTGTTGGAAATCCTTTTTTCTAGGATGCCAAGATTTTCTTAGCCATATAGAAGCAATGACTGACCTCCTGGTATTGGGGTAGAAAAATAACGATTTTGTTTGTGTGTGTGTATGTGTGAAGAAAACACACTTCATCGCGAGCCTAAGACTGACGTTTTCCTGCAAGAAACTGTTCAGCCAGAACGCAAAAGACAAGCTGTCGCATTGGGCCACCTCAACGTGCATATACCAGTTTATTTGCTCTTGTGGAGCTGAGTACGTTGGCCGTACCATGTGCCGATTTGAAAAACGCGCTCGTGAACACTACCCAGCCTGGTTAGTGAAAGGAGAGCAAAAACGTGTACATAGTTCAGTGACAGAACATCTGGTCAATTCAGGACATTCAGTGCCTTTCGAAAAATCCTTCAAAGTAATATACAAGATCCACTTAAACCTATCAAAGGGAGTGAAATCAAGACATCTGGGCATAGTCAAGGCACTAGCCATCCAAAAGCTGGCACCCACACTATGTATCCAAAAGAAATACGTTCAACCCTTGTCCCTGCCGTGGCTATCATAAACAGGTAATTTTTTAGTAATTACCATCCCATCGCCTTTCTTATCTAAACTTCCTGTTTATTCATGTTATTTTAAGTTTTTCTTAAACCCTGTTTACACTACCATATTTTCATACCCGAACTTAGTGTTTATTCTGTCATTTTACTATTTCTACATGTTTAATCCCTGATTGCATAAACAATTATTCATCACATTAGTTTTCTTATCCAAACATCCTGTATATTGTTGTTATTTCTAAATTTCTAACCTCCAATTGCACAATGCCAATCTTCTTAGTAATTATGATTCTGCTTTGTTTGAGTTTTATCTGTCCCCCTGTTTATTATGGCATTCTAATTCCTAATTGTAATTTTCATCAATTTGACCCTTAACTGGAAATTATTCTGGAACTTTCCCATCCATTTATTACAAATACACGAATGTACAGCCTAGATGATGACTTTGTCGAAAAGAAAATTTTCTTCGCTGCAATTGTATTCTTAATAACTCCTATGACCCAATGTGTATATTCCGTGATTTCAGATTAGTGGACAACAGACCACTGAAGCTTTCATTAGCAGTTGTATTCACTCTATGGTAACGAAGATCAGATGTATATAAAGGATGATAAATGACACGGAGCTATGGAAACGAACCAAACAACAATCTACTTTCTATGCCAAGAATATGCAGAAGCGAATTATAAGATGCATTGGAGGAGATAATTGAGAAAAATTTTGAGGGCCAACTAGGCTCTTCATTGGAATCCAAATGGGAAATACCGAGTTGACTGTGCTTCTGAGAGTGACTGACATGTTGGATTTCGTGTGTGTACAGGAGATGAAGACTCATGTAGCCAGCTGAGAAAGACTTCAGAGAAGAACGCATAGAATGAAGATCTATTGCTGAAGCCCTCTATGTTCTACTGGTAGCCCAGAGGAATATTAATAATAATTGTAATACTGATGATATATATGCGTCAGTGGCACAGCGTTAGATGGCTCGCCAACCGCGACCTATGTGGTTCGAGGTTCGATCTCCGGCCACCGACCGCACTGCTTTACCTCACCAAGCTAATAATAAGACTGGTATAGAGGGAAGGTTAGGCATGCGGCTAGAAACCCTATCTTGTAAAAATAAACACCACTGCTACTGAAACTTCAGGCCTCTATAAATTGAAACTCTATTTCCGACTTGGAACGTAAAGGAATTAAAAATATATAAAAAATATAATATATATAATAGTCAGTGCAAGAACTGGCGCGGAATTATGCTCCTGTCCATCCAAAGCAAAATACTAAGCCGCATCACTCTGAGAAGAATCAAACAAGCCAACCTGGATGAAAAACTTCGACCGGAACAAGCTGGATTCAGGAAAAACAAGTCATGCATTGATCAAACCGCCACACTACGAATCATCATTGAACAAAGCTTGGAATGGCAGTCACCTCTCTATCTCAATCAACTTCATCGACTTTGAAAAGGCCTTCGATAGCGTCGATCGGAAACAACTTCGCTACTACCAAGAGAGTCCGCCGACAATTATCCATCTTATCCAATAGTTGTACAACAATGCTGCATGCGAAGCAATCCACAACAGGAAACTCACAGAGTCCTTCGAAGTAAGGACGGGAGTAAGACAAGCTGGCTGCCTACTATCGCCAATGATTTTCCTGATTGCAGTAGATTGGACAATGCGACAGACAGCGGGCTGGGCAACGAGGAGACAGGCATAAAATGGACCCACTCAAAAAACTTGGAAGATCTGGACTTTGCCGATGATATATGTCTGATTTCCCACAGACGGGAAGGCATGTAAATGGAAACCAACAAGTTGGCAATAGAAGAAGCATCCAGGGAAGACAGAACTTCAGATGAACATAGAGAAGGTGGAGACAGGGATGATGAAGATTCCTGGTCAGCTCCAACAGCAACAACAACAACAGACACCAATCAGCATATACGGGAGGAACCTAAACGAAACAACCTCCATTACCTACCTACCTGGAAAGCGTCGTTTCAACTACAGGCGCATGGAATTGATGATGATATCAAAGCCACAATCGGAAAAGCAAGGCAAGCTTTCATTACTCTCAAATCTGTGTATAGGTCAACAGCACTCACCATGAAAATGGATTTTGAACTCCAATATGAAGTCAGTGTTACTCAACATGAAAAATCAGTGACTTGGCGTGTCATAAAGAGCACATCGGACAACCTACAGACCTCCATCGACAGCTATCTTCGCTCAATACCCAGGATCAGATGGCAGCCCAGAAAAGATCAGCAACAGGGATCTTTTGCAATGAGCGAACCAACCCAGCAGGAACCGACTGTGCAACAAATAAACAGGAAGAAATGGAGATGGATTAGTGGCCATACTCTGAGGAAACCATCAAGTGACATCACTAGGCAAGACATTGCTCGAGTGGAACCCGGAAATGAAGCAGCGAATTGGTCGTTAGTGAGAGGGTGACAGGGAGGAGGGGGTGAAATGAAGAGGAGATGGAAGCATGTGGGTTGGAGACTTGGAGCCAGGCGAAAACTCTAGCAGAGAAGTGAGACGTGCGTCGCTGAAGCCCTATGTTCCTCTAGGAATTAAACAAAATAATAATGATACTAATAATGATAGTCATTGCTTACCGCATTTCTCTTCATAGGGTAAATAGTATTCCATTCGAATTGGGAAGCCTTCTGTGACACTGAGTTCTTCTTTCTTATTGTTTGATGGAATGTTGACAAAATCGTCAAATTTAACTTCATTCATAGTTGCCGCAGCAGCAGTCACAGCAGGTACAGTAGTTGCTGTTGTCGTGACAGTACTACTATTAGCAGTAGCAGTAGTATGTGCAATGTTATTCACTTCAGATGAGAAAAATTTGTTTCCCACTACAGAGGATGGTGTGATTGGAAATATCTAATTGAAAGCAAAAATTGAACAAAGAGGCTGATTATATTCAAAATGAAATGTTTAATAAAAAGCAGATTAGAAGACGAAAATGTAAGAAGCGTAAATCTTCGAGGAGTCGCATTATTATTATTGTTCCCCTGGGTTCCTAGTGGAACATAGGGCTTCAACTGCACGTCTCCACTTGCCACTTCTGTCTTGCTTCTGCTGTACTTTTCACCCGCATCCATGTTAGTCCATACTCTTTCAACTCCTCTTCACACGATCTCCTCCATGTCACTCTCGCACTGACGATCAAATCGCCTCTTCCCTTTTGGCCTAGTTCCACTCGAGAAATGGCCTGACGCGCGCACAATGTCACTCAGCGGTGGCCCCCTGAGCCAGTGTCCAATAACTCTTCCTTCACTTTCTCCTGCATATTTGTTGGTTGACGATTGGTCCTTGCTTTGTTTGTTCCTTCCCATAGTTTCTTGTTGGTGGTGACTCTCTCCGTCCCGGCCCGGCCTGGCCATCTGATCTTCAGTATAGAGTGAAGACAGTTGTTGATAAAGGTCTGCAACAGACTGTTGGAAATATTCTTTGTGACCAACCCGCCCGCCAAGTTTCTGATCCCTTTAGAAGATCTGACTGACTTGACGCTGTTCGCATTGAAAATCCGACGGAATTTTGTTGTTGATGCTGGCTGGGTGACAAAGATTTCCAGATTGGTTTCAGGTTGATGAGTGAATGTGTGTTTTTCTCGCCTTCCCAATTCTCGCTCGATTTGACATCCTCGTCCATACCGACTTCCCGTAGTTGAGACAATGCTCCCTAGATAATGAAGTGAATGAAGTAACCTCCTTCAAATCCCTCCCGTTGATGGTGATTGGCACTGGATGTTCCTGCTGTTATTGTTGCTTGGTTGGTTGGTTGATTGGTTATTTTCATAACCTCCGTCTTGTCTATGTTCACCTGGAGTCCTGTCTTCGCCGGCTGCTTCTTCGACCAGTAGTTTGTCGGTCGGTTTTCGCTTGTAAGTCTTCGATTTTGTGACAGTGACATCAAACACAAATCATCCACGCGCGAAATTCAGGTCTTCTAGGTTCTTCACGTCTGTTTGTTCGGCCAGGATATCCCTATCTTCTCGTTTCCCACTCACTTTCTGACGCATAATCCAGTCAGTCCACCACAATTAGAAATAACATTGTGGGTGATAACAAGCACCCTTGTCTGACTCCTGTGTTCACTCCAAACGCCTCGCTGAGTTTTCCGTTGTGGATCATTGGACATGCACCGGAGTCGTACAGCTGTTGGATAAGGTTGATGAATATTTGGGGCACTGAACGCCGTAGTACTCGAGTAGTTTCCAAATTACTTCGCGGTCAACGCTGTCGAAGGCCTTCTCAAAGTGTATAAATTTGAGTTAGAGGTTTGATTGCCATTCCACGCTTTGTTCTATTATGATTCGTAGAGCAGCAATTAGGTGAGAAAAAATGATGCATACTGATTACTGGCTATTGGATAAAGTTTTCTGATGTTCTAGCAAGACATCGTCACAATTGGGGTTTACAGATTTGGATGTGAGGACAAATGTTCGACAATAGCATTAGATGTTGGTGGCGTTTTATACTGTGAATTGGTGTAAATTAGAATTAACGGGCTGTTCAGTGGATCCGCCCCAAGGGACTGAATGCTCATTGAGCTCACCTTATTAGGTGAAAGTCATCGGTTCAGTCCTTAGTATGTTTATCGGTATTGACAGTTGGAGGGCCCTAAAGAAGGACAAAACAGTTTTCCAGCACTCAGTCGAACCTCAGTTTTTCTCTAAATGATCGAACTTACAGAAACGTTAACTTGTACGAGTGAATGACTGCCTTGTAGTTACAGAAGAAACGCAAGTAGGACGAGGAGGCCTATTCGGTGGTTATTTCATCTAAACACTAATAAGTCGGCCAACGGAGAAGTGTAGTGGTTGGGCAAATATGCCACACCTTACGGAAGAAACATACACCAAATGGCTAATGGTTGCCACTGAGCTGATGACTACACGATAACTGGAGAAATTAACTTTTATCATTATTGTCACGAGTTTCATGCTTTGATGGTACTCATGTAGTATGGAAAAACGTTGTCCTAGCATTCTTAAGTGACCTTGTGAGTTACTCCGTTACAATATAAGAGGACTAGTGATAAAAAATGAATGCTAGTGAACTCTAACTTCAGAGAAAAAGAGATCGAGAGAAATAGCAGAAATCGCAGACAAGGACTACAATTTTTGAAGTATTTTACAGTTGATCCTTACAAATCAGTTTCCTCATTTTCAAAATCCTGTTCCAACGGAACTTTCAAGTCGCTAGTCACTTTTGTAGGAGTAATATTACCGATGCAACGGTGATGTATCTGTAGAGTACTCACCGATCAAGCTGCATGTGGTCCAGATTTGATGACAAGCCAGCGCAATCTTGAACCTTCACTCAGACAGAAGTAAGCACGATATGAAAGGAAGGTTAGGAGTCAGTTTAGCAACTTTACGAGAATAGGAAGAAACAGTTGTCCAATGCTATCTGGAGGTTTCCATTGATCTCTGTAGCTGACGAAAACCTAGCGACTGAAATTATCCCGAAATTCCCACGAATACAAAAATCCGAATATATGTGTTTATATGTTTAGATAGCGTTATTAGAAGGCGGATATTATCTGAAAATGTGACGTATTTAACGTAGACGTGATATCCGGTTATCGATCAAAGGGCGGGTGTACTGCTCATCAGTCCACTCCGTCCTCCTTTATGGCTGTGAGCGAGACCTGGCCATTGAGAGTGGAAGACATGAAAAGATTAGCTGTCTTTGATCATAGGTGCCTGCGTTCTAACTCCCATATGAAGTGGTATAATGGGGTGAGCAATATTGAGGTTTGGCATCGGTCGAGTGCTAGGTAGGTAGGAGGGGAAATCAATGGACGAGGCTGTGAAGCTACATCGATTGAGATGGTTAGGACATGTGTTACGTATGCCCAGTCATCGCCTTCCTCGAAGGACCGGTAATGTTAGCTGACATAGGGTCAGGCTGGAAAAGAGCTAGCGGCAGTCAAACCAAAACATGGTTTCACCAGTCGATGAAATCTACGAAAGTTAGTTTAAGCCACGTACGAAGGTGTAGACTCCTTGGTTGAGGTCCTCGGTGCGGTAAAAGCCAATGGTGGCTGGAAACAATTGGTGATATGGCCAGCTCGAAATCGTTCTCAGTGATGGCTGGTGCAGATGCATCCACTCCTTTTGACTTATGATTTCCAATGAAACCATATTGTTCTTCGTTTTTACTATTCCTATTTCTCACACCTCTGTTTACTGTCTGTATTATGCATTTTTCTACTTTCCTCTCTTGCTTTTTGTGCTACGTGGAGTGTGGCGACTTGAACTGTCGAAAACAGACACACAGACCGATACGTTTCGAACAATCTGATCACACATCTACTTGTCAAGTCGACTGTTGACTGTCTTGTAGATATGAACGAAACACATCGGAAAATGTATTCATTTGATGTTAATTCTTTAATAGTGTATCACTGGTTAAGGCTGTTGATATTCTTTGTAACTGTATATCTTCTAGTTGTTTTTCATTCCCTTTCCCTTTAACTTATTTGAAAAATTTATCACTGTTATGTACTGAAAACGTCCATTTCACGTTTGAAGGTGAACATTTTCGACAAGTGGATGGCGTTACTGTGGGGAGTACATTAGGACCATTGTTAGCGGACGTTTACATGTCTTATGTTGAGAACTTGTCCCCTGACTTAATTTCTAAATTGCCCTTCTATAAGAGATATGTAGATGATATCATTTTGATATGCGACGATCATAAAGATGCGAGTCGTCTATTGGACAGACTTAACTCTGTACAGAATCACATTAGTCTTACATGCGAAGAAGAAAGTCACAACCAGCTTGCATTTTTAGACATACTTTTGAGTCGAAGAGATGATGGTTCAATAAGATGATCAGTCCACAGAAAGCCCACTTGGACTGGACAGTACCTTAATTTTCACAGTTTTCGTCCATTACAGTATAAAAGAGGCTTGGTCAAATATCTATTTAAGAGGATTCAACGTATTTGTACGGCTGATGTTATAGACAAAGAAAATGAAATATTGATGGATACTGTTCTTGAAAACGCATATCCTTTAAAATTTTTAAACAGGTGTAGAAGTCAGTTAGTCTCTAAACCTACAATCCATACCGCCTCTAAGAAAAAGGTTTTCATGAAATTACCATATAACGGGGAAATAAACAGTAGGATTTTGAGACGAAGGTTGAATTCGATCATCCGTAGAACCTATTATGCAGCCCAGCTTATAATTGTCGAAAAAGCTAAATATATGCTCCACTGCAAACCTCAGAAGTGCACAAGTAATTATATCACACCCCAAACTATTTACCAATTTTCGTGTGTGTGTGGACATACATACATAGGGAGGAGTAATCGCGCTTTGCACGTGAGGGTGGGAGAGCATATCCCAAAATGGTTAGAAAAACAGATGAATTGTGACAAGCTAATAGGTGCAGGTGGCAGACTACCAAATTCGTCTATACCTAAACACCTAATCGAGGTGAACCATAAGATTGATGTTAACTCAGCCTTTAAGGTCATCTATAAAAACGGTCAAGGGCGTTTACTGAAATACGCTGAGGCTATAGCTATTCATAGACTTAAGCCCCCCTTGTGTATTCAAAAACAGTTTGTCATTACTCTTAACCTACCTTGGTAATCCTTATTTGATTGGATTACCAAACGTTTGTGTTAATTAATTCCGTTTTCTCTCACTTTGTTTAATTTAACTTTTATATATATATATATATATATATATATATTGACTTGACAAGTAAATGTGTGATCAGTTTGTTCGAAATGTATAGCGCTAATACATCACATCACATTTTTCAGATAATCTCCGTCTTCTAATAACGTGGAAAAGCAAGACAAGCTTTCATTACTCTCAAGTCTGTGTGGAGGTCAACAGCACTCAGCATCAAAAATAAATCCGGATTCTCAACTCCAATGTAAAGTCAGTGCTAACTACTTTACGGATCAGAGACTTGGTGCGTCATAAAGAGCATCTCACACAAACTTCAGACCTTCATTAACAGTTGTCTTCGGTCAATACTCAAGATCAGATGGCCGGCCAGAAAAGATCAGCAATATGGATCTTTGGCATTGAGAGAACCAAGCAAGAACTGATTGTGCAACAAATAGGCAGGAAGAAATGGAGATGGATCAGATTGACCATACTCTGAGGAAACAAACCATCAAGTGACAGCACACGACATACTATCTCTCGAAAGGAACCTGAAAGGGAACCGGCGAGTTGGTCGTCAGTGCAAGGGTGACATGGAGGAGGAGGTCATGTGAAGAGGAGGTGAAAGCATGTCGGCAGACTTGGAGTGGGGTGAAAAAGTTGGCAGAAAAGCGAAGGCAATGGAGATGCACAGCCGAAGCCCTATGTTCCTCTAGGAATTAAAGGATATAATAATTATCTAATAACGCTATCTAAATTTATAAAAGGGACTAATTGTCTTAAATATCTCTTTGTATTGTTGTGCAGATGTGAAAATGCTTATTTTGTGTTGACTGCATCTCCGATCTCTATATCAAATTATTCTTATTTCCCAATGACACCTAAATATTATTTATTCATTTTTATATTTTTGGTTACAGCTTGATTCCACACCGTATTTTTGGTAGAAGTATGGGATTTTCAGCATGTGATATCGGTAGCCCAAATTTTACAGGCCGACCATAGATATCAGGTGTACATTGGCACGGGATCGAACCCCGGACCATGTGCATGGTTGGCGAGAGTCCTAACCACTGTGCTACCGACGCGTTTGTTTACAGCACACAAAATGAAATTGAATTCACTTCATTCCACTTCAAAAAATGTTTATTGTTTTGCTGTAAAGCAAAAATATGAATTCTCTTAGTTATGATAGAGAAGATTTATAGCTCAGGTGGATGATTTTGATGTGGTTGTGTTCTCTGAGCTGGATGGTTGATTTGCGAAGCTTTCATCACCCTACTAGGTGACATCTTCACCGCATACTTCAATTCGATGAAGTGAGCTTTTAGATTTCTCCACGAGTTTATTAATCATCTCTCCTGATCGGTGACCTTGGGAGTGATTGGTTGTTTTTGTGTGTTTTCACACCTTCTAGGTTACTTGTATTAGAAGGATGTCTCTGAAATCACACTACAACTTTCTTTAAACTTTTAGGAACTGACGTCGTACACAAACCAACAAAGTTGCTTCACTCAATTCTATGTTAGCCAAAAGACTCAACAGCGAAAGAAGACAAAGCCAATATCATCTACAAAATAAATTGTAACAAGTGCGATAAACACTCTATTGGCAAAAGCGGACGTCCCCTTCGTCTTCGTATCCACGAAAATAAGCTAACCATCAAAAGACATAGCATCCACTCCCTCATATCACTCACTCCATACAGACAACCACGGACATCAATTCGACTGGGACAACTAGTGTTCAAATATTAGACAGAGGAAAGAACACCAAGAATGCCAGCCAGAGAAAATTTTTAGAAGCCTGCCTGGTATTCCAGTGAATCACCAAACAATGGACACATCGAGATAGACAAAATTTATCAGCCGATAAGAAAGAAACCTCACACACAAATGGTCAAAGTTCAAGTCAAAGAAACAATCAGTTCCAATACAAGTAACCTAGAGGGTGTGGAAACACACAAAAACAACCACTCACGTCCGAGATGGTCACCAACCAGGAGAGATGATTAATAAACTCGTGGAGAAATCTAAAAGCTCACCTCATCGATGAAGATGTAACCTAGTATGGCGATGAAAGCTTCGCAAATCAACTATCCAACTCAGAGAAGACAACCACACCAAAATTTAGTTAGTTGTTGTCAGAGATTTAGAGAGAGATCCTCCCACTCGTTAAGTTGCATTTTGAATAATTATCAAATGAGAACGATGAGGAAGATTTTTAATTCTTTGGGGGATGATACTGGTGCAGTTGTATTGGTTGAGGTGGACTGTGTTTAACTGAGAATGCTTTAGGAATTGATGTCGCATGCATGCTCACTGGCGACTGGCGCTATCCAGATAGTTAGTCACCTGGGGTTCTAGTGGGAAGTCATGACCAGTGGGGTGCTGCGGGTTGAGTGGTGTGACGACAAATACTTGCTGAAGAAATTGGCTAGCGGTTGCGTTATATCATGAATTGGCAGGAGTTAGAATTTATTGGCCATTGGATCCCATCCCAATGGCTTAATGATCTACGAGCTCGCTAGCCTTGTAACCAGAAGGTCCTGGGTTTGAATCCCGGTGGTAGGTGCGTACTGATGAAGAGTCCCAAACAAGCAGGGCGAAACAGCTGTCCAGTATTCGCAGCTGGTTTTCCAATGGTTCTCTAACCAACGTCAGTTCATGATGAAATCCTGTAACCAATCAATCAAATCCCTACAAAATCCCAATACTTGAAAATCACTTCACTCAGCTGGCTTTGTGTCAACCAAAGAAGACTCAACAACGAAAGAAGATTAAACCAACATCATCTACAAGAAAAGTTGTAACGAATGCGAAAATCACCACACTGGCCAAAGTGGACGCTCCTCCTCTTCGTCTTCGTATCCCTTATCATAAACTAGCTGTCAAAAGATAACATGAAATCCACTCCCTTACTCATATCGCCTCACTGCATACAGAGAACCACGAACATCAATTCGACTGAGACAACGTTCAAATATTAGACGACATAGGAAACACCAAGAACATCAGATAATTTTTAGAAGCTTGGCTGGTATTCCAGTGAATCGTCAATCGATAGATACATCGAGATAGACAAAATTTCTCCAGTCGATAAGAAGGATATCTCATACAACATACAATGGGTGTAAATTCAGGTCAAGGAAACAATCAACACCAGTTCCAATACAAGTAGCAGCCTACAGGGGTGTGAAAACACACAAAAACAACCAATCACAACGTTTTTCAAGGCCACCCATCAGGATAGATGATTATTAAACTCGTGGAGAAATCCAAAAGCTCACTTCAATTCAAATTGAAGTGTATGCGCTGAAGATGTTGCTTAGTAGGTGGGACAATGAAAGCTTCGCAGATAAATCATCCATCTGTTGAAAGAGAACACAATTATATCAAAAACTGAGTAACTTAGAAAATACAAATAAACCTGTTTCAATGTATCTTTGGAGACAATCCACAGGGATCTATTTTTACCTGGTATTATACATGTTTCACCAAGGTATAGTTCACACCACTTTTCTGCTGCAAATTTAGTGAATTTCAAATATTAAAAACATTTATTTCCCGACACGAATTTAAAACAAGCAATAAAGGTTAATAAAGCAGGATGACCTAATGAATTCATCAGATTTCGATAGAACTCGTCAGATGAATACTCTGCATACACGGATATATATACTTTTAAAATTACACCGGGAGATATAAGACTGATAAGTAAACAAGCTACATTGAATTAGTCATACAGAAAGACAGGTGCGAATGTTTCCCAGGTCATGTTAAAATAGATAATTGGGGGAGAGAGAGTATGACAGATCAAAATTAAGATAAATTGCATGACGCTTCAATTACATCCCTTGGATAAACAATTAGACATTAGAGAATACTACAAGAGTTGCAAACAGACTAATATCAATAGTAATAGTTATAATAATAATAATGGTGTTGAAGTGAGTTAAGATAATCCTACTGATAAAGGATAGTTTTAAATGAATCAAGAATAATAATAATAAGAGGTAGAATAATAAGTAAAACGTATTACCATGGTAGATTCAGAGTCACGACCACCTCCTTTGGTACACAGAGACCTGGTTTATAAACTCGAATTGCACAAGCCTCTGCAATTGCAAGCATCTCCTTGTTTCTTTGTCTGTCTTCTGACAATAGTGAGTGACTTGACCGCGTCGATATCATGTCCGTAATGCACAAGATGTTTTGTTATTGAAGATTTTGGCACTTTGCACTCAGCTGTTTTTAACCATCTCGGCAAATGCTCCATCATGCGAGTAGACAGTCGCCTTTCCGTGGGTAGGTACGACCTATGTATTTGCTTCTACAAACACACTCATCAAATTGATATACGCAGTTTGAAGTGTCCAGAATTGGCGACTGGTTTTTCCCAGATTGTTGAAGCACTCGCTTGTTGGTGGTGTTAAGGATAACACGTTTTGCAGCATAATAAGTTCTCTTGATGGCCTTATAGAGTCTTCGTTTGACTACTTCCTGTACATCATCTCCATTGAATGGCAAAGTGATACCGACAGGTTTCTTCGGAACTGTTTGGATTGTTTTGCAGGGACTAATTTCTTTCGAGTATTTATTGATGAACTTCTCAGGATATCCATTCTTAGATAAAATATCCTTCAGAGATTTTATTTCATGCCCAATAGTACTGTCAGAAGAAATTTTTCGTGCTCTATTGAACAGTGTTCTCACTAAGTTCTTTTTATACTGGATTGGAACAAAGCTCTTGAAATGTGCATATACTGTCCTGTCCTGTCCATGAAGACTTTCTAAATATAGATCTTTTGGTTGTGCCATCATTCATTTTGGCTAGAAAAACGTCTAGAAATTTCATAGTATCGTTTTCCTCATGTTCTACAGTGAAACTGAGATTTGGATGGCATGAGTTGAATTTTATCAACAGGTGGTCTTCGACTTTTTATCTGCTTCCACAGATAATCTAAGCCTTTATTGTTTGTTATAAATTTAAAATATAACCATTCAGTATTTTACATGTAATATCAGATGATTAAAAGAGATGTATAATGTTTACATGAAATAAAAATGCTTACCTTGTTGAGGAGGACATCAGCTAAGCGTTCTTCAACCTTTTCTGAATCAACCATCGATATGGATTCCTTGTCATCTTCACCAACCCAACTAGTTGTGTCTGTAAGACCCTTTATTAGTAAAAAGTAAACGAGATATTCTTCATCATAAATGCTTATTTTTATAAAACGTACAAGCAATAGACTAAAGTTCACACGGAGGTGATCAAACAGTTTCATTCCAGTGTGGATAAAATTTTATTTTAATAAAGTCTCACAGTGTGTTGTTATATAGCAATATTTACTGATGATCACGTTTCGAGCACCTCAATTTATTACTACTGCTTACAATCACATCAAGATGTGATTCACACAATTTTCCAACTGCGTTTATATGATTCCATTATTTGTCATCTCTTGATTTGATTACTGGTAGTACGATTTTCTATATCTCTAGTTTTAGTGATGAGTTACTTCTTTTGCATGTGTTGGGCGTAGACTCGACGAACAAGGCTTCAATGATCAACCTGTCTCTCCACCTACCTAGGTTACTTTTAGGAATTTTAACCCTCTCCCACACACCCTATTGTGTAGTTGTCTGTTAATGCATGCATTGAAGTTGCTTAGCTTTTTTTTTCTAAATTACTTATCTTCTCGGGGTCAACCATTCTTACCTTAGTTAGATTCTTATGTTCTGAAAATCTCACTACTCCCCTTCTTGATCTACTAGTTTAACCTATATAGTTTACTTAACTGACAGTCATTGCAGAGGATTTTGTAAATTATATTATCTTGTCTAACTCGGTCAACTTACAGGGTCCTTTAACCTACATAGCTTGTCCTATCTGAGTTAGTTTGTAAGCTTGTCCGTAATTGATTTTGCACTATGAATACTCCTTTTCTGTCGTCATCGTACTCAACTTAAAACCGTTTATGTTATATTCGCTTTCACTGATAAATCAAGTGATTTATTCTAAAATTACTATGTGATAAAAAAATTCCTTAGTCAGAATAATAAGACAAGTAGTTCGGCATTGAAGAGGCTCATTTCATGGTGAATTCATTTTTCTCTTTAGCTGTACCATGGCATTTAGTGTTGATGTTTCCTTGGGTTCCGAATGGAATATAGGGCTTCGATAGTACATGACCAATTTCTCCTACTTTCTATGATCCTCTTTACCTGGCCGCTTGGTTTCTCCTTAGTCTCTTACCTCCTTAGCATCAGATCTCTGCCATGTTGCCCTCAAACCAACACCTGTTGGGGTTCCACAAGAGCGATTGCCTGAAGAGTGATGTCATTCTATAGTCTCCTCAGCGCGTATCAGATCTATCTCCGTTTCATTCGTGATATTTTTAATTGGTCCAACCCCCCTAGTGTTGGCACATCAACAAAAGTGATTTTAAAAAATTAAACACAAATTTGTAAAATTGACTTCTCTACGTTTCAAGTGAGACATGGGGCTTCAAGCTGGAGTTTTGAATTTTAAATAGCTCTTGTGTTTTTTGTACAGAGTGAGGTTGCTAGCCTCATGCTAGCACTCTTTACTATAGGCCAAGTGACGTCTTATAGTGCGTTGGCAGGGGATTGAATCCGGGACCACGTGAAGCGTGGTTAGCTAGCGTTCTATCGCTGAACCACTGACAATATTGTGTTTTTCGTATGGATATGAATATTCGTCAAGAGAAATTATACAAAAAATTAAAAAACTCACATGTTACTTACCTTAACACTGTATCCCACTATTCGACTTATTTCACCTTCTAAAACATCCATCACATACGACGTAATGTGTTTTGTATTCATGCCTTGATTCATTCGTTGTTCTTATAAGATGATGACATCATATAATAGGTGGGAAAAAGGAGTGAATTGAAATTAGGAGGAAGCACTAGCACTCGTCAAACAGTGTGTTTAACTTCATAAGTTATCAAAAATAATTGAGAGACTAAGCCATTCATCATATTCATAATTTGCAATGTACACATTTCTATTATCATTACTGTTCCCTTACGTTCCTAGTGGAACACAAGGCTTAGACTGCACGTATCCATTTGCTTCTGTCTTGCTTCTGCTGTACTTTTCACCCGCATCCATGTTAGTCCATACTGTCTGAACTCCTAATCACACAATCTCCTCCATGTCACCCTCGAACTGAAGACCCACTTGCCGCTTCCCTTTCGGTCTGGTTTCACTCGAGCGATGGCCTGATCCGCGCGCGATGTCACCCAGCGACGGCCTCCTCAGCAACTGTCCAATCCATCTCCACTTTCTCTTGCGAATTTGTTGGGCGATCGGCTCTCGTCTGTTGGTTTGTTCCTACAGTTTGGTTGGTTGTTGGTGATTCTCTCCGGCCCGGCCATCTGATCTTCAGTATAGAGCGAAGACAGTTGTTGATAAAGGTCTGCAATAGCCTGTTGGAAATATTCTTTGGGACCCACCCGCCCGCCAAGTTTCTGATCCCTTTAGAAGAACTGACTGACTTGACGCTGTTCGCATTGGAAATCCGACGGAATTTTGTTGTTGATGCTGGCTGGGTGACAAAGATTTCCAGATTGGTTTCAGGTTGATGAGTGAATGTGTGTTTTTCTCGCCTTCCCGATTCTCGCTCGATTTGACATCCTCGTCCATACCGACTTCCCGTAGTTGAGACAATGCTCCCTAGATAATGAAGTGAATGAAGTAACCTCCTTCAAATCCCTCCCGTTGATGGTGATTGGCACTGGATGTTCCTGCTGTTGTTGTTGCTTGGCTGGTTGGTTGGTTGGTTATTTTCATAACCTCCGTCTTGTCTATGTTCACCTGGAGTCCTGTCTTCGCCGACTGCTTCTTCGACCAGTAGTTTGTCGGTCGGTTTTCGCCTGTAAGTCTTCGATTTTGTGACAGTGACATCAAACACAAATCATCCACGCGCGAAATTCAGGTCTTCTAGGTTCTTCACGTCTGTCCTAACCTCGCCTAGACTACTAGCTCCCTAGTTTTCTCACCGGTCCTAAGCCTGGATAAAGAGGGAGGTTTGGGGCATTGTGCTGGCAACTTCACCTTCAAAGCCTAACCGAATTGCTACAGAAACGTCAACGCATAAATATATTAAATACACATTTCTTTGGGTGAGTTCAACTTTAAACGAGAGAAAAAAATGACTGTCAGGTGTGTGTGTTGAGATCATGTCAATAATCTGGCTGGCTCGTAAGCACTACTTAATTGATGTATAAGGGGTAGATAACTAATCATCGAAATCAATCACTTTTATGCAGTCTTATGCAATTTATGGAGTGGTGTAAGAAATATGAACCAGTAGAGTTTCCTGGAAAGGGAATCTACTTTTATTCTCACAGATCATGGTGCAGAACAAAGAAGCATTTTTAAACATAAACATAAGAGAATGCAGAGAATATTATTAAAATAAATTCTCGTTTTGATTCCACCTGACTAAGTATATGTTGACGACACATAGCTAGGATTGCTGATAGTCGTAAGCAGGAGGAGTCTTTAGCAGAACTATCTCACTGGACACTGTGGTGAGGGCTGCCTTCAAGCCAAAATTATAGACAATAATTTACGTCAGTGTTTACGTCCCGAATCGGTATCATTAGAACCTTGAAGAACTCACCAACCAGTCACAGAAGACTTAACATGTGCAAATACGATTCGCAGATATATATATGGCTTAACTTTTTGAGAAACGGTCACAAACAGTATAGAATAATCTTCAGCAAGGTAAGAATCAATCAGAAGACGTTGTCTCTCTGCTAACGATAACGCTAATTATAATGTACACGAAAATCTATAAATATCCGTTGATTTTCTCAATAAACTATCTATTGCCTGGCCCATTGTGTTCTGTCGCTACAGTACTACTGTCGAAACAAACAGGTCCGGATCTCTTTCCGCTGATGAATTTCAACGGAATTCAACTTTGTTTTCAAATTTCTTGGTGATGAACTCATAGTACTACGATCATTATTATTCCCTTTAGGTTCTTAGTGGATAATAGGGCTTCCTTAGTCCAATGCTGTTCTACTGTGTTTTGCGCTGTCTCCCTTAGCTACCTTTATGAATGACCATTCGTTTCAGTTCATTTCCTTCTCACACAATTTCCTCCCTGTCACCATTGGATCAGTGCACCTAACTTGTCATTTCCAATTAGGGTTTCATTCAGAGTACTGACTGGCGCATAATATCACCCAAAGGTTTGTGTAGAGTTCGCCCAATCTATTTCTGTTTTCTTCCACATGTTTAGTTTGTTCGCTGTCTGTCGGAGTTCTTAAGGGTTTCTAAAGTCAAGTCTCTTGGTAGTCAACTGTTCCTAAAAAATACTTTTTTCATGCGTGTATAGAAAATAAATTTTGAAAATAAGGGTGAAATTGTATCTTATTTCCTCGTTTGTTCCTAAACAGTTGTGATTGCATTCACTCTCTCCGATAGTAGGTTTCTTTTCAAAATTAAACCATCTAAGATGAGGTTTCTGGCCTATAAATCTTTCGGCCACATCTTTGGTATAACTGTATTTTTCCCCCAAGCTAGATGATATAACTGAAAGGCATTCGTAGTCTTCCTGGACAATGTAATCAGCAGTGATCTCAGTGAGTTTGGTTGTCGTCTCCCTTAGTGACCCTGAATGCGATCAACTTGTCCTGGAGATTTTCTTTCTCTCTCTTCCACTTGTTTTGTTGGCCTGAGCGTTTGTCCATGTGATTTTACTTTTCATTGTTTAATAAACTTGATAGATGTCAATGTTTCTGCTTATGATGGATTTATGTAAGTGTAAAGCTTCGTGGAATTCACCAGCACATGTTTGATATTTCTATGTAAATTTTTCTTGTCGAATTGCTGTCCGTAGTTGTTTGTGTATATTGATATGCGTGAATGGTATCAAGATTTTCGACAGCCTGTTTATCAAATTAGATTATTAAATTCTGACCAAATTGCAGCTCTACGCATCGTCATCATCACAGAACAAAGCATGGAATGGCAATCAAACCTCCACCTCAAATTTATACACTTTGAGAAGGCCTTCGACAGCGTTGACCGCGAAGTAATTTGGAAACTACTCGAGTACTACGGCGTTCAGTGCCCCAAATATTCATCAACCTTATTCAACAGCTGTACGACTCCGGTACATTTCAAATGATCCACAACGGAAAACTCAGCGAGGCGTTTGGAGTGAACACAGGAGTCAGACAAGGGTGCTTGTTATCACCCACAATGTTATTTCTAATTGTGGTGGACTGACTGGATTATGCGTCAGAAGGTGAGTGGGAAACGAGAAGATAGGATATCCTGGTCGGACAAACAGACGTGAAGAACCTAGAAGACCTAAATTTCGCGCGTCGATGATTTCTGTTTGATGTCACTGTCACAAAATCGAAGACTTACAAGCGAAAATCGACCGACAAACTACTGGTCGAAGAAGCAGCCGGCGAAGACAGCACTCCAGGTGAACATAGACAAGACGGAGGTTATGAAAATAACCAACCAACCAACCAAGCAACAACAACAACAGGAACATCCAGTGCCAATCACCATCAACGGGAGGGATTTGAAGGAGGTTACTTCATTCACTTCATTATCTAGGGAGCATTGTCTCAACTACAGAAGGAAGAACGGACGAAGGATGTCAAATCGAGCGAGAATCGGGAAGGCGAGAAAAACACATATTCACTCATCAACCTGAAACTAATCTGGAAATCTTTGTCACCTCAGCCAGCATCAACAACAAAATTCGATCGAATTTTCAATACGAAACAACGTCAAGTCAGTCAGATCTTCTAAAGGGATCAGAAACTTGGCGGGCGGGTGGGTCACAAAGAATATTTCCAACAGGCTATTGCAGACCTTTATCAACAACTGTCAACTGTCGCTCGATAATGAAGACCAATCAGATGTCCGGGCCGGAGAGAATCACCAACAACAAGAAACTATGGGAAGGAACAGACAAATTAAGAACCAATCTCCAACCAACAAATATGCAGGAGAAAGTGAAGGAAGAGTTATTGGACACTGGCTGAGAGGGCCACCGCTGAGTGACATTGTGCGCGCGTCAGGCCATTCCTCGAGTGAAACCAGACCGACAGGGAAGCGACGAGTGGGTGACATGGAGGAGATTGTGTGAGTAGGAGTTCAGACAGTATGGACTAACATGAATGCGGGTGGAAATTACAGCAGAAGCAAGACAAAAGGAAGTGGATACGTGCAGTTCAAGCCCTATGTTTCTACTGGGAACCCAAAGGAACAATAAATATAAATAAATATTATAAATTATATTCGGTGCGTCGGTGGTATAGCGGTTAGGACGCTCGCCGACCATGCATATGGTCCGGGGTTCGATCCCCGGCCGGCGCACTTCTTTACCTCACTGAGCCAGAAATAATCCTGGTAAAGAGGAAAGGTTGGGCATGAGGCTAACAACCCCATCCTGTAAAAATTAAACACTGCCACAGAAACTTCAAGACACTGGCTTGTAACCCTATGGTCCACTGGGAACGTGAAGGAAAAAATAAATAATAATAATAAATAATATTCGAAGACGAAGGGGACATCCATTTTGACGAATATAAGGCTTTTCATAGTTGATGGAGTTTAACGTGTAAATGATGTTGGTTTTGTATTCTTATGCTGTGGCAACATTTTCTTTGTAAAGAACATATGGCTTTTAGTTTTGTTGGTTAATTGGCAGGAGTGACTCAGTGTACCGGTTTGTTCTGAAGCAAATGGAGCTACTTAGTTTCTCCTCGCTGAAAATTGTGACGACATTAGACGGGGTTAGCAGATTATCCTAAATTTAAAAATCTGACAGAAAACTCAAATACATAGATGTAAACGCGGATCTGCAATCTAGAATAAAGAGCATACCGCGATGATCCACGGAACGCCTAATTTCACCTACGGATTCTTCTTCAGCACAGGTGATCCTACTGATCAACTGACGATGAGTTAGACAGACAGTCAGTCCCTTCAATTTTTACATTTGAAGACCATCTCCATGCTACACAAATCTCTACCACCAACAGCAACAACTGTTGCATATGGTCAACCTATATCCAGAAAAGTCTCATCGATAATGGATTCAAATCCTTCGCAGATGAAGAAGAGAAATAGCAGAATTATTGTGTAGCTGCAGAACCTTATCCAGCTAATTGATCTGACGATCAGCCACTTGAAAACGATCGTTACTAACAACAATCTGAGATGTCTCGATAGACTAACTAGTTTATCCTAGGAATGTAAAACAAAAAACTTCTCTGGAAGACTCTTTTCGTTAATACAACGCTCCCTAACACGTTTGAGGTTAGAAAAAGAGGCTTTAAGGTTTGTCGAGTTTGCGGATAGCTGTTGGAATTCAGTAAGTAAGGCTCCAACAGTCTGTCAGTCGAAACGGTTATCAACTAAAATAATTATTATATTATTATTTTTTCCTTTAATTCCTAGAGGAATATAGGGCTTCAGCTGCACGTCTTCATTGCGTTCATTTCTCTGCTAAAGTTTTCACCTGGCTCTAGGTCTGACCACATGCTTTCATTTCCTCTTCACATCACCCCCTCCTCAATGTCACCCTTGCACTGACGACCAACTCCCCGCTTCCTTTCAGGTTCCACTCGAGTGCTTGTCTAGTAATGTGACTCACTGGATGGTTTCCTCAGAGTATGGTCAATCCATCTCCATTTCTTCCTGCTTATTTATTGCACAGTCAGTTCCTGCTGAGTTGGTACGTTCATTGCCAGATATCCCCGTTGCTGGTCTTTTCTGGCCAGCCATCTGATCTTGATTAGTATTGAGCAAAGACAGCTGTTGATGAGGGTCTGTAGTTTGTTCGAAGTGCCCTTCGCGACGTGGTTTAAATCTCTGAGCTGCGAAGTAGCACTGGATTCACACTGGAGTCGAAAATCCGGATCTTATTTTCCATGCTAAGTCAATCAGTTCTGTCTATCTCCACACAGACTTGAAAGTAATGAAAGCTTGTCTTGCTTTCCCGATCCTCGCTTCGATATTCTCGTCAGTTCCGTCCACCTGTAGTTGAAACAATACTTCCCATGTAGGTAGGTAGGTAGGTAGGCAGGTAGGTGAAGGAGGTTGTTTCTTTCAGGGTCCTGCCATTTATGCTGATTGTTGTCTGTTGTTGCTGTTGCTGTTGGTCAGGACTCCTCATCACCTCTGTCTCCACCTTCTCAATGTTCACCTGAAGTTCAATCTTCTATGGATGTGTCTTCTATCGCCAACTTGTTGCTTTTCGCTTGCATATCTTCCAGTTTGTGGGAAATCAGACATCATCATTGAAGTTCAGATCCTCTAAGGTTTTTGTGCACGTCCATTTTGTGCCTGTCTCCTCGCTGCCTGCTATCTGTCGCATTATCCAATTTACCAAAATCAGGAAAATCTTCGGGGATAGTAGGTAGCCAGCTTGTCTTACTTTGCTTTTAAGGATTCTGTGATTTTCCCGTTGTGGATTACTTGCCATGCAGCATTGTCGTACAACTGTTCGTTGAGGTGTATAATTTTTGCTGGCACTCGGTAGCAGCGAAGTAGTTTCGAAATCACCTCTCGATCGACGCTGTCTGTCGAAGGTCTTTTCGAAGTAGATGGTAATGAGGTGGACAGCTGACTGCTATTCCAAACTCTGTTCAATGATCCGTAGTGTGGCGATTTGATCAATACGTGACTTGTTTCTCCTGAATCCAGCTTGTTCCGGTCAAAGTTTTTCATCCAGGTTGGCTTGTTTGATTGTTCTCAGGGTGATGCGACTTAGTATTTTGCTTGAGATGGACAGTAGCATAGTGTCGTGCCACTACTTGCATTGATTTAAATCTCCTTTCTTTGTCAGTTTGACTAAGTATCCTTTCTTCCAGTCCTAGTGCATCTTGCCCTCTTTCCACACCTTCTCCAGTAATGGTGTCATCAAGTCCGCTGTTGTCTCTGGGTCAATTTCCAATGCTTCTGCTGGGATTCCATCTGGTCATGCTGCTTTTCCAGCTTTTAGCATCTTGATTGCACTCAGGACTTCTAATTTCGTCTTGAGGTCGATGTTCACTGATAGTTCTGCTTCCGTTGTTGGTATTATTAAGCGCATTGTAGGTGGCGGTCGATTTAGGAGTTTTTTCCATAGAATCTAATGCTTAAACATTTTAAACCAAATCGGAATACCTTAGCAGTAGGCCACATACCAAAGCGTATAGGATAACAATCAAAATAATCATCTGATTTGCAAAGAGCTGATTAAAACTGAGAGAAATTTCCTAATTATCCAATATTTATCTTCAGAATTTTTCACCAATCAAAATATTTTGGAAGTGTTGTATACAACTACTAACAGATTATTAAGTAGTGTAAAAATTATGCAAACATTAACGAAGGATTGTGAAATGATTGTTATAACAAACAGGGTACACACTTACTTTCTGTTGTTATATAAAGTATTTGGATGAAATTTTTCATTTCTTTGCAAGCATTCTTTTTGAATTTTTGGCATACACTTTCATCTTGTAAAACAAAGAAGAAGAAAATGTAAAAGGTTTTTGATTTTCAACATTTCAATATTAAATCATGATTGACGGTAAAAACGGATATTAGAACATCAAGTAAATGAATCATATTACCACACAGGTCCACCAAGAACTAGGCGAAAATAAATACTCACCGGTAATGATGATGTCTAGTGACCCACAGCAATAATTCGAGGAGGCTGGAATTCAAGTGCTGTTTTATATTATTTCATGGTGGCTGAATAGTATAAGAGTTCGCCTTGTGTCCTGAAGGTTTTGGTTTTTATCCTTGGTGGGGTGTCAATAGTGTGCACGTTTGAAGAGTCCCATACTAGGACAAAACAGCTGTTCAGTAGTCCCTTCAGGTTTTCCAATGGTTTTCTAACTGATGTTAGCTAATGATGAATTCCTGTAAACAAGAATGGTTAACTTAAAGTCCATCCATCCAGTGAGAAGTCGTGACCAGTAGGGTGCAGCAGGTCGGTTGTGAGGACAAATACTCGCCAGCGAAGACATTGGCTACGGGTCGTACTATCTCATGAATCGGCAGGAGTTAGAATTCATGGGTTAGCCATTGGATCGGGTCCCAGTGGCTGTATAGTCTACGAGCTAGTCTTGTAACCAGAAGGTCCTGGGTTCCAATCCCGGTGGTGCGTACTGCTGAAGAGTCGTAAACTAGGACGAAACAGCTGCCAAGTACTCCCAGGTTTTTCAGTGGTTCTCTAACCAATATCAGCTCATGATGAAATCCTGTAACCAATCAACCATTAGTCTTGTTTTATGACCCCACATATTTTGGTGAGCTTGTTTAAGGTTATTTGTATGCGGTTGTCTATTGCTTGTATGAGGATTATTGTGAGGTGTTGATATACATCCTCATCTTTGAGTAGTTAGTTCTTCAGCTTTCCTGGTGTATTTTTCTTTGTTCATGATTACTGTTGTTTTTCCTTTGTCAGCTGGTAGAATAACAATATCCTTCGTGCTTTTCAGCTTTTCAAGGGCCTTCAGTTCTTGAGAGTCTAGTTGTATGTGTGTGTCGTTTTTTTCTGTTTGACCATTGGTACAATTGTTTGGTGTATCTCTTCCTGTGTTTCCTCGTTCAAGTTTGATGATTTCAGTGATGATTCAAGGGCAGTGGGGTAATCAGTATTTGAAAGCATGTTTCGTAAACACCAACCATTATGCGACTGAAGCTTCAAATAGGCTTGAAGGTCTGTGTTCCACTTGGGATGTAAATGACTGGGAAATGAAGTAGCCTTGGAATGCTCTGCGGTATTGAAATCCTTTATTTCTATTTTAGAGAGTTGGTTTGTAAGAATTAGATTTGTTTTCACGGGTTTGACGACGGAAATGATATCAGCTAGAGAACCATTGGAAACCAACATCGGAGTACTGAACAGCTGTTTCATCAGTCCTAGTTTGAGAATCGTCGGCAGTGAGCACCCACCCTATTCGGGTTTGAACCCAGGACCTTCCAGTTACAAGGCCAGTGAGTTTGTATACCATACAGCCACTGGGACCCGATTCAATTGCTCATGAATTCTAACTTCTACTAATTCGTGATTTACTGCGACCACCAACCAATGTCATCGGTGGGAAATCCATCCTCATACTTGACTTGTTGGACCTCAATGGTCACGACTTCTCATTAGAACTCCAGGTGATGGTTGCGCTTAATCACGAATTGCAAGATCTTAGAATTCATGAGCCATTGACTTAGGTCCCAGTGGCTGAATGGTATAGGGGCTTTATTTATATGTTTATGAAGATATTATTTTTAACTGTCTAAACTGTTGGGGTTGTCTATTACACAGAAGTAGTTCCTAATTTAAATATTCGGTGAAGTTCAATAATAGCGTCCCAGGAGTGCGAACGCTGTTCATCTGCTGAGATGCAAATTTCACCCAGATTAGGTATTTCAATATTGTCTGGATAATGGATTGATTGGACGTTCTCGTATATGTAGCTGTGGTGCTTCTATGAACCTGCAGCTGTATTCCCAGGTCATTGATGGATATATATTTAGATGTACACAGTGTAGGAAACGAATAAGTGTTCGCACTGGTAAGTGAAACTCTCAGTTAATTGTCTTCTGGGAACTTTCTTTGAAAGATCAAAACTTTCCTTGACGAATATACTGTTTATTTGCCATTACTGGATTTTGAAGTCCAGTGTGAGGTCAACTGCGGCTTAGACAGAGAGAATACGTTAGCGTCTACCATACAATGATTCCAGTTTGTCGAGATTTAGCGTCGTGGAAAAAGAATAGTATTACTCAAGTGTTGGGGGGCAGTCGGTGTAGTCGTTCATATCGATGAAACGGTCCTTATAAAGAAGAAGTGCAATCGAGGACGTGCTAGAGCGAATGACGTTTGGATTCTAGGAATTTATGAAACCCAGATTCGGAAAGGATTTATCGAACTTATTCCAGATAGGAATGCTGACACATTTCTCCCTATTATTGAGAAGCTTGTCTTGCCAGGCACTACCATTCATACGGATGTTAGGGCAGCATATAACCGATTATCGGATTTGGGATATATACACCATCTTGTTAACTATTCGGACGACTTCGTCGATCTCAGAACCGGTACTCCTACGAATTGAATAGAAGGTTTCTGGGAAAGACACAAAAATAGAATAAGAGCTATAAACGGCTCTCAAAGTCAAGTTATTTTTAGTCACCTTGACGAATACATGTATAGGAATTGGTTTAATTTACCAACTGACACTCCTCATTATAATTGGACATCTTTTTACCTCACATAAGACGAAAACACCCTATTTAATGTTTTTATTTTCACGCTGTTTTATGCAAATATACGTAATTTTTTGTGTGCAAAAATCCTCCTGTTTTCTGATTGGTCGACTCAAGGTCACTCGTGCATTCGCATCCCATGGGACGCTGTTGTAGAACTTTGCCATATATTCAATATTTACTGCACGAGTAGCCAGCCTGGATATCAAGTTTGGTCACAAACCAAATAACACATCAGTTAGAGAACTAGCGAAAATCACCGGAGGAAAATTGGAAATCTGTTTCGTCCCTATTTGGGGCTCTTCATCACTACGGAAAAATGAATCTACCTAACAGGGATGGAACTTAGGCTTTCAGGTCACAAGTCGAGCATAGGGACCATTTTTTATAAGTGCGCAATACCCTTTGGTTTTTTGAGTAACACACAGTCAGTCAAATCCCCCTGGAAACCAACATTTGGAAAGCTTTGATATATATTAGTGTGAATAACAAAACTCTCTCGCCTTGTAACCGGAAGGTCCTGGGCTCGAATCCCGGTGGGTGGGGGTGTACTGATGAAGAGTCCTGAACTAAGATGAAACATCTGTCCAGTACTCCCAGGTTTTTCAATGGTTCTCTAACTAATGTCAGCTCATGATTAAATCCTGTAACCAATCATCGAATCCCTACAAACCAATACTTGAATATCAGTGAGATGCTCACTGGCGACTGGCCCTATTCAGGTAGGTAGTTACCTGGAGTTCCAGTGGGAAGACGTGGCCAGTAGGGTGCAGTAGGTCGGGTGTGAGGACAAATACTCACCGAAGACATTGCCTAGCGGTCGCGCTGTTTCGTGAATTGGCAAAAGTTAGAATTCAAGGACCGTTGGATTGGGTCCCAGTGGCTTAATGGTATACGAGCTCGCCGTGTAACCGGAAGGTCTTGGGTTCGAATCTCAGGGTGTACTGCCGAAGAGTCCCAAACTAGGACGAAACAGCTGTCCAGTACTCCCAGGTTTTCCAATGGTTCTCTAACTAATGTCAGCTCATGATGAAATCCTAAAACTAAATCAATTTAAGTAAGGCATGAACAGCAGTTTGTGCAGAGTAAGATGGTACCATCACGCATGTACAGAGCAACTTTAAAATACACTTGCAAAAATGTTTCATGATGTCAGCTGAGAGTAGACTCCTCTATACTTAATTAACAGTGGTCAGAAATTATACTTATATTGCTTATACAAACAGACGCCAATTCACTGAAAGCCTACGTGGAATGGACTATACTTAAATTTTAATAGTTTTTGTTCAAATGCCTATCTATAAATGAGTATTGTTGAAAACTGTTTCGAAGAGCCACAGTGGAATAAGGGAAAGAATTTCTGAATTTTCGAAGAGATGTTGAGAAACAGTGTTACCCTAAGGAGTTCATTAAAGCAAGCAAGGAAGATAACATTGATAGGAAAGTCAACAGAAGACTGAATGCCTCACTTAGTCCTGACCTATTATGTATGTAAGTTGCTTCCCGTTTATTGAATAACATACTCTCTTTTGGTGCAATCACAGGTGGACAGATACCCCATCTAATGCTAATTCTAATTGTGTATATAAATCATTGCCTACTATCACCAATGATTTCCCTGATTGCAACAGGTTGTATAATTCGCAGACAGCGGTTGCCAGAGATGAGACTGGCATAAAATGGAGACACACAAAAAACTTGGAGGATCTGGACTTCACCGATAGAATATGTCTGATTTCTTACAAACTGGGAGATATGTGAGTGAAAAGCAACAAGCTGGAAGAAGCATCCAAGATAGGACTTAAGGTGAACATAAAGAAGGTGGAGACAGAGGTGATGAGGATTCCTGACCAACAGCAACAGCAATAACAGACAACAATCAGCATAAATGGCAGGAACCTGAAAGAAACAACCTCCTTCACCTACCAATCTACCTACTAACCTGGAAAGCACCGTTTCAACTACAGGCGAACGGAACTGACGAGGATATCAAAGCGCGACGATCAGGAGAGCAAGACAAGCTTTCATTAATCTCAAGTCTGTGTGGAGGTCAACAGCCCAGCTCAGCATGAAAACGAATATAAGATCCGGATTTTCAACTCCAGTGTGAAGTCAGTGCCACTTGCTATACGGATCAAAGACTTGGCGTGTCATAAGGAGCACCTCAAACAAACTACACACCTTCATTAACAGCTGTCTTCGCTCAATACTCAAGATCAGATGGTCGGCCAGAAAAGATCAGCAACAGGATCTTTGGCAATTAGCAAACCAACCAGGAACCGATTGTGCAACAAGTACGCAGGAGGGAATCGAGATGGATTATCCATACTCTGAGGAAACCATCAAGTGACATCACACGACAGTCCATTACTCGAGTGGAACCGGAAAGAGAAGCGGCAACTTGGTCGTTATTGAGAGGTGACATGGAGGAGGGGGTGATGTGAAGAGGAGATGAAAGCATGTGGGCAGACTTGGAGCCAGGTGAAAACGTTGGCAGAGAAATGAACGCAATGGAGACGCGCGGCTGAAGCCCTATGTTTCTCTAGGAATTAAAGGAAATAATAATAGTAATACAAATATATATTGGAAAAAAAAGGTGAGGACACACCTTAGATTTTTCCTGAACATGTATCAAATATTGTCTATTTCTTGATGGAACAAACGCCCACAATAGCACTGTTAGCCAGCATCTTGTTGTTCATATGGACTATGCAGTGGACACTATGAAATCCCTTAAAATGATGAATAAACGATAAAGTTTATCGAAACAATCTCTGTCAAACGACTGATCGTCAATTTATGTTTTCAGTAGGAATAAGCTATCAGTTTTATTTTTGCCCACCTTGATAACTGCATGTCTCTACTGTTTGACTTTCGCTTGATTACCTAATCACATTGACACTAACCTCTTCTCCTTTTTATACTATAGTGAAATTTCAGTTTCCTTTCTTGTTTCGTATGATTTGTGTTGAATTTGTCACATTCTTACTCACTTCGTTAGCTACTTACTATATTCAATACTGGGTTTCACAGATGAAGACTGGCTTACAGGTGAAAACCAACGAAATGATAGAAGAGGCGAGGTAGGCAGGCAGCGAAGACAAGACTCCAGGTGAACATAGAGAAGGTGGAGACGGAGGTAGATGATGAAGATACCCACCAACCGACCAACCAACCAACCAACCAGCGACTGGCAGCAACAGAAACAACAACAACAACCTGCACCAGTTACTATCAACGGGAGAGATTTGACAGAGGTTACTTAATTCACTTATCCAGCCAGGAAGCACAGTGTCAACCACACGCAGTCGGGCAGCACATATGGTGTCAAAGCCAGCCAGCCAGCCAGCTAGAATCGGAAAGGCCAGATACGCTTTCATCAACCTGAGACCAGTTTGGAAATCTTCTGCACTCTCCCAGCCAGCCAGTCAGCCAGCCAGCCAGCTAGCCAACCAGAAGGAATCAGGCAACAGGAAATTCCAGCTGGGAAAAAAATCAACCAAGAGCCGATTGTTCAACCAGTATATGGGAGAAAATGCAGATGGACTGATTGGACGTATGTCGAGGAGGCCATTAAATGACATTGTGTGCCATATTAGTAAGTGGTCTAGTGAAATCAGCATCAGGGAGTAACGAATAGGTCATTGCTGCGAGGGTGATATGAAGGACATCGTGTGAGTTGTAGGAGGAAGAGATGAGAGATTATGGGCAATGGTGGAGCTAGCCAGCTGAATAGGACAGCGGATAATAGAAGAAAGTGGAGATGTTTTGAAGTTGAAGCCCCACATTCCACTTGGAACCCAATGGAATAGTAAGTAAATATTCAATTCTTGTCTTTACTATGCAACCCCTTTTGCATGGTATTTATTGATTTATTTTTTCAAGTGTTGGTTTGTAAGGATTTGATTGGTTTCAGGATTTCATCATGAGCTGACATTAGTTAGAGAACCATTGGAAAACCTGCTAGGAGTACTGGACAGCTGTTTCGTCCTAGTTTGGGACTCTTCAGCATTTATTTTTTGTTCAGAATTCAACACCCTGGTTAAAATCTATAAACCGGTTAATTTGTGAACACTCTTCATTAAGGCGCCTTGAGTCGCCTATCATTAACCGATCTGGTGAAACACTTACAATAATGTTAAAAATTGTATTAGCAGAATAAAGTGGTATCATCATTGCTTATTGCGTTGCCTTCTCATCAGCTTCTTACAGGACAAAGACATAAAAAAGCCAATCTACATTCATCTTGATTATAAAGTTGAAAACATTGCAGCGATGATCAGCAGAAGGCTGAGTACATCACCTATAGCCTTAGCCTATCCTGCAGCTAAGCTCGTTCCCGCCTATCAAACAACTTGCTCTTTGGTACAATCAAACATCGATACATATCCTTCTCATGTTAACAGCTCCAACTGTATATACAAATTTACATGTATCTGTGGGGCCAGTTACATTGGAAGGACAGAAAGAAGTGCATATCTACGATTTTCTGAACATGTACCAAAAAGCTTATGTCTACATCTGTGAATAAATGGTTTAAACAGTGCCATCGCCAGGCATCTCCTCGACACGGGTCATGAAGTAGACTTCGTGAAGTCGTTCAAAATTATCAATAGGCAAAAGAGCTCAATTCTTCTCAGGTTTTCTGAAGCCATTTCCATCAAGTGCCTGAAACCTGATTTATGAGTTTAGAAAGAAGCGGTTATCAGTCTCTCTTTTCCCTGCTCTCTGGTAACTGGATATCTTCACCTTTCTTTCATCTGCATGCGAAATGCTGAAAAGTTTCCATTGTGTATGATTATTATTGTTCGGAATAGTGTTTAATATTACATATATATAAATATATATTATTACTGTATGCATATATTGATCGATTGGTTTTTGTTTAAAATGAACCGATGAAATAAGCGACGCTTCCACATTATTCTGGACAAACCGCTATTTTTGTATTATTCGAATTTATACAGGAGAATAAATGTGCAACATTTCTGAAAAATGCCTGATAAATCCAATGTGTGTGTTCACATATCTCTCACATATTATTCATACAAGACAGCAAGAGGGAGAGAGAATAAAGCAGCAATCAATGCAGACTTACACTGCCAGTTGATCTGTCTCGGGATAAAGCAAGATTCTGATCAATTGCCGTCAGTTCACATCCTGTTTCTTCCATTAATTTCTCAAGCCGACTTCGTAATTTTTTGATTTGTGCCTCTTTAGCTTGGTCCAGTGTACAAACTCCACCTAAAAATTCATTTTGAGCACAAATGAGGGAATAGAAGAAGTGAGTAGCGACAAGTTGCCAGAAGTTAGTTTAAAATAAACGAGACTGTTTTGCGTTGTTGAAGGAGGTCATTTTGAATATTGTTGCCGATCCTCCTTCAAATTCCGCTTCAAATAAGAATTAGGACTTGGGCACTGCGATAGATTGCACAGTAAGTTAATTTGATGCAGTATTATGTACTGATGACAAATAGAGCACAGTTCAGTGCTACTCATAATGGCATGTGCTATGTCACTTACATAACTTTGAAAACATCGTTTATATAACATTATAACTTCTTATCCATTGATTTTAATGGTAGTTTTTCGACAACACAATAATAAGATGTAGTTTATCTGAAATGTGTACGTGAAATGTGTACCTCTTTTACAGATGGTTGACATTTTATGTGATTACATCTCTGACAATGATTTCCTATTACCACTATCCATATCTTACTTAAAAGAGTTACTAGTTCTTTGTACTAAGAATGTTAAGTTTATATTCGAGGGCGAGCATTGTCGCCAGATTGATGGTGTTGCTATGGGAAGCCCCCTAGGTCCATTGTTAGCTGATATATATATATATATATATATATATATGTCGCATGTTGAGAATCTAATGGAGAAAGAAATTGGAAAAGTTTATTTCTATAAAAGATATGTAGACAACATAATTGTCATTTGCGATATACCGACAGGTGCCATAGAAATCCTGAACCAAATCAACACAGTACAAAACAGTATATCGCCAACATACGTTAAAGAGAATAATGGATGCCTGCCATTTTTAGATGTACTCATAATCCGCTGAGAAATAGGTCAGTAAAACCATATGTCTTCAGAAAGTTCACATGGACGGGACAGTATCTAAATTACCATAATTTCTGTCCACTACAGTATAAAAAAGGCGTTGGTCAAATGTTTGCTCAAGCGTATTCACCGTATATGTACCGTTGATACAATTGAAGAAGAAAGACAACACTTCACTGAGATGTTGTTAGATAACAATTACCCACTGAGATTTATTAGGCGTTAAGGAAGTGTCAACCATAGAGCTCTACCAATCCAATCAGTTCCGAAAAAGGATGTTTACATATCCTTGCCGTTCAGAGGTAATTAACAAAGTCTGGTCACTAGACAAAGAATGAAGGCCGCAGTTAGTTGAACTTATTATGCAGCCAACCTTATCTTCATAGAGAAAACGAGAACCTTGCTGTCCCGTGAACCCTGACATTATCCGAATGATAGTATCATATCCCACTGCGTTTATCAGTTTACATGTGTGCGTGGAGACACGTACATTGGGGGGACCTATCGGTCTCTGCAGTTAGGACTACAGAAGACATTCCAAAGTGGCTGCAACAACAAATGAAATCACCAGACACAATTGACCCGGGAAATAGATGTCCAACATCATCTATAGCGAAGCATATTATAGAAACAGGTCAAAAGTTTGGTTTTAACAATGCCTTTAAGCCGATGTATAAAACAAGGTTGTGCCACATACTTAAATTCATTGAAGCCTTAGCCATAAAAAGACTTAAACCTGTCTTATGCGTCCAAAAGTTATTTGTTATCACCTTAAACCTGCCTTGGTAATCCAATTTAGAACCAAGGACCAATTTATTTCATAATATTTCCAACCCCTTCTTTGCCTTGTTTTTTCTCTTTTATATTTCTTACCCACACCTCTTGCTTCTCCCTACCTAATATTTGTGACCTTGACCTACTCACAATCTGACCTGTATTGTAATTATTCATGTCTTCTTGCCTTCTACAAAAACTGTTTATGACAAGTACTCATGTGTGTGATCAGAATGTCCGAAATGTGTTACGCCAATACACACATTACACGTTTCAGATAAACTACGTCTTCTTATTGTGGTGTCGAAATTCATAAAGGGTATTAATTGCTTTAAATGGTAGTATTATTTTTCACATCTTTGGTGTGGGCGTTATACGTCATTTTTATTCCACTTGTGTGTTAATTGTAGATTTGATGCTGAAAGATTCAGCAATTCAATTCTCTCTCGGCCTACAAAAATTACTTTTAGAACTGAATTTCCATTCCATCTTATTATATGTGTGATTGTGTGCTAGAGCATGTGTTGTGATTGCTGAGGTTTTCTACGAAATATCCATCTTCGTGGGATTAGTCATTCTACACTGAACTAATTTCTGAGGTTATTTGATTGAATTTTAGATTTTCCCGTCGATTGATTAGACAGAAGTGCTCAGCCTCAGGTTGACATATCGGCTTCTTGTGTGGATGCTTCGACGAATTGTGGGCATGAAATTAGAATTTAAATGATGTAAAGTGACTAGCAGTGAAATTCAGGATGCGCACTTCGGTCCACTCAATCGACGGGAAAATCTAAAATTAAATAAAATAATGAATATGACCCGTTGTTTAAGTGGTGGTTCTCGTGGCCCAAGGGGTCTAGTGGATAACGCTTTGGCTGGTATTTAAAACTATGGGTTCATGCCTCGGCGGGGACATCATCACTCAGTGGGGAATGCAGATACATCAAGATGGCGAGTCCCAAACAGGCTGAAATGCGTATCTTGGATTCCATTGCTAGTCACCATACACCAATTAAGTTCTAATTTCCTAGGTCCTTAGATTCCGACTGCTTTAGATCTCTTCCTTGGACATTAGTTAGTAACTAGTGTAATGTCTCTCTGTCTGGATTCAACATAGAACTTGGCACCGAAGTGCACCAGTTCGAGTTGCCACGTTCCAAATAGCACACAAAGGTAGACAAGAAGATGAGTGAAGAGAATCAATAGAGTTTCACAAGTATAAGAGTGAAACAGAATGGGTAATGGTGGTAAGGAATATGAAATATTACAGAGACTGAATACATATGCGCCATTGACAACGATTCTGAGCCCTGTGTCACCTATTATCTCCAGCCATTGATTTCTAGAGTCAGTCCCGAGGTCCCCAACCCGGAAGTCTGCATCCCCCTACCTGACTCAGTTTAGCTGTCAAGGATTTCATGGATTGATGCCATGTTTTTGTTTGGCCAACACTTACTCCTTTCCAACCTGCACCTATATCAGGTAGTAATGCCCGTCGGGGGAGGCGATGGTTAGGCATGCGCAGCACGTGATCTAGGCATCTCAATCTATGTAACTTTATAGCCTCGTCGATTGATTTTCCCTCTTAGCTTAACACTCTACTCCTAACGTCAACGTTACTTACCTTATTAAACCACCTAATGTGAGAAAGAGATCACAGACATCTATGATCGAAAGCAGTCAACCTTTTCATGTCTTCAACTCGTATTGGCCATGTTTCAGAGCCATAGAGAAGGATCGTATTGGCCATGTTTCAGAGCCATGAGAAGGACGGAGTGAACTGCAGCTGAGCAGTACACACGTCCCTTGGTTGATAGCCGGATGTCAAGCTTACGCCAGAGATGGTGTAAGTCAGCGAAAGCAGCTCGAGCTTTTTGAATCCGTGATGAGATTTCGTCGCCAGTCAGTTCGTTGTTGCTGATACAACTTCCCAAATAGGTGAAGTCGTCAACATGTTCTATCACGTCACTCCCTATCACTAAGCTAGGAGTTGACGTAGTCCAGTCCTGTAGCAGCATCTAACATTTTGCACTGTAATGTGCCTAATTGTTTGTTTGGTGAGGAGTAAATTCTATCAGTTAAGTTTCCAATGTAGCTACCATGCCAGTAGGTGGCTCACTATCATGGTGCATTTTGAATTGTTGATATTAGGTGGTGGTTGGAAGCAATCATTAGGAAGCCTTAAACCTAGGTTTCGTGCTCTCTGGTACTCACCAGTCAGTCAGCAAGCAAGGCGTATCTGCAACCTTGACAACAAACGACTAGACACTCGACACTAGTTCGTTACTAACCAGCATCCAATCAAAAATATCCAAAACAGTCTTACAGGAAGTCAATCGCGAGTCCCAAATAGCTCCGCGTTAAAATCTCTGACAGTAGATGGAATTGGGTTCGCCTACAAAGCTTTTCCTTGATTGGATTTTAATTTTTAAATACCATTCTAATTCCCGCTTTGTTAAGAATTCTACGTAGGGTTTCAGATGCCTCTTCCTTATATATATATATATATAATGATTGTCAGGTCGTATACACATGTCAAAGTAGTAGAACAGGGGCAGTCAGACTAGCCAAGCATAAAAGCCTAGCTAAATCTAAACTGATTGACCCGAATAAGATATGAAATCCAGAGAATAGTTCAGCGATAGCATTACACACAGTCACACACAACCACACAATAAGATGGATGGAATAGGATGACAGTTGTAAAATCTAATGTCACAGTAGGGTGGAGAGAGGGAGAGATTAATAACAGAAGCTTTGTTTATCGAATCAACTGAAGAGAGTACGTGTAATAGGAATGATTCATCACCTGTCCCAGATATCTGGAAAATTCTACTACCCCAACGAAGACAGATAGGAGAAGACAAAGAAAACTATAAAACTCAAGTTTCAAAGTCGTGTGATTCCAATTGATATATGATTATGAACAGCAATAAATTGTGTTCGAAACTGTGTCATCCAGTAAATAATGAATACTGTTCCAGTGACTGTGTGATATATCTAATAAACATACTAATGTGGAATTACTTACTACTACAGTGCCCAAGTTTTACACACATTATTATTATTATATTTGCACATGAATATATTTTACTGTTGTAAATGACGTACCTGACTCCAAAGAAGTCCTTTTCGATGATGGTAATCGAAGCAGAAGATTCCATAATTCATCTTCGGCCATATTCTGTACTTCTAAAATATCCATTTGAGAAATAATAAATGTGTTAAATGATGCAGGAAAAAAACTTTATTTTGTCGACAATTATATACTACTGATTGACTGGGATAAGTTGTGGCATGCCACACTTCTTATTAAGCAAAAATTCGTCCAATTACCTCAAAGTAATTAGCCAGAAATCGCCCATTTCGTGGATAGTTCCACGGTTATGAATTGATTTGGCTGTCTGTCTTATCTGAGTCACAAGCTGAGTACACTCACTGGTGAGTTCAACCATATAAACCAGCGAGATGACCGTGCAGTGTTTAGATCAATTAGCACTACTTGTTGATGTGATGTCAGTCAGTCAACTGCATGTAATTTTATGGGATTAGGCTTGGTTTCTTGATTACTAACTATGATATCGAGTGGATCACGCATTGTGATGATCTGAACAGTTTCAGCTTCGAAAGTAATCTATGGTGGAATCTCATCTCCTCTTTGAGCTGTGCAAATTGTAAATTACTGTGGCTAACTCCCCTCAATTGGAAGTTTGTGATTCAACCTCTGATTGAATGAAATCTTCAAACACTCAAGCATTTTCAGAGACAGGCGAATGAGAGACGGGAGATTTGCAGACTCGCATCCGTTTACCAATCGTTTTAGTTTATTATTTTATTATTGTTCCCTTGAGTTCCTAGTGGAACATAAGGCTTCAACTGCACGTCTCCACTTGCTTCTGTCTTCTGCTGTACTTTTCACCTGCAACCATCTTAGTCCATACTCTTTCAACTCCTCTTCACACGACCTCCTCTATGTCACCCCTGCACTGATGTCCCACTGGTCGCTTTTCTTTCGGCCTGGTTCCACTCGAGCAATGGCCTGACGCGCGCGATGTCACCCAGCGGCGGCCCCTCAGCCAGTGTCCAATCCATCTTTCTTCACTTTCTCCCGCATATTTGTTGGTTGGCGATTGGCTTGTTCTTGTTTTATTCGTTCCTTCCCATAGTTTCTTGTTGTTGATGATTCTTTCCGGCCCGGACATCTGATTGATCTTCAGTATAGAGCGATAGTTGACAGTTGTTGATTGATAAAGGTAACGTCTGAAACAGGCTGTTGGAAACATTCTTTGTGACCCTCCTCCAAGTTTCTGATCCCTTTAGAAGATCTGACTGACTTGACGTTGTTTGTATTGAAAATCTCACCGGATATTGTTGTTGATGCTGAGTGACGGAGATTTCCAGATTGGTTTGTTTCAGGTTGATGAATGTGTTTCTCACCTTCCCAATTCTCACTCGATTTGACATCCTCATCCGTTCCTCCTCCTCTCGCTGACAACCTAATCTTTAATGTTTTCCAGAATCAATTTTGCTCTCCTTCAAACCGGTATGCCGTAAATTTTCAGCGTCGACATATATTCAAATGTTTTAAGTCTCCGAAAAATCAACACTCATTGATGGAGCAATAGCGTAACGCCGATTCACCAGTCAAAGGGGTACAGTGTTACATTTAAAAGGATCTGTTACAAGTAGTAAACCACTTTTGAGTGCTTTTTCTAAGTAAATAACACATTTGCTTTTGTGTAGACCAGCTAGTAGATTTAGCACGTTGTCCAGTTGAATGTTGAAGAGAGGAGCTTCCAAATGTGCTGAGAGAAACATTTGGTCTTGCGAAGGTTTAGTTTCGTCTTTTTCTTGTCAAGCCATATAGTTCTGCAGGAATCGCGTCTCCACTTTCTCTGGTTATTCCTTCGCCTTTGAAGGCCTCAACCCTGGTAAAGGTTTTTATCTCCTCTTCTCGCACTTATCATCTAACTTGGTTATAAACCTCTGGCACCTAAAGTGTTGTTTGACTGGCACCTTTTTGCGTCTCACAACACTCTTCACCTCCGTCATGATCAGAACGATAAGAAAATAAAAGTATTTGTATTTGTAAGTATTTGGAATCATGTCAATATGCATGTCTTCAGTTACCAAAATCAATCAGAAATCATTGAAATCCAACCTTAATTGTCAATGAGCTTGGTCTCTTAGTCTAAAGGTCTTAGATTTTGTCCCTGGTGGGGTGGGTGGGGGGTAATGAGTGCGCATTGATGAAACGTCTCGAACTAGGATGAAACAACCGTTCAGTGATAATGATGATTTGCTTTATTCCGAAAACAGTACTAATGATACAGTAAGGAATTTTCAGCATCCAGTACAATACTGCATCTAATTTACTCAAAAACGACAAAAAAATATAAAAATAAACATTACATAATAATAATAAAACGTTGTTATAGCAGCTACATAGCAAATTACTGTATGCAATACGGAGAAAAATATGCATAATGTATGAAATTGTAGTAATAATAGTAATAACAACTAAAATAAAATAGCAACGTTATAATTAAGCGATAGAAAGTGTGACACCATATAATTCAGAAAGATGAACAATGGAAGGGTCGATTCAATGTGCTAATTACGTAGTAACTTATGTGTTTCACGTCTAACAGAGTCTTCATCACATAAAGTACGGGCTAAACAGGGGACTGTAGAATTTCTGTACTTAGTGGTACGAGCATATAGCTTTTTATATTGACTTCTCGTCCTACCTGATGAGATACAAGGGGAGAGTTGTGAATAAAGGGGGTGCAGAGGGTCTGACAGTACAGCTTTTGCCCATTTTGTACAAGATTTTACGTGTCTCTCGACAGTAATATTGGCGAGCTCACGCAGTGGCATACCACAAGCCCTACTCACTGCATTTAATACCCTTCGTAATATGATATAGTCTTTTTTGAGAAGCCCAGGAAACATTAATGGAGAGCAATAGAGTACAATAGGTAAAATACAGGAGTTTACAAACTGCAGAACTAAAGGTTGGTTGATACCTGATTGTCTTAACTTTTTAATGTAGAAGGTAAGACGAAACATTTTCTTAGAGATAGATAAGATATGGGATGACCATGAAAGGTCAGATGAGGATAAGGAACAGTGTTAAATGGAAACCTGATGAATGAATCCAATCGCGGATATCTTATGAATTCCTGATATCGAGAGAACTTGCTAGACTATTTCAAAGTCATCTGAAGAGTGAGTACGTAGGAATCTTGACTAAAGGTATATGAATTAAAATATTCTTCAAACTGAAAGAAAGGCATGATAATCTATTGATGATTAAATCCTGAATTCCATAAAGAGAATAAATTTGCTCAGTAACTCAACTTACTTGCAATGGATTTAATTTGTCTATATATTTGGTTTTAAAAAATAGCGTTGGTAGTTCAGGGGGTAGAACGCTTGCCATCTACGCATGTGACTTGAAGTTCGATCCTGGCCGACGCATCCCTAAACATCTCTAAGCCGAGTGCAAGACCCATAAGAAAAGAAGCTTCGGCGTAAGACTAGGAACCCCACCTCGTAGGAATAAAACCACTGCTACGGAAACTTCAAAGCTCTGGCTTGGAGTCCTTTATTCCAGTCGGAACTTAAGAAAATCAAATACAAATAAGTAATTAAATTTACTCCACAATTTGTGTCTTTTTTCCCCCACTGTTACATCAATAGTCTATATAACACTCATCTTGACACAAATTTCCCCCTAATTCTAGTTGAACTCCATTCAGTCCTCTCAAATTAGTTAGGTGACTCAATCCACTCACTTAATTTAGCTTTAGTCTTCACCTAGTCAGTGTAATTGTGTTGCGTAATTTAGAATCCTTTGTCTGTTATCTTAAACTTAAAATTCCAAATGACACATATTCGGAAACACTCATATTCTTGCTACAGAAAAGTGCATTATATATACATATATATGGGATTGTGCAGGTTGAGAATGGTGTCGACGAAAAGAGTAACTCTTTACTCACCAACTTCTTTTATATATGAACCCGAAACAGTTTGATTTATCTAACAGACTATGTAAATTTCGAAGTAGATTTCATCAAAAACGAACGCTCTGGAGCTCTAGACAAATACCGTTTTCTACTAGTTTTTTGGGGCTCTTTTGCAGTGCCTGTTCACTGCAACACTTAACAGAGACTGAAGCAGTGACCTTCAGCTAATATTATACTTAGCGAGGAGGGCGGTAACTTGGCATGCGCAATACATAAATAAAACGTAATCTCATCAATAGACAGAGCTTGGAATGGCAGTCAGTTCGCTACCTCGAATTCATTGGCTTTGAAAAGGCCTTCGACTGACAGTGTTGATCGAGAGGTGATTTGAAAACTACTTCGCTATTACGGGGTGCCACCAAAAATTATACACCTCGTCCAACAGTTGTGCGACAATGCTGCATGCCAAGTAATCCGCAGAGACGAACTTATGGAATCCTTTGAAGCGGTAGACTGGACAATGCGACAGATAAAGGTGGCCAGCGAGGAGACAGGCTTGAAATGGAGACACACAAAACCTTGGGGGATCTGGTATGTGTCTGATATATGTGTCTGATTTCCTACAAATTGGAAGATATGCAAGTGAAAAGCAACAAGTTGGCGATAGAAGAAGCATCAAAGATAGGACTCTAAGTAAACATAAAGAAGGTGGAGACAGAGGTGATGAAGGTTCCTGGCCAACTCCAACAGCAACAACAGAAAACAATCAGCATGAAATGGAGGAATCTGAAAGAAGCAACCTCCTTCACCTACCTGGGAAGCATCGTTTCAACTACTGGTGGACGAAACTGACGAGAATATCGAAGCGAGGATCGGGAAAGCAATACAGGCTATTAATACTCTTAAGTCTGTGTGGAGATCAACTGGACAGACTGACTCAGCGTGAAAGAAAAGATCCAGATTTTCAACTGTAATGTGAAGTTAGTGCCACTTCACGGATTGTGGACTTGCCGCCACGTCACGAAGGGCACTTCGAATAAACTACAGACTTTAATCAACAACTGTCTTCCATCATTAGTACTCAAGATCAGATAAATAGACAGATAGACAGAAAAAAAAAAAATAGACAGATAGACAGATAGACAGATAGATAGATAGATAGATAGATAGAAATTAGATATACACTGGTCTCTATAATACATTTTCATGGCACAGGGAGAAAAGATGAGCCAAATACCAACACATTTAACTTTTAATTATCCTTGTTCCAGATTCTCAGTTAATACATTTTTTAGGGAGGGAAATACTTGAATCCAATTGAATAAAATTAGGATACCGGAAGTAATTTTGATAGTTTGATTGATTGATATCATGATTATTACGGTTGTGACAGCCTTTTTATATGTCCTGGAGCAATTATCTTAGAATATCTACGGATAATCATCATGATAAAATTATGACTTGACAATACAGTAATGTCACTGTGTTTGAAATCTTCATAACACATGATGAGTAGAAGGCTATTTTCGCCATAAAACAATCAAATGGGACTGATGCGTCAGGGGTCAATGGTAGACTACCTGCCAACTACGAATGTGGTTCGGAGTTTAGTTCCCGGTTGACGCACACCTCGCTTAGCCGACCGAAAGTTCTGAAAAGAGGAAAGGTTGCTGATGAGTCTATCAGTCACCCCCACCACATTCATATGAACAATGAGATGTCTTCTAGTTCTCTGATTTCCTCAATGATTATGCCTCTTTTTTATGACGTCCCATATAAAAGAACCAATGGGAATCCAGCATTTAGTGGGACACAGATCGTAATGTGGTCATCTCTAAAAACCTGATGACACTGGATAAAACCTCTTGTGTGCTCGTCTCTACATAGTGTTGAAGGTTCTCAGCCAGAATCGAAGTGAATGTCTTAATGATTTCGCCAACTAGTACAATCTGCTGTTGACATCAACAATTTGAATGCACAGTGGTACATACTACTAATCAAGTGATATAAGTAGTTGGCCACGACTTGTATTAATCAGTAGTGTTTGCTAAACCAATTAGCAAAGTGATCGAAGTGATGTCTGGACACAGACGCCTGTGTATCTCTCCATCCTTGCAAATGAGTGAATTCGATTCAACGATGTTGAAACTGGACAACTTAAAATCAACTTACGTTTATACTTTGATCCGAATAAACTTTTTGCTACTGTTGTACTACCAAATTCTCGAAATCGTTGTATCACTGTGTCGTAGAACCAAGTACACGTCATAGCACGATAACCTCTGATGAAAATAAAATTAAACAGAAAGCATGTGTGAAGTAATAGTGAGTATATAGGGATGAGTTATTCAGCAAAAGGTTATTGGAGTATAGAAACGTGCATCTAGAACCTTCCTCTGACTCTCCGTCAGATTGTTCCAAATTAAATAACTTTCTGTCAAAAATTAGTCAGTGGTCCTCATCAAACGGTCTTAAGCTGAAACCGTCTAAATGTCAGGTAGTCAATTTCACTCTCAGACGTAAACGCGACCAACAACAACTAGCTAGCTAGCTCACATGGCCCCACTATCATTGACGGCATAAACGTTGAAATTACATCTAATGTCAAGTACTTTGGACTGAGTTTTTCCACCGATCTTTCCTGGTTCTCCCACATCTTGCTAGTTACTAGAAAGATGTTTCGCTTAACGTTCTACGTTAGGAAATTTAGGCAATCTGGCATAAAGCATTTTTTGCTTTCTCAATTTGTCAATTCTTGTATTCTACCCATCCCCCTTTACTGCTCCCCATTAATCTTTCCTGGACTACTTAAGAAAGACTTTGCTTTGCTGAGAAGGTCACTAAAAGCTGTTAGTAGGACAAGTGGGATATCGTTAAACCAACTGGTTAACACTATTGTGGATAGACATATAATGTCATGTAAGAAACTAGCGAATACTATATTGTCAGACCCCGAGAATCCTTTCTATACGCAGCTGTCTCCTTGCATTTCATCTGGTAGAACTAGAAGCAGCTATAGGAGGCTGGCTATATGCTAGGACTACCAAATACAAAAACTCCACAATACCATATCTGGCACAGTTGTTATGTGATGAGAAATCCGTTAGGTATGACACGATTAACTTACTGCAGGACTCTAACAAATAGTCCCATTAGTTTTTGTTTTCCTTTCCTCGTTACTATTACACTGTTGTTCTCATCCTCTATCACACATCAACTTTATATTTCATATCCTGTGGTGCATTGTTTAAAATGTAAACGCAACGCTCTTCTTTTTATTTATCTTTTTCTGTGTTGCTTCTCTTTGATTTTAAAATCTTATAAAATTTAATGAGGTAATTAGATTAGATGAAATATATTGTAATGCATGCTGAAAATTCCATACCTGTACCACAAGTACTGTTTGGAATAAAGCTGTTATTATTATTATTCATTCTACGTGTCCAGTTAAGTAATCTATAAAAAGCTTCTTCTTCTAAATCTATGATCTCTTCCCCTTGATATTTCTTTGCTTATCGATTGTTGGTTTTCAGGGATTTGATTGGTTAGAGGTTTGATCACCAGCTGATACCAGTTAAAGAACTACTGGAGAGTACTAAACGTCTGTTTCTTCCTAGTTTGGTACTCTTCAAAAGTACGCAGTCACTTGTGTTTGAAGCCAGGATCTTCTGGTTACAAGACAAGTTCGTAGACTAATAGGCCATTTGGGCCCAACCGAATGTACAGCCCATGAATTCTAACTTCTACAAAGCCATCAGCCAGTGAGCCATCAGCGAGTAACTGTTCTCTTAGTTAACTTAGTGAACCCCATCGGTTACGACTTCTCACTAGACTTACTCTAGGTAACTTCCTGCTTACAGCTGGTCACTAATGCTTGTCATATGAATTGTCAAGTGTTCGGTGGCAGGGATTTGACTGGTTATACGTTTGACCACAAGCTAACGTCGAGGAGTATTGGGCGGTTGTGTTTTGTCCTAATCTGGGAATCGTCAGTGGTACCCACCTACCGTTTAAAAGGTGAGCTTGTAAACCATTCTCCGGCTGAAGTCAGCTCATGATCAGACCTGTTACCGATCAGATCGTTGAAAACTAACAAACGATCGATAATTAATCAAATGCTTATTAGCGACTGACTGTTTATGGGAAGTTACTTGGAATTTTAGAGGGAGGTCGTAACCAGAGGGGTCCGCAAAGTTACTCATCACTGGCACTGGCTAGCTGTCGCACTTTCGATTTATCAATGTATTGCGAATCGCAGAAGGTGAAAGCTTCAGTTTCTTGTGGGATGGGTTTGGTAGCCTGACATACGTATCGGATATTGGCTACAAATCGAACTTCAAAACCACTTGCATGGTTTGGGAGCATTGCAAGTAGCTAAGCAGCGGATACACCGCTTTTCTCGTTACTTTTGTCCCCTTCTCCGTAATGTGCCTCATTAGGGTGACTTCTGTCTTAGAAGGGGGGGGCGCAGTTCTGAACAGTGAATCCGATAATATTACTGATATCGATCTTATCACTTAGAGTGTATTATTCACTGACAGTTTTGTCACTTATTTAAATGCTGGTGTAAGTTTTAATGGGTGTTATTATTATTAGTGTTTCCTTTAGTTGCTGGAGGAACATAAGGCTACAGCCGCGCGTCTCCATTGCGTTCGGTTCTCTGCTAGAGTTTTTGACTGGCTCCACGTTTCCCCACATGCTTTCATCTCCTCTTCACATCATCAAGTCCTCCATGTCACCTTTGCACTGACGACCAACTCAGCCCTTCTCATTCGGGTTCCATTCTAGCAATGTCCTGTCGTGTGATGTCACTCACTTGATGGTTTGTTTTCTCAGAGTTTGTCAAAACCAACTCCATTTCTTCCTGCATATTCGTTGCACAGTTGGTTTCTGCTGGGTTGGTTCGCTCATTGTCAGAAATCTCTTCCTGTTGCTGATCTTTTTGCTGGCCGGCCATCTGGTCTTGAGTAGTGAGAGAAGACAGTTCTTGATGAAGTCTGTAGTTTGTCTGAGGTGATCATTATGACGCGCTGGCCAAGTCTCTGATCCGGATGTTATCTTTCATCCTGAGTCAGTTAGTCCTGTTGACCTTCACACAGACTTGAGAGTAATGGAAGCTTGTCTTGCTTTCTCGACCCTCCTTTTGATATCCTCATCAGTTCCGCCTCAATGGGTGTTGGATGACCGAGATTTTTTGAAAGAATGTATCCAGAATAATATTTATCCTCGAACATTTTACAAATCCTTGCGTAAAGATCATCTGAGACCTACACGAGCGAATCTTTACCGTCTTGCTGAATCACATTTGTCTTCTGAAACAGATGAAATCAGTAATTTATGCCTATTGTCAAGCAAACTGATCAATGTACAAAATGACTTAAACTTCGTATGTTATATTAAATTCACTAAATATCTGCATGCCACATCAAAAAAGACAAAAGAATCAGAAGTAAAGAAACTGAAGAAGTCACTTTATCCGGAACCGCCAAATGAAATTTTCCCAGTGGATATATCTAATTATGTTCATAATTTATCTGATGTTTCCCTATCAAAAGAACAAGCAGAAATTCTGTCATTGGGATTCAAATTCTGTGTTCCCATGAAGAAGATAAAGCAAATCGATATCGAATGCCAATTCGAAAATCTTTATGATCAACTTATGGGGCTACATGCCACGTCCAGTGACAGCGAAAGCTGGTTGAAAGCAAAGATGGTTGATATCGCTCATCAATTTCGAGTCATGCCGACCAATCAAAAGTCGCATATCACCAAAGAACACTGGCGATCTTTAAACAAGCTTCGAAAAGACAAAAATCTTGTTATCCTACAAGCTGATAAAGGACAAAGTGTAGTGCTAATGAACAAGATAGATTATCTCGAAAAAATGCATCAAATTCTCGCCGATGAATCTAAATTCAAATTGGATAACCATGCAAAAGACCAAACGTTATCAACCGAAAGGAAAATTGTGCAGCATCTACGACAACTCTTCAAAAATAAATACATAGACGAAAACACATATAGAAATATCAAACCGATTGGGTCACAAATCCCAAAACTATACGGACGCGTAAAAATACACAAACCAGGAGCGCCGTTAAGACCCATACTCTCTATGATAAACTCGCCGTACCACAGACTAGCACAGTGGTTATGTGAACTGTTGCAGCCATTGTTGAAACGTTTCGGAACACATATAGTCTCTGATTCATTTCAATTTGTCAATCAAATTAAAGATTTCAATGTATCCGATAAGCATTTGGTCTCTTTCGATGTTACCTCCCTTTTCACAAATGTGCCAGTTGTTGAGACTATCGACTTCATATGTAAAGAAGCTGAAGACATACCCATTCCAACATCGGAATTGAGGAAATTACTACTTTTATGTACTAAAAATGTCCAATTCCAATTCAACGGGCGTCTGTTCCGTCAAGTTGATGGTGTCGCAATGGGAAGCCCTTTGGGACCACTTTTCGCCGACTTATTCTTGTCACGCCTAGAAACCGGTGCTTTGCAGCAGCACATACAAGAAACAAATGTATACCTAAGATATGTTGATGACATTTTTATTGTCTGTGAAAGCAGATCAAAAGCGGAAGACATGTTGATAAAATTCAATTCATGCCATCCAAATCTCAATTTCACAGTAGAACACGAGGAAAACGATACTATGAAATTCCTAGACGTTTTTCTAGCCAAAATGAATGATGGCACAATCGAAAGATCTATATTTAGAAAGTCTTCATGGACAGGACAGTACATGCATTTCAAGAGCTTTGTCCCAATCCAGTACAAAAAGAACCTAGTCAGAACACTGTTCAATAGAGCACGGAAAATTTGTTCTGACAGTACTATTGAACAGGAAATAAAATCTCTGAAGGATATTTTATCTAAGAATGGATATCCTGAGAAGTTCATTAATAAATACTCCAAAGAAACTACCCCCGCAAAACAATTCAAACAGTTCCAAAGAAACCTGTTTATATCAATTTACCGTTCAAAGGAGATGACGTACAAGAAGTAGTGAAACGAAGACTCGACAAAGCCATCAAGAGAACTTATTATGCTGCAAAACTTGTTATCCTTAACACCACCAAGCGAGTGCTTCAACAATCTGGGAAAGACCAGTCGCCAATCCTCGACACTTCAAACTGCATATATCAATTTGAGTGTGTTTGTGGCAGCAAATACATAGGTCGTACGGAAAGGCGATTGTCTACTCGCATGATGGAGCATTTGCCAAAATGGTTGAAAACAGCTGAGTTCAAAGTGCCAAAATCCTCAATAACAAAACATCTTGTAGATTACGGACATGATATCGACGCAGTCAAGTCATTTACCATTGTCAGCAAACAAAGAAACAAGAAGATGCTTGCAATTGCAGAGGCTTGTGCAATTCGAATTTATAAACCAGCTCTCTGTATACAAAAGGAGATGGTCGTAACTCTTAATCTACCATGGTAATACGTTTTATTCTCTACTTGTTATTATTCTACCTCTTCTTCTTACTATTATTGTTATTATTATTACCATTATTATTATTATTCTTGATTCATCTAAAACTATGCTTTATCAGTAAGATTATCTTAACTCACTTCAACACTATTAAAACTGTTATTATAACTATTACTATTGATATTAGTCTGTTTGCAATTCTCCTTATATTCCCTAGTGACTAATTGTTTATCTAAGTGATGCAATTGAAGCGTAATGCCATTTATCTTAATTTTGATCTCTCATACTCTCTCTCCCCTTATCTATTTGAACATGACCTGGAAAACATTCGCACGTGTCTTTCTGCATGATTAATTCTATGTAGTTTGTTTACTTATCAGTCTTATATCTCCCAATGTAATTTCAAAAGTATATATATCCGTGTATGTAGAGTATTCAGCTGACGAGTTCTACCGAAATTTGATGAATTCATTAAATCCTGCTTTATTAACCTTTATTGCTTGTTTTAGGTTCTCTAACTAATGTCAGCTCATGACGAAATCCTGAAACCAATCAAATCCCTACAAACCAACACTTGAATACCTTTATATTCACTGAACTAAAGTTAGAATTCATAGCACCTAACCACTCGGGTTGCAAACTATTGACTGAACAGTCTAAAAGTCTTTGAAAGAAATTCCTACGGGTATTACGAGTGTACAAATATAAATTATTGTATAATCAGGACACGACGAAAGTGAAAATCGGTTTTCTAACTAATATGTATATATGTAAGAAAGTAAGATATAAAATCATTGTGACGGTTTCATCGTTGCATAGTTATGAAAATGTAATGCACAACAGCGTAATTGAATAAAAAATCTCTAATGCATATTAAAAAGGCTTCAAAGACTAAAATCTTTGCGGACGCCTAAAGTTACACATTCAATTACCTCATAGAACTATGTAGTTGAACCCACTCACAGTCATTACAAGCTATTTTGCCAACTATATTATTTTGTCTAATTTGGTCAGGATCCTTTAACCTAGACAGCTTGTCCTAGCTGAGTGAGTTTGTAGGTTTAAATGCCACCACCTTAATTCCTGCTTTATTGAGAATCCCCTTCTTTTAAAGATGAGGTCAGTGTTATTCTGTCGCATAATCATATACTCACATGAATCCTGGTCCTAGAGACGGATTTTACCAATAGAATTTTGGAGCAAACGGTTTTATTGTTTCGATTTGTTGTTCTCACCTCCTGGAAAAAATTGTAACCTCATATAACAGCATACACTACTGTGCAACTCATATAGCTAGGTATTGCTTTGGAGGGAAAGAAAAAAGAGTTCACTAATCTGTTATAAGTAGTAAAGGAAGGTATACGTTGCTGATCGACTGATATATGTGTGGTTGGTTACCTTTAGTATCAATCAGCTGTGATTACTAGCCAGGTCAAAATGACCTGAACACTGGGCCACAATTACACTCTGTGAGCTGATTAGCTTGGCTACAAAAGAGTTAGACGCCCATCCGGTGGTCAGATTACTTCGATTAATTTGAATTATATCTAACTACACTTGTTAAACTACTAGTAGCGTATGGAATTATGTATTTATGTGTGCTTCCTTGATTACCATTCATGTATATTTGTTGCATTATTAGACAGCATTGTAAGTGGCCAAGCCAGGGGCACACTGCGTTTTTCGTTACTGTCGTCGTCTTCTCTGTTATGCACCTGATTAGTTGTAGATAAGTCTGAATGGGGCATAGGGTGCCTTCTATCTTAGAAGGCGGGGGGTAAGTGCAATTCTTGGCTTGCTCTGAAATAAACAATAATACGTCGGTAGCACAGCGGTTAGAACTCTCGCCGATCATGCACATGGTCCGAAGTTCGATCCTCTGCCGACGAGCATCTGATATCTATGGTCGGCCTGCAAAATTCGGTCCATCGATATCACATGCTGAAAATTTTATACTTGTACCAAAAGTACGGCGCGGAATCAAACCGTAATCAAAAAAATAATCAAATAATCAAATACAGTTTGTAGGTTTAAATGCCACCTTAATTCCTCCTTTATTGAGAATCCTAAGTAAGGAGGGTCTCACATGTCCTCTCCTTATATGGTAAAACTACTGTAGATGCCTTATATTCTTTCTTATTTATGTTATCGCTATCAGTTTCACCATTATTTTTATTTTGACCTTTTTTGATATTCCTAGTGAATCGTTTATAGGATAGTTAGTTATTGAACACCAACCAGCTATTTTCCTTCTATCTGTTTCATTTCATCGTTTAGGTCTTTTGTTGTAGTACTTAGTATTGTTACTGTTGGGTTTGTTAGACACTTAACTAAGCCTGCTTTCACAGACAAATAACGACAGATAAGGTGAATTAAAGTCTAAGTATCTATTAGGAGAATGCGTTGGTTTTTTATAAACGCTAGTGTGTTGTTTACCTTCTTCTATTCGTTTTATTTTACAATCTAACTTCATAGTGAATTCTCTTTGTTCATTCAGAGGTTTAAATGTGTCTTAGTTCCCATCGTGCTTTATATTTCCTGGATAACACCAATATTCTTTCCGAATGTACTTTAGTCTCCTTTTCTGTTTCATGAATATCTATTGAACTTTTATTAATTTTTATTTATAGGTCCAACAAACCAAGAAAAATGTGTGAATAGTGTCTTGAAATGATTATGAGTAGTAATAGTAGTAAACTGTGCTCAAAACGTGGTCATCAGTTGTAAATATTACTGTATAGCACTACACTGTGTGCGAATTTATCAAAATATATTGTTGTGGTTGTGTTCTCTGAAGTGGATAGTTAATTTGCGAAGCTTTCATCGCCCCACTTAGTAGGCGACATTCTCAGCGCATAATTCAATTTGAAGTGAGCTTCTAGAATTCTCCACGAGTTTATTAATCATCTCTCCTGGTAACCACCTTGAAAGTGATTGGTTGTTTTTTTTGAGTGTGTTCTCAAACCTTCTAGGTTACTTGTATTGGAACTGATTGTTTCTTTGACTTGAACTTTGACCCTTCGTGTGTGAGGTTTCTTTCTTATCGTCTGATAAATTTTGTCTATCTCGATGTGTCTATTGATTGATGATTCACTGGAATACCAGGCAGGCTTCTAAAAATTCTCTGGCTGGCATTTTTGTTGTTTCCTCTGTCTAATATTTGATCACTGTTTTTCCCAGTCGAATTAATGTCCGTGGTTGTCTGTATGCTGTGAGGTGATATGAGGGAGTGGATATCATGTCTTTTGACAGCTAGCTTATTTTCGTGGATACGAAGACAAAGGGGACGTTCGCTTTGGCCAATGTAGTGTTTATCGCAGTTGTTACAGTTTATTTTGTAGAAGATGTTGGTTTTATCTTCTTTCGCTATTGAGTCTTTTGGTTGACACAGAATTGAGTAAAGTGACTTTGTTGGTTTGTGCATGACGTCAATTACTAGAGATTTGAAGAGTATTGTAGTGATTTCTGAGATATCCTTTATATATGGCTAGGCAATTTTCTTTGTGCTTTCCTTGAGGGCTTTTGGTTTGATAGGTTGGCTTGTGGAGGGGGTATATGTCTTTTGATGAAATTCCGTGGATATCCATTCATTCTTGTGGTAGACGCCCATGAGATATTTTTCTTCAATTTTCCTTGAGGTGGGAGTGCTGCAATGAATCCTGGCTGGCCCTCTTGAATAGTGTTTGTATGCAATTCCTTTTTGTGTGTTATTGAGTTGTTGCTGTTATGCATAATGAAATTATACTATACCATCACAGTACACAGGTTCTATTCTTCTCTTATCAGTCTCCTCATAGAGGTGAGAAATTCTGGTTAAAACCTCGTGCAAAATATACTCACACCCTTCTTATGTATCTTAGCCTTCCCAGTATCCTCTCTACACGGTCTTCTCGTTGCGACTGAGTCAAATTCCCCAACAAAAGGCAGGACAACCTTTGCTCTCTCTCTGTATCATACTGGGACACTTATTCAAGCTTAGTTCTTTGTCTAAAGTGAACATAGTAAAGTTAAATTAATAATAATGACAATAATAGTAAATGTGATATAACTCACGTTTCTTTAAGGCACATTATACAAAAGAAATCATTGTATTTAGGCACAGTATCAGAACAATTACGACAGATAGTTCTTCTACAGTTACCGCATATACGTTTAGGATTAATCAGCGCCATAAATGGACGTCCACAAATTATACATGATGTACTTTCAACAGCCATTGATATACTTTTAGCGGCTAATTCTTTATCTCTGCGTATGATACTACAACGGAATCGACTAAACAGGTGTGTATGAAAACAGAGATTGTTAAAAAAATAGTAAAGGTTAATTTAGAAGGTTGAAAAAAAGTTAATACATTTTAATGTTTTAGATGTTAAAATGGTGAAGTAATATTTATTGATATTGAAACAAAAAAGTATCATTATTAATATTAATCTCTTGGGTTCCGTGTGCAATAAAGCGACTGAGTGGGACATTTTCATTTTATCCTGTTCTCTGAGGTTGTTTTTAATCGCCTTCATGATTGACTACAAACTTCCAACTCCTGTTCACATGATCTATTCCATATGACCCATCAGTCTATGCTCAAATCGTCATTTCTCATTCGGGTTCCATTTCAGGGTGTGCCTGAAGCATGATGTCCCACAGTTGTCTCCACAGTGTTTATCCAATCCAATCCATTTCCACTTTCTTTCGCATATTTAGTTAATTCCTTGCCAGACAGTTTCTGAGTGCTACTGCTTTCTGGTTAGTCATGTAATCTGGAGTGTGGAGCGAAGAGTCAGCTATTTATGGAGTTTTCTTAGCCTGCTTGGCATGCTTTTAGTGGCGCAACAAATCTTTGAACCACTTGAAAGTACAGACACGACATTAGGGTTACAACATCTGGATCTCGTTTTTTTGTGATGAGTTCTGTAAATCATTTTAATTAAGAATTTTGTATTTCTCAATCATTGAAAAACAAAACGATATTGTTGTTTTTACTGACGTTTCGCTATTTGATGCTGCTAACAGCTTTATCAAAGTATTAATAAACCGGAGTTTACAATATCCACTCAGCATATATATGACAAAGAGTTAAGAGATGGGTGAGAAAATAGACTACTTAGGTCAAGTTAAAGGGACATATTGAAAGTTAAAATAACAATGAAGATCACTAAACCAAGTATCAAAGGTAATAGTACATCTGTTATGATGTCAAAATAAAGTTTACTAACTTGATCATTGTTCTTTAGTCTGGGGTCATTTTTTGTTGTCAAGTTGGTCAGTTGGTAAAGATAACAAAACCAGGTAGGTGTAGATTGTTGGATTTGATCAGTGTGTAAAATTATAAAAGCAGTGTGTGTTTACATGGTGAAATTTGCTTATCACATTCGTGTTGATTTTGTCATTTTATGGGTGAGGGAGGTGTTGTAACACACACTGCTTTTATAATTTTACACACTGATCACATCCAACAATCTACACCTACCTGGTTTTGTTATCTTTACCAACTGACCAACTTGACAACGGAAAATAACCTCAGACTAACGAACGATGATCAAGTTAGTAAACTTTATTTTGACATTATAACAGATGTACTATTACCTTTGATACTTGGTTTAGTGATCTTCATTGTTATTTTAACTTTCAATATGTCCCTTTAACTTGACCTAAGTAGTCTATTTTCTCACCCACCTCTTAACTCTTTGTCATATATATGCTGAGTGGATTTTGTAAATTCCGGTTTATTAATACTTTGATAAAGCTATTAGCAGCATCAAATAGCGAAACGTCAGTAAAAACAACAATATCGTTTTGTATTCAAGTGTTGGTTTGTAGGGATTTGATTGGTTTCAGGATTTCATCATGAGCTGATATTAGTTATCGGTTTGTTTTTCATTCATTGGGAAATACAAAAAACCTTCATTTTTATAATGAATATCATATACCCAATGCACAAAATTTTATTCACACCGTTAAAAGTGAACTTGGTTTGGACATATATAGTTCTGTAAATCACCATACCGACTTGAGAGCAATGAACCCCTGTGTTGTTTTCTTCATCCTATCCTGTCTGGTTTTGATATCCTCATCTGTGCTGAATGCCTGTGGTGGTAGAAAAAATGCTGCTCCGATTAGTGAAAGAGGTGAATTCCTTCATGTTTCTCTCCTCAGTGTTAATTAGTACTTCTTGTATTTCGATTGGGTATCTTCAACACCTGTGTCCTCTCTGTGTTCATCTGAATTTCTGTCTTCGTCACCTGCTTCTTCTGGCAACTTGGGTTCATTTTCATATGTAGGTAGGTCTTCAAGTTTGTGTGACAACATTAGACATAAATGATAGGTGAAGTCCGGATCTTCAAGGTCCTCTCTCTATCGGTTGAACGTATTCCCTTCTACTCGCCTTCCACAGTCTATCGGGTGACCCAGTCCATGACAATTAGGAATATCAAAAAAGGATGATAATAGACAGCCATGTCTCAATGCTTTCTTTGGTTCACTTGCTTTTCTTATGTTTCCAGCATAAATTTTACTCGGCACATGGAATTGTCAGCTAGCTGCCGAATGAGACTTATAACGGTTTGCATAACTTAAATCCCTAGTGCTGAACTAGTTTCCAAATTACTTCGCGGATGATCCTGTCGAAAGCCTTCCCAATGTCCATGAAGTTTAGGAAAGGAATTTACCCCCTCCTTCCTAATTCTATGATCCATTCGTTAATCATGATGTTCAATGTAGCATTTTGATTCACGTCTAATATAATTTTCCTGAATTCACTTAATTCGGAGCAACGTTTTGCATCCCAACCATCTTTTAGTCCCTTTAGGATGACGTGACTTAATACTTTTTTGAGTGCAGTGAAAGGGAGCATTATTTAAAACTACTCAAAATAACTAGCAATGTTGACTATGGAAGTGAAGGTGCTGTAAATGACGGCCTTCTATATTGTATTTTATCTGATGAGGAAAAGTGGTAAATTGTCGGCCTCTAGTTTTGCGCCTGAAAATTACACTACCCACTTCACTCAATTAGCTAGACATACACGACTGAGGAATTATTATTTTTTATCCTTTAGTTCCTTGAGGAGCATTGGGCTTCAGCCACGCATGTCTCCATTGCGTTCGGTCCTCTGCCAACTGTTTTACCCTGGTCCAAGTCTACCCACACGCTTTCATTTCTTCACATCACCCCCTCCTCTATATCACCCTTGCACTGATGACAAACTCGCCGCTTCCCTTTCGGGTTCCATTCGAGCAATCGTTTGTCTAGTTATGTCACTCACTTGATGGTTTCCTCAGAGTATGGCCAATCGAATCTAACTCCACTTCTTCCTGCCTATTTGTTTCACAATCGGTTCCTGGTTAGTTCGCTCATTGCTAGAGATCCCTGTTGCTGATCTTTTCTAACCGGCCATCTGATCTTGAGTATTGAGCGAAGACGGCTGTGAATGAAGGTCTGTAGTTTGTTTGAGATGTTCTTTATGACGCGCTAAGTCTTTGATCCGTATAGTAAGTAGCACTGACTTCACGTTGGAGTTGAAAATCCCGATCCTAAATTCGTTTTCATGCTGAGCTGGGTTGTCGACCTCCACACAGACTTGAGAGTAACGAAAGCTTGTCTTGCTTTTCCGATTCTTGCTTTGATATCCGACTCAGGAATTCACCCCCAGTAGTTAGTGTAATGAACTGTTAGTGGTTAGATCGCTTCCCATTGGTTAGAAAGTGCTACTACTATTTGATCCAGGTGGTATCAAAGCATTCATACTATCCAATTACATGTATTTTACAGGATTTCATCATGAGCTGTCATTGGTTAGAGAACTGTTGGAAAACCAATAGGGAGCACTGTACAGGTGTTTCTGTTGTCATTGTTGGGGACTCTTCAGGAGTACGCACCCACCGGAGTTCGTACCCAAGACCTTTTAGTTACAAGGCGAGAAGCTCGTAGACCAATGTCAGCTCATGATGAAATCCTGTAACCAATAAACCAATTCACTACAAACCAATACTTGAATATCAATGAGATGCTTACTAGCGACTTGCTCTATTCAGGTGGGTAGTGGGAAGTAGTGACCAGTAGGGTGCAGCAGGTCGGATGTGAGGACAAATACTCGCCATCGAAGACTAGCGTTTGCGCTATGTCATGAATTGGCAGAAGTTAGAATTCATGGACTGGCCATTGGATCGGGTCCCAGTGGCTTAATGATTTACGAGCTCTCCTTGTAACTAGAAGGTCCTGGGTTCGGACCTCGATGGGTGCGTACTGCCGAAGAGTCCCAAACTAGGACAACAGAAACAGCTGTCTAGTAATCCCAGTTGGTTTTCCAATGGTTCTCTAACTAATATCAGCTGATGATGAAATCCTGTAACCACTCAACCGAATCCCCACAAACAAATACTTTAACATGTATTTTATTATGCTTTTTTACAATATTTTTCTTGGGTAACAAAAATTTTCTCACTCAGATCACATATTTCAGTTTTGATTACGCATTGGCTTCACATTTACAGAACCACTGAAAACCAAAGAGTTATGTACAGCTGTCTTTTTCCCTGTTTCGGACTCTTCACCTTACCAGAATCGTAAAAGGAACTCATATATTATTTGAGTCGTGATCAGAGCGGTCCACCAAGTTCAACATGAGGACAGGTCCCTACTAATGATATTGAATGGTTGTCGCGGTATATCACGAATTGGCAGAAGTTTGAATTAATAGGATTCTATGTCGCTTCCAATGGTTAATACCTGCATGTATCAATCCTAAATATGTGGTGAGAGCAGGCCATGAGAAAATATGTACAAGGCTGATTCAACAACCAATCACAGCATACTTAACGTGGGAAAATATGATTCGCAGATTGAGAACTCTATTTTTCGAGGAATTCCGAAACAACCAATCAGAAGCCTGAGTTTGTCTATTTAACTTCTGATAAACAACCAATCAGAAGACTGCGCTTGTCTACTTGCTTAAGCTATAATAATGTATGTGAAATATATATAAATACGTGTTGATTTTCGTAATAAAACGATCTGTCACCTGGCCCTTGTCTTCTGTTGATGGTTGATGGATTTCGACCAGCATAGACAAGATTAGGTATTGCATCGATTAGATGTGGATGATAAATCCATACGCGTCAGTCAGTCGCTTAGAAAGGACAGGTGATAAGTATCAGGAATTCTTGTATCCAGGTATGCACATTTCTTAACCAATGCGCCACTGGATTTTGATTCAGTATTTTACTACAATTAAATAACTAACTTCATACATTATGAGCAGATTGAGGATCTGAACT